GAACATCATCTTCGAGGTGACTGCCGAGGACCAGACCGAGGAAGACGTGGAGGTCCCATACGTGATGGTCAAGCTGGCTAAATAAATGTTGGGCTATTTGGGTATACTAGACCCGATGAAAAGCTTAAGTTAGTACAATAGCTAGAATTTATGACTATTTCCACTCCACTGTCAGTGTGTTCGTGTAGATTATATAGTTCTGCATAAGCCGTTAAGGGGAGTTTCCTATTTGGAATGCCAAGACTCCGCTTTGTCAAAGCTGATTGAGCTCTCGATAAGCAACACCTGACTCAGCATTTGGTCAAGACGTAATGCCCCGCAAATACTTCTATTCCCTTCTTCTGCGAGATCTAAGTCAGACCTATAAAATACTCCCTGTCTTCCGCTTATGTTCTCTACCCTACTTCGTTCACAAGTTTTACACAATCTTCCACGTCTAGCAATTCTCCGTGTGGGGCGCATTTCTAAAGCTTCCCAAAGTTTCAGCTTCTCCGCACCTTTCTTATATTCCCGAAACATGGCTGTATGAACCTCTCAAGACATCAGCGACAATTAATTAAATGCTAATCCGTGATTAAAGACCGGCAATTCCGCCAAAATCACCGACTGGGTGAACCCCGCCGACAAGTCGGGCGAGTTCAAGCGTCAGCAATCCGTCTTCCGGAACTGGATCTCTAGAGAGGCTGGCGCTCAGTTCCCTCCTGAGAAGGGCCGTTACCATCTCTATGTCTCGTACGCTTGCCCATGGGGTATGCTAAAGCTTCCAATCTACATTATACGTGACCTGATGCTAATTGTTTAGCTCACCGGACTCTGATTACCCGGAAGCTCAAGGGTCTTGAAGACTTCATCTCCTTCTCCTCGGTGCACTGGCACCTTGGCGAGAATGGTAAGTTCTGTTGAGAAACAAACCAAACCATAAGACCCTAACTTACATTCCAGGCTGGCGATTCGCTACTTCCGATGAGAAGCTCCCGGGAGAGAACACTATCCCCGATCCCCTGCACCCGGAGTTCACCCATATCCGCCAAGTATACTTCTCCAATGACCCGGACTATACAGGCCGATTCACGGTCCCAGTCCTCTTCGACAAGAAGACTAAGTTGATAGTCAGCAACGAGGTAAGAACACCATCCCGAAAACATATCCTTGAACCAACATTCTAACCAAAAGAAAAAACCAGAGCTCAGAAATCATCCGAATGCTTTACCACGAATTCGACGACCTCCTCCCAGAGCAGTACAAAAGAGTAGACCCCTTCCCGCCAGCTCTGCAATCGGAAATCGACGCCTCAAACGACTGGATCTACAACGACATCAACAATGGCGTCTACAAATCAGGCTTCGCAACAACCCAAGAAGCCTACGAAAAAGCCGTAACAACCCTCTTCACCTCCCTCGACAAAGTCGAAGCCCACCTAGCCAAACAACAAGCCGCCTCAAAGCCGTATTTCTTCGGCGATGAGATCACAGAGGCGGATATCAGATTGTACACGACTATCATTCGCTTCGATCCTGTCTACGTGCAGCATTTCAAGTGCAATCTTCGTGATATCCGCTCCGGCTTCCCGGCTATTCATGCCTGGGTGAGGCGCTTGTATTGGGATGTTCCTGCTTTCCGGGATACCACTGAGTTTGAGCATATCAAGTTCCATTATACTAAGAGTCATAAGCAGATTAATCAGTTTGCTATTACGCCTCTTGGGCCTGTGCCTGATATTCTTCCTAAGGATGAGGAGGTGAGGGCTGTTAAGGGGGCTTCATTGGGATAAGTTATTGTGGGGGTGGTATTGTGATTGCAACTGTTGGATGCGTTATCGACTAAGTTAATCAGAATGACATTCAATTGAGTATTTCTATTTCTACGGAGTATTATGGTTACAATCTCATTGCTGATCGATATTTTCTTTTTCAATTGTTCAAGGATGTAGATTTTCTAGTATAGACAAAAAGAAAGCAAAAAAGTCCCGTGGTATTGTATCGACGCCTTGCCATGCTGATGTGGTTGATGATTGTTGGGTTTCACATGCCTTTTGTATCAAAGGCAGGCCAAAAGTACAGTTGTCTCAAAAGTGAGGGCAACATAAGCAAGAAGAGAAATGAAAAATTACATGTTGAAACCCTGACGTACAGGGATCAAGCAAAGGCAAATGCAAAAGTTTGATCTCTAAATGGCATCAGAGAAAAAGAGATCGGCAGGGCAAGGTATGCATTATTGAAATGCACCTGTGAGCGAGGATTCGACATATCTGGACGGATCCGGTGGGTATCTCGAGGTGACGCTTGTGAAATTCAAGCGGGTAAATATCAAATATTAGCCGCAAGGCGCCGGGGTATGTTGTGTCGGTTACCAGGGGCCAGGATGCGGACGTTTGGCTGGCGCCGGTATCTGTCTAGGTATGGAAGAAGTGACGAGGAGACTGAGGAATGATTTTGGGCGGGCAGATCATCTCAAGCCGAGCGTGCGTTTCGCGTTTTCGTATACCACGTAACTGATCGACATAGCCGGTGCCACCTTTAGAAGGTTGGGTGTGAGTCCCTTGTAAAGACCGCGGGGTCCTTCGGATGCAAGAGTACTGCGTAGGACGTCGCCGATGCCATTGTATGTAGGTGGGTGCATGACCGTACCCTGGGTTTGCAGTCGGGTGCGTAGGACATTGAGGGGATAGACAATCGATGCGCTGAATCCACCACTTGTCGCGCCAATTGCACCTGTCGCGAAGTTGCCGAGCGGTACATCATCTTCATGGCAGCCTTGCTCGCGGGCCTTTTTAGCAATAAGGGTTCGTTTCAAATATTCAAATGTCGACAAGTCGATTGCAGCGTAGGGGAACATTCCGACGAGGCCAAGAGGAAGTCCTCGGAAAAAGCCAAGTAAGCCATTCTTGTTCCAGACCTTCTTCGCGGTGGCTGCAATGAGCTGGTTGCCCTTCGGGCCACCCTTTACAGTTTCACACTGCATGCGACTGTCGAGATAATAAGCTATCTTGTCCACATAAATGGTTGGTTGGTGTACTCACAATTTAAGTGTATCAAGGGGATATACAAAACATCTGGAAAGGGATTAGAACTGTGTGTCTCTTCTCAGAATAATGCGAGACCTACTGTGCAACCATTCCACCGAAACCACCGGACATGAATTGTGACGTGGGGAGGAGTCGCTTGGTATCATTGTGCCCTTCAAGTCGCGCAAATGCTCGTTTCGCAGACTGATATCTGGTCAGTATCCATATTCCCATGATAAATCAATTTGCATATCAACCAACCTCATAGGCTCCAAACTTGATTGCAGACTCTGGCATAACCTTCACAACGTTCAAGCCATTTCCTGTTGGCGATTAGTCGAGGCTTCGAGCTAGGGGACGAATAGCTTAACGAACCTGCAAACAAACTGCGGATTCCTCCAGCTCGCCATAATACTGTCAGAGCATCGACTAGTGTTCTGGAGGCGTTTCCTGCCGCAACCAGTGGGGCTCCCTCCTTCGCCGCTCGGATGGTTGTTTCTTTGATGCCGGTTTGAGCAATCAGATAGACTTTGAGACGGTCAAGGGGAGCGGTGGCCGTCCTTGAGACAGCGCCCGCAATTCCACCTGCAACGAAGTAGCCTAATTGAGGGGTATTTTCGGTCAACTTCCGTTCATAATATCGCAGAGACATCCACATGGCGGTAGTCTTGGGGATCGGCAGCCACTCCAGCTCGAAGTCTCCCTCTATCGAGGCAAATTCATCATCGGGAACAGGTCCCAACTTTGAGCTCTGGGTGGTTTGCGCGTGGGCTGAAGGAAGGAGAGAGGCCAAAGCGGGTAGGGAGAGAATATTGTACAAAAAGGCTTGGATGGCCAGAATATAAGGTGTAAGAAACGGGTGGTCTGTACCTAAACCCTGCAGGTCATTGATGTGGACATCTCCTTCCAGGTTTAGATTGCCCGTGGCCGAGTAGTATGACAAGACTGCGTGAAGGTCGGTCGGGGAATGTAGAGGTAGGAAAAGGAGGAAGTCCCTAGATGAAAGAGCAGATACGTCAGCCCAGGCTGTTCAGCCTCACTTGACCAGTCCGGGTGTGTCTAACCTCCACTCTGTGTAAGAGATAACCCCGTCATTGTTTTTGTCGACCTCCGTGAAAAACTGGTCGAGTTTGGCGTTCGAGACCGTGACTCCGGACTGAGCAAAGGCGCTCCGTAATTCGTTTTTGTCGATTTCTCCGTTCTGATTGCGATCGATTCTCTGAAACATCTTCGATAATCCATCCTCCGTGTGGTCGACAAACGCTCGGAATTCTAGAGACAATTAGGATCGATGGCGCGCGGCCAGGACATTCCTTTCCCGGTGCTTGTGATCTTACCAGCTTGGTCTATACGGCCGTCGCCATTGGTGTCGACTTCCCGCACGACGTTGCGTACCATGTCATCTGCATTTTTTAGTGCTGGCAAGAGACGTGTTAGTCAGGTGCAGCAGCACGGGACCCGGTCAGACCCACGATGATCGATCTTCTTAAGGCCCTTCTTGAGCCCAGTCAAGTCGATATGGCCTTCGCGTCGAGTATCCAGGGTCTCCCAGAGTTTGGCGACTCGTTCGTCGCGTTCATCTTTCGACTCGCCGGGTGCCATGATCGGAGGAAAATTGTTACCGAGCACCCTTCATCATTTGTGTAAAGTAAAACCGGGTAAGCCCCTATTGTAGAGAGTAGGGGAGGAGCATAGAAGGTGGGGACGGGTAAGTTGCAATGATTAATCGACGCTCGGCGATTTGCTTGGGCTCTTGACGCCATTACCGGATTATCGTCGGGAGGCACGGGACCAGGGCCAAGCCCTACTATCCCTTTTTGGGACTTGGACCTCCTTTATGTTTAACTTATACATCACTCTTATTCCAGTTAACTGTTATTCTTATTCCCTTACTTTATTCTGTTTGCCCTTGAATGTCCTGCGGGGAAGTTGTAGCTCGGACCTCGGAGATCATGTCGTGACGGGTGTCCGGTCTCGACCCATCAAATCCCCCGATATGGCGGCAAACTACTGGACTTCGACCCAGCGTCGACACTGGCTTTTCTCAAGGGAAAAGTTAGCTGAGATTCGTGATGCATTACGAGAGAAGGACAAGGCTGCGCATTCACAGTTTCCGCTGCCGGATCAGCGGCTACTGAACATCTACTTCAACCAGCGTGGGTTCCGCTAATATGATGTCTATCGAGCGCTTGGATGCAGCACAAGGCTAACCAGGGTAAATAGAGCTCATCAAGCTTGGCAAGCGCATGTCCACCAGACAGCAGGCCATTGCAACAGCACAGGTGTATCTCAAGAGGTTCTACACCAAAAATGAGATTCGACAGACAAATCCGTACCTCGTACTCACCACAGCCTTTTATCTTGCCTGCAAGATGGAAGAATGTCCACAGCACATTCGCTTTGTGGTCGGCGAGGCACGCGGTCTATGGCCAGGTATGCATCCATGTCTAGCTGAGCTCTTAGCGATATGCCGAGGTAACCCGGGAGCTAACGATCCCCAGAATTCATCACCCCAGACGTTGCAAAGCTGGGAGAATGCGAGTTCGCTCTCATCTCAGAAATGAGCTCGCAACTGATCGTGCATCATCCCTACCGGACATTGTCCGAACTACAATCCGAACTATCACTCACCTCGGAGGAGGTCGCTCTCGGCTGGTCGGCGATCAACGATCACTATCTAACAGACCTGCCCTTACTACATCCACCCCACGTCATTGCAATTATGGCAATTATCGTCGCCGTTGTCTTCAAACCCTCCCATCCTGCCAACTTCTCTGGTTCCACGCAATCCGCTCTAGCGAGCGCCATGAGAGATGGAGGAGGCATGCATATGATGGCTGCTTTGTCGGATAAGGCTGGATCTGGGCCTCCGCCAAAAATTCAAAAACTTGTCGGCTGGCTTGCTGAAAGCGAGGTTGATATCAAAGCTGTTATCGAGTGTACGCAGGAGCTGGTTTCGCTGTATGAAGTGTGGGAGCAATACAGCGAGAAGACGTGCAAAGAGCTTATTGGGAGGATGGTCAAAAGTAAGAACCTGGACAAATAATGCTTCATTTTGCGCTTTCGTATTCCGGGTGTCCTCGTTCCGATCTGTTTAGCCGATATCGGCAGTTTGGCCGGCTGGTCTAGGTATTTCCAGGCTACACCGAATGGAGATATCAACCATGGCCCCTGGGTTCATCTAACTGGTTACTGATGCCGAGACTCAATCTTACGGCAACCCTCGGGCTTAGCAATCTTCAGCATTGACGGTGTTTTGTCTCTCAATCCTGCCAATGCAAGTTAAGACCAAAGAGCCGGTCTTCTAAAAATCAGTCAAGGAGTTACTAAAGGCAGATTCACAAATTTATTCAAATCTATCGGATTCAATACAACCCTGGAGCCTATGGACTAGTGTGGAGGACATGAATTGTATAGCTTGTTCAACAAATCTCCGATCTGTTTACCTAGGAAATCCTCCACAGACGCACGGCAATGCTACATCTGCGAAGCTATCTCTTTCATATCCACTCTCCACTCCGTAAAATACGGCACCCCAAGTTCTTCCAAGGTGCCGGGGGACTCGCCATTAAGCTGTCGAATCAACCTGTTTTGGTGTGCTGTTTCAGGATCGCTTTAGACTCGAAGTTTGTGCTGGGTACTTTGAAGATTAACAAACATCTGGAAAGCCTTGACTCTCTCATTTGAATAAACTTCCAATAGAGCCGTCTGATTTCCTTCGAGATAGTCATCTCAAGGACATCAGATAAGGTTTCAGAGTCTAACAAGAGGCCCATGTCACCCATTGGCTGGTATTCATACCGTGAGTAAGCTATCGAGTTCAAATCATACTAGGAGTGCATTACTGACATTGTTGAGATAAGCAGCGTCTCCCGCCAGTAGACACCTGCCCCTCCTAAACGTCGAAGCACACAGCTGATGAACCCGATATAGAGCAGTCCTGATAACATCCACATTGACAGGCCGTGGTCCAGGAAGAACCTTGTCCGAGAGAGAGAGAGGGCATATGCAAGAAAGCTCATTTCGTCAACAGGGTATCATCATTCGGATCCAAAGCAAGGCCACATCGATATAGCGTCCGCTTGCCATGCTCAGCAAGCTTTAATGGAGTAACAATACCCGAATGAACAGAATGCACGATAAACTGACTCGAAAAATCGACCTCAAGATTTGGTCCCATAGCGAGTAATCTCTCCTGCCAGGTATGTCCTTTCAAATTAATATCCAATAACCGCCTCGTTGCCGACCTCCATCAGCACCAACCAGATAAGAAGCCTCAACCGTTGTCTCGGTCTCAGTATCACCCTGCCGAGTCGTAGCTCTAACCCCAGAACCATCCTGCACAATATCAATAAGCCGTTCCCCAAAATGCACACTAGCCAAGCTCGTCTAGATCGCTTTCTCAAAAAGCAGTTTAGTCAACTCAGCCTGTGGCAGATATAATACTCCCCTAATGCCATGTGCATTTCTATCACGGGGGACAGGTCCTCGAGAGATAATATCCCCTATTTTATAACCGTCCTGTCCATCGTATCGGATAGGCTTGCGCCAGCAAAACCTCGCAGAAACAAACACCGCTTCCTTCATATCAGGTATAATCCCCATCTTGTCCAGCGCTGTCAAAGCAAAACCTCGCAGAAACAAACACCGCTTCCTTCATATCAGGTATAATCCCCATCTTGTCCAGCGCTGTCAGTGCGCTGGCATAATATGTCACTGCTCGTGGTTCTTCGCTTAGCTGTTGTTCTGTTTCGATTATGTCCACCATGATGCCGGCTTGGGCTAGGCGTAGGGCTGTGGCTGGTCCTGCAGGGCCTGCTCCTACTATTAGGACGTTTTGTTGGGGTTCCTGTTCCTCTGGGGCGGTTCTGATTTCTTCTGATGATGGTGAAGCCATGTTGTTTTTGGTGTTTGGGCTGGGTTTGGATTTGGATTAGGGGGCTGGGGTAGTGATTGGGGGACTGGTTTGCTTTCTGTTTATGTTATATCTTGCTCGGTTTGGGCTTGTGGTCCTACATCGTGTTACTTGGTTCGTCGATTAAGGTAAGTGGGACAAGATGTAGGGCAATGGTCGTTGATTGTACACAAAGTGCTGGGCTTCTAAACTACTGAGGACAAAGAGGGAGTAAAATTGTTAGGTTATTGGATTTCTTCTTAGAATTTCACTTTAATGCACAGTTTGTCCCCAGCCATCCCTGAGAATGTGGAATGTCGTATTAAGGTATTTAGAGGGACAATGAGTCGTCAATCAGAACGACTTCCCACTTTGATCACCACGCAGTAATTCTACCTTCGGCTCTGCAGTATTCACATCCAAATGACCGTTAAGAAATAACATTGTTGCGTAGATGCTGACGTTCCTGAACCTATACCGTGAACCACATTCTAGTCACGCAGTAGAAGGAAGTTCAATTCTATGCCTAATTACACTAATAGGCTTATATCCTTACCGGTAACTTATAATCTGTTTAACAAGTACAATCAACTCCGCAATCCCTGCCGCAATCCGGGTTGAAACCGCCGACTCGGAGTGTGTGCCCAGTTGCTTACAGTCTCGTGGAACATTATGACAACTTTGAAATCCAACGGCAGATCTTGTCCCTTGCACGGGGATTGGATTGCAGGATATTTAGCGCCCCTCGCAGATAACATATTTCATGCATTCACATCATATAACTTAGTACACATGTACCTCTGCTCGTGCATAAGCTTCAACGTGTCCAATATGTGATCTATATCAATTCCCAAGGTACACGTATGAAGGTTTACGCCAAAAGCTAAAAGGGCGGTGTGGACTCACCCGGCGATTAACATGTCTTAAAGCGCTGAAGGCGTGTGGGCTTAAACGGAGTACTCCGTATGGACGTAAGTGGCACTGTGTATTACTAGAATCATGCAGGCAGTGTTCCAGTAGGCGCCCGAGAAACATTGCATGGCAAAAGCCAAGCCTATCGATCAGGTCCCGAAAAAGAAAAGAGAAACGGAAATAGCTCCCAAGCCTACTACTGTAGATCCACAACGTTGCGGAACTATTTGGACTATCTTATTCGGTCGCAGGGCTCCATTGGGTGACTCACGAGGCAATGCTACCCAGTGCCCCTAGGCCGGATTCCGCATTGATAAACTCGGCTAGAGGGGGCTTTGGCTGATGAAGGTAAGATCTCAAGGTTCCCTGCCAATAAGCAATGATCTCATCTGCAGCTAAAGGGACCGTGGGTGTCTCGAGGCTAACAAAGTTTTTCCTGGTCTGCGCTGCGAAGGATTGGGGAATTCATACTGGGGGGTCGATCAAAGCGAGATCAGCAGCCACTCCCGATTCGGGCACCCTATAGGGGGGTGGGGGGGAATGTTCCTGGGAAACCGGTGCTTGCCCTGCACAGCCTGCAGCTAAGGCGAACTTGGCCCCAGGATGGTATTCTAGGTCCAGTATTCTAATTCCGGGGATTGAGAGTAAAGAATAGATAAGAGTAAAGACTTGAGATGCAACAATCATCATTGTGAAAGTCGACGACGTCACGTTGGTATTTGCCCAGTGGAGCCCGTTGAGCTCCATTTGGTGAGATCTGCAGGTTGTGATTGGCTAATGCCAGTTGCCACTTAGGGTGGTTGGTGCGTGACGGTAGTGGCCTGCAGCATATGACAATACGTGACAACAATACACAACTGAAGATAACCCATCTCAGTGTGATCCTGACCATACCTGACCATACCTCCCTCTCAGCCCATCCCCTCTTTTTCCTCGCCTCTTCCCTTCTTCTCCCACACACTCTTTCTGTCTTTTAGTCTTCCCTATTTTCGCTCCCAACTACACTCCATCTTCCCTTTTTTTTCTTTCAATATCTGTGACTTTATTCTCCTTTCACTCTAGGGTGCTGGCTTTTAAATCACCCACAATGTCTGCCTTCTTCTACAATCACCAACATCAACAGCCTCACCATGGATCCCACATGCATGCATCAAATAACCATCATGGACGCTCTCGCCGCGCTCCCAAGATGACTTCGCAGAATACCCAGCGTCAGTTCCGAGGTGTCAAGAGCATGCGGGAATTGGCCGAAGCTCCCGCTGTGACGGCCTTCCGTGCGAGGTTCGAGGCTGGCCGGTCTTTTGATTTGGATGATGACCTCGAGTTTTGCCCGGGTCTCCTGACTGAGGATGATGTATGTTTTGATATGGCGATCTCCCCTTATATCCACCCCTTGAAGACCGTCACGATTTCGATAAAGTCGCATGGGCCATTTTGTTGACATATCTGCAGCTGCACTCCATCCACTCTGCCTCCGACCGTTCCTCTCTTTCCAGCGGCTCGCCGGACACCTCGCCTCTGCAACACCAGATCCAACCGGTGCAGCAGGTGACTCCGTCCATCTCTTTGTCTCCTGCTCAGACCAACGCTTACGTCCACCCTGGTGTTGCCGGCAACCCTAATCATGCCAACTACCAGCAACCTGCCAACCGGACTCGCAAAGTCATCCCGATTATTAACCCCAACACCGGGATGACCTTGTCGAGCCCTCCGTCGTCGATCTCACCCGCGATGATGCAGAATGCTCAGCGTCGATGGTAAGGGTGCCATCTGCCGAAGTCGTGGGCTGGCGCCCGACAACTCCATCTCTTTGCTTGTCTGTCACTCCTGTTCTGCATCATCGGGGTCCCTTAATCGCAGGTCATAATTTTCTTTTCACCATTGCATTCTTGTCTGATACGGCCATTGCATTCGACACGACCAACTTGGGAAAATATTTGTTCCACGGACACGGCGACACAAAAAAACATCAAAAACTCGAAAACAAAAAAATCCGACCTGTACATACCCATCTCCTTTTTCGCCGATTACGACCACCTTCGCCTCATATCTTAGATCCTTTGCGATACTTTCAGCTTGTTGCGAGCGACGGCGCCTGCGATTCAATACCTTGCATCCTTTTCCTACGATACCTCTTTCGTCTCTCAGGGAGGGACGAATACTTTCTTCGGCCTTTGTTTTCTTTTTTTTTTCGGTTCGGCCACCGATGATGTACAGAACATGCAGTGACATTGCTACTTGACGTTGCATGTCCATGACCTGGAGTTGAATTCCTTTTTTGGGAGGGTTTGCGTGCAAACGACTTTGCCAGATACACCTACGCTGTGACACTTTTTTCTACGATCTCTCAGTTTTGTTCATGGGGTTTTCTTTTTTACCGGGGCGGGATGGATATCAATTTTCAGGATCTAGAGGCGGAAACGATACACGTCTGCATTACTTGGGCACTGTTGAATATCTGGGTTTTTTTTTTCTTTTTTATTACTTGCACTTCTTCTGGTCTATTTTTTCTCTCTTATCTCTTTTACGGATTGTTTCTCTGTACATCGGTTCGGGGCTTGGTGGAACGCGATACTCATTACTACCTTGCCACCTGGTGTGTGGCTGGTTGGGTCTGGTGCGAGCGAAACCATTGGCTTGCGGAGTTGTTTCTGTTTGAAATCGATATCCTGGGGGTCTCTCGCGGTGTGCGGGTCATAGACCATATGCTAAAATGGCTTTGTTCATTGTTTATTACTCTACTCTTATCTCTCTCGCTTCCTTCTTTCCATCTGTATTTTTCTTTCCGTCGATTCGCTTTGGTTGTTTCTTGGGAGCTCCCGGAGAGTATGATTGCATTCTACGATGTTGGTTTACCTTGGTTCTTACATACTATTCTCAATCACATCTCGTCTGTTCAAACTATATATCCCTCTGGAAACTTCTTAGTCTCACCTGTTCAGCATGTTGATGTTCTATCGATCATGAATATGAGATGCTGTAGTTAGCAGACGGCTTCCAAGGTAGGGTAATTGGATTTGCCTTGGGCCGCCTTGGGCCGCCTTGGGCCAATTCTGCTCAACTGTATGAGTAGCTCATGATCGCAAAAGGTGCAAATATTTTCATCCTTCAGCTCGCGTAGCTCAGTTGGTAGAGCGCGGCACTAGTAATGCCGAGGTCCATCGTTCAAGTCGGTGCGTGAGCAGTTTCTTTTTTGTCTTCTTTCAATTTCAATTTCGAATTTTTGTCCTTCGAACTGGTGTTGCTGTTTATGCGTTCGAAGGTTCTCAATGCCATTGTGTCAAGGATTACTTACCCCATCTATAAAAGTGATTGGCGGATAGATCCCTGCATCCCAAGGACTCGATATACCTCGTCAAGGAAAAAAGCATTATCTTCTTTTCTATATGTTCATTCCTTTTTGCTTATATTCCTTGTCTATAGCAGCCAGGACAGCTCCAAAAAAAAAAAATTTATGCACAACTGGTTTTTTCCCCCCCTCGATATATATCTCCACGGCCGCCGACAGTGTTCATGCCCATTCTCCATGGACGGAGATATACAACCTTGAATTAGATCAATGGATGTGGATTACGATGTTGGAGAATTCTAATTTTATTTTCAATGGACTCAAAAAAGTAAGACAGGGAATAGAAGCGCAAAATTTGAAATTGAATTATTGAAAGTAAGCAAAAAGAAACTGCTCACGCACCGACTTGAACGATGGACCTCGGCATTACTAGTGCCGCGCTCTACCAACTGAGCTACGCGAGCTGAAGGATGGAAGACGGTCAGGGTTTGTGCCATATGAGCTTAAAATACTAATACCGGCTAAACCCTATATCGACGTAGGTCCGTGGTGATCATCTCAATATACGAGTGGAAATATACCTGCTGGGTCTTCATGTGCTGCGCGCATGATGTACGTATCTAGCCTCTGAAGCGTCTCTAGGAATTGTAGGTCTACAATGATTTATAGCTTTTCAAGTTGAGTGTATACGTAGCTTAGTTGTATGGGATAAGCCATTCATGGATAGGCATGAGAGAATTGTCTGATTTGGAGGCCTACAGTAATATTCGTCTCGTAGGTACCAGGTTAACCACTCTAACGACCAAGCTTGAGCGTTTCACTAATTTTCTGCAAGAGCTGGGCACGCTCAACCCTCCTCTTGACGTCCGAGTTTCCAAGATCACACTTAGCCCCATTCTCGAGCAGATACCGAATGACCCTACCGTTGAACTTGTGGATTGCTGCCTTTGCTAACGGGGTCATTTTCTGATCATCTTCCTCATTGATTTCGGCTCCATGACGAAGCAATAATTTTACAACTCGCAAGGACCCGCGATTTGCGACTGCAAAATGCAAAGGGGTACCTTCGCTAGATTAGGCGTTTGCATCAGAGCCATGTTTTAACAAGAACCTTATGACTTGCTCGTTTTCGCGAAATGTGGAAGCAGCTATATGCAATGGTGTCACTCCAGTATCAGTGGTAGCATGTAGACTGGAGCCACATTCAACCAAGAATATTGTCACAAGCGCATCCCCGAGGGAGCATGCCAATGATAGCGGGGTGTATCCTTGTTTGTTCTGAAGCTCTAACGAGGCGCCGTGAGCTAGGAGTCTCTTGAATATTAGCAAGGGGTCCGGAGCCCTCTCAAGTAGGGGAGCTCCATATGGGTGCAATCTGTGTACAACAGGAACCATTTGATGGAGTGGGTAGTCGCCGAATCCATCGTGAACATTCAGATCAATGCCTCGGTCAAGTAACAGCTTCAATTTTTCAGAGCCGGTTTTCCGCCGTATTCCATCAATGGCCCAGTAAAGTGCGGTGTGGCCATGCATATCGCGAATGCCCATTTTTGCTCCATACTCTAGAAGGATCTCGACCCATTTTACCGGCTGTGCTCTTAGCCCACAAATTGTAGCCAGGTGAAGTGCTGTGTACCCCGTATGGAGTATATTCGGGTTTGCCCCTGCCTCTAGAAGAACACAAAGTCGTTCCTCAGCCCCAAAAGACGTACTCTCAATACTGCACATGTTCCATAGCTCCAGGGAGAGATAGTCCTATGCATGAAGAATCAACATTGGTCGTGGGGATTTGTTATGCGGTATGCATACGTACCATATGAGGAGAAAATAGTGGCTTGATGTGCTCTATGCTAGAGCGATAGCCGCCGAAGCTTCTCGTGATTGGTACGAATGGAGACTCCTGTACAGTTTCTGGAACATGCGGGATCTCTGGGAGTCTGCCAGCATTCATTGGAATAATCCACTCAACGAGTAGTCCCTCTGAGGCCTTGGGACGTGTTCCCGGCGAAGGACGCAGTAGTCTTTGAATAAATGATCTGCCATCAATGCTAACCCCTTTCTCATATAAAGAAGCTTCAGGGAAGGCGATGTGACCCTTTGCATAGTCCTGAAGCACAAGAAAGGTAGAAAATGGGGTGATCTTGGTCAAGACGTAGTATCGCAGACACCCCAGAGACCACATATCCACCGCGCTTGTATAGCTTGAGCTTTCTCTCATACTATCCAGGAGCCCAAAGACTTCTGGTGCGATGTACCCTTCTGTGCCAATGCGTGTCCGCAGCTCAGTATTCGCCCGTGTCAGTTTACTGATCCCAAAATCTGCAAGCTTGACTTGAATAGGAGACTTCTGTACGACAAGTACTTTCTATACACTCGATCTGATATTAGTAGTTGTCTAGCTATAGAGCACGCGGTGGGAATTGATACTTGTGGTTTGATATCACGATGCGTGATTCCAAGATTATGCAATACGCCAAGTGCCTCTAGTAACTGCGCACTTATGTCTCGTGTTTCAATTTCTGCGAGTGGACTAGTATAGCACTGGGAAATATCTCCGTAGCGACTACTCCATCACAAAGCAAACGTAATCTTGGAATGAAAACCATCCTTTGAACTCGACAAAAAGCCTTTTGCGTTGAGCCCTGTGCCAGAGATCAGACTGAAATCACTATTGTGTTGAGATTTGAAATTATCCAGAAGCTAACATACTCTGTCGCTTTTGTGATTGTCCCTATAACGGCCAACTCAGAAGAATTGGTCTTGTCACGCTGAACCACCCGCTTGACGACCCGCAACTCTCCACCCTGCGACTCCTCCACATAAACGTTGTCGGCTAGATCTCGCTTGCGATTCCATACAAGCACATTTCTTTCTTGCTTCCCATGCTCGGCTGAAGGTGTGAGTCTAATCTCTTTGCAGCGGTCGTTTGACACGATTGTGATGTCGAGTTTGAATGGTTCTGCAATAACTTGGTCCATTGGATGTAACATGGAGGTTTTGACCTTTGTTCTGTGAACATGAGCAGAGCTGAAATGCAGGCAACTGACGCATTTTGGCCCCTGCCTGAGCGGCTAAGCCCCGCGGATCGGATTATGGCTGATCCACTACTTGTTTGCTTTTAGCTGCTGCAGCCTGACCTCTTGAACACTTCAAGTCCTGGTATATAAATCTGAAGTTCAATTTGCCATGGATCCGGCCTCGCTTATTCTAGCCGTCATCGGCACTTTGGACCTATGCGTCAAGTAAGCATTCGGATCTACTCCAACTCAACCCTTGAACCCTTCTCACGATGCTTTTAGGTAGGTGACAAATTGATCGAATTCTGTCGCGAGCATCGCCGAATGCGTACCGATATCGAAGAGATCGCATTGGCAATAGAGGGTGTTTGGGTAAAGACAAAGGTTCAGCTCGAGTTACTGAGGACCCTTCTGGATTCAAAGTTGCCGATCTATCCGCTCATTATCTGATACAGTCAAGCAACTGGAGATGAAGATCTCGGCGGCTGTCGTGGGGCTCGGCATCATTGACAGGCGTAGCCTAGGCCTCTCAGGATCTAAGCTCCCAATCGATATTAAGGGTGTTTATCTAAAATGAGCGCTTCAGGACGTGGTCAAGGATCTGGAAGACTGGAAACGACGGGTTGATCCATCTTTATACTTTATCACACTCATTAGTCAACCAGCATTGGATTTACAGCTACAAAGGCCATCGGCAGACAACGGCTCTCCCGCGTCGAGGCTTGCACGCCTAAGAAAAGTTGTTCATGGGACGTCTTCATCCAGATCTCTTGAACTTCACACAAATTCATCAGTCTTTAACGTAGGTGCTAGAGACCGAGCGCCATCTCATTCCTTATACCAATACATCTATCTCTAACTACGTCCACAATAAGCAGCAGATTATTTTGGACTTCACCAACCATCCAAGCACGAACAATTCAAGCAGAGCCCCAAATCTGACAACAAAAACCCAACTCCGGGATCTAGCACGGCTTTTACGGAACGTCGAGCCTGAGACATTTGGTCTTCTGAAATGCATGGTGTTATTGAAGTGCCTAGTGAGCAGGGTATCCACTTTGGATTTATTCTCGAGATACACAAGGGCCTTCATACACCTCGACCGCTACGAAAGCTCCTTTTGGAGAAAGGAATTACTCTTTGACCAAGCGTGTCCAGCTATCTCAATAGCTTGCAACGGTCAGTTATGTTTGTGCATACAGCTGGATTTGTCCATAAGGGTATTCGGCCAGGGACTATCCTCTGTCTTCGATCAAGACAGTGCTATCGACCCGAAATTTCCAAGTACCTGTTCATCTTTATTGGTTGGATTCGAGAGATTCCGGCACGAGGAAGCCCAAACCGACCTTTTAGGAGATTTAGAGTAAGAAAGGAACCTCTACCGTCACCTTGTAAGACAGGGTCTCTGGTCTGAAGAAGCGTTTATTATGCAACACGACATATACAGCCTTGGGGTGTACTTGCTTGAGGTCGCGCTCTGGCAATCGTTCGTTCAATTCAATGACGACTTGACATGTCCTTGGCCAGATCTGGAGATACAGAACGCGATCTCTGATAAGGATGCACGGAAAGGTGGATTCACAATCAAAAAGCGACTCGTTGCTCTAGCCAAGGATCGGCTTCCTTGCTTGCTGGGGGACCGCTATGCAAATTTGGTGACTGCATGTTATGCTCTCTCGATAGAAGCGAAGACAATGTCTTCGAGAATGAATCGCATGTCAGGGATGATGATGGCATTGTTGCTGGAGTTCGTTACATTGAGAATGTGAGTGCCTTGACCGAGGTAAAGACAGTATGTTTCGTTGATTTGACATAGGTGCTGCTCAAGTTGGAAGAACTCATGATATAGCTCTGGCAATTTTCCTTTTACAAGATAGCGCCATTTGGTCAATCAATGTCACGAGAGATAGACTTCGGTTTTTCTTTTTCAAATTTTATGAACTCGTTTGCAGCTATAATGTCAAAATCCAGCCATCAACATAGATAATGTCTCCGATCCGGTTCACAGTACCAACAGTTTCCTGATGCTAGGAGTAATATGTGCTAATGTGAACTGCGACCGCTATATATATGTAGCGGAAGTTGTTATGTGGCTGTAGGTTACGGCTATGCTAGACCAAATATAAACTAGTATATTGTGAGTAACTGGAGAAGAGATATAAAAGAGTTTTTAACTCGGCGGAAGCCAAAATTTGTCAGAAACCAAGTTATGCTTGAGATCCTTCAAGTGTAGTTTGCGTCATTGAAAATTTAGGTTATTATAACATTAAATATCAGGCAACTACATCAAGCGGCTCGCGTAGCTCAGTTGGTAGAGCGCGGCACTAGTAATGCCGAGGTCCATCGTTCAAGTCGGTGCGTGAGCAGTTATTCTTTTTTTGGACGTGGCGATTTTTGCTTGTATCCAATTTTTTTTTAAACAATTTTCCACCCCCTTGGCGTATTGAAAGCAAAGCAGAGGTCGAGATAAATACTAGCTGACCCGACCTGTACCGTATATACCCATCTGCCCGCTCCACTGTAAGTTATCGAACGGACGCAGTCTACCTCCATGTAGTCAGGCATGTATTGTCCTGGCGGGCACTTTACTTGTTGCTAGAGAATATAGTCTTTATTGACTGAACTAAGTATCATGAAGAAGCAAGAGAACAAAGAATCCTACTAATATGAAGATTCTATAAAAAAGACGGGAGGAAGAGAAAGAGAGATTAGAGAGTCTATTTACAGCTTATTCGAGGGCCACGAGCTTCATCGACAAGCCACAAAGTTTCCCTACCTTCGATCGGTCCTACACCCAGCGTCCATAGCCAGGACCAGCATTCCTGAATCAGATGACAAACGTCCGATAATTTGTCAATCCTCGAGGAGCAAGCCACTACCCTCTAGACTCTTTGCAGTGGCTGCCCACACAATAGTGGAAGTTCCCTGCTGTGGTGATCTAGAAAAGCCCTCGAGAGGGTCACACTAAAGTGAAGATAACCACGAGCAGTGCTCTGCCTAGCAGCTCAGGAATTTAAGAGATTTCACTGTAGCATATCTGATATGTAGTAGTATTTACGGAAGCTTAGCGGATTGGGTGTGAACAAGTTAATGAGTGAGAGCTTTGCTGCTCGCTTACTAGCATCTTGAACGGAATGGACCCGCACAACATTACACATGCCAGTGCTGGCGAAATAAATAACTGTCAAGATTAAATGGGTCCTTGATGTACATCGAAATCCGAGGAAACGGCAATAGGACCGGGCATTAATCACGAGGCGCAATAGAAACAGTCGAACACGGGAAGATAAGAAAGGAGAGGTTGAAAGAATGAGCATGTGCATAAAGTAAGACGGTACAACAGGAATGAGAAAGCCATAAAGAGTAGTGAGGTCTGATCTAAGGCCTTTGTAAGTCTATTTACTATATAAGCCTTCTTCTATGTTCGAGTCAGTACATACGACCATAGGGTGTGGAGAACAGGGCTTCCCGTCCGCTCAGCCGTACTTAAGCCTATTATAGTACGCGGTCAATTCTCAATGCGCCCTGAGCCCTAAAATAGCGTCGGATTTGATTTTAGGGTGAGTGTGGGTGATATGGGTGAGAACTTTGGAGACTAGGGTGATTGAGGTGAGAACGGGGTGAGAGCGGGTCGAGGATTCTTACCCTAGTCACCCACTCTCCCACTTTCACTTAAGTCCAGGGCTATAAATATAAGTCCTAGGGCTTATGCCGTTGTTGTTCAATGGTGTACCATCATGAACATCATGAATCAGGGTAGAGGAAGCAGGCGTATTCCCTAACTTCTAACCTGCCATATACTTGAACGTTCAATACATGAAACCAAGGTGCCATTATCTCACCCTCAATGTGGAGTTCGTTGATCCCTCGAAAGAAGGCAAACTGTTGATTCAACGCCGAACAGTCCCCGGCTTTTGATTTGGGTGCAATGCCAGTCTATGAAATCTGAAGTATTGCCCGAGGACAGTATTACCCTAGTATAGTGCTGCTAAGGGTAGCAACATCCTGAGGTAGTTAATTCAGGAGGCCAATATGCTCAACAGTCCGGCCATCTGTCGATTCGCGTGGAAATAATTACCTCGGTGTACTCGGAGTGCTATCTTTCTGAGGACTGAACAGCTTGTTACTAGTCGTGACATGCTGTATGTGCCGCTAACGGCTTTTAGGTGACAAATCTGGCTCGGCATATAGTGATTGAGGGCTTTTTCAAAAGAAAAAGTCACGCTCCAATTCTGCGCAAATCCCCGAGAGTTGGCACCTCCAGTCTTCTTGGCCAGGAGGATTCATCGAATGAAACCGAAACGCAGTCAGGAGCCTTACCTTCTGGATATTGCTTTGTACGGAACGGAGATTGTAAACGGTGATGGCCAAGCTGAGGTAACCTCATCGAATCGTCTAATCTATGCACACACACACACACACACTCTCTCTCTCTCTCCCTCTCGTTCTTCAGCTCATGGATCTCACCACTTAGCCATAATGATCAATTGCACAGCAGTAAGAGATCAAATTATACTACAGTACTTTGGGTACCTGACGGACGCGTAACAAAGCAGCTGATGTTCTGAGGGATGAGTCCTCAACTTCCAAACCCCAAGGCAGGCAAAAACCCTCTGCGCACTCGCCGCCACCCTCCTACCTCTGAATCCGCGAACCCTTCACTCCACCCGATCGACCTACCCCACAACGTACCGTCCAGGAGGAATTCTTCATCTCAACCGCCTATTCCACCATCACCGCCAGAGCTCTGTCATCCCAAGGACAATTGCTCAATGGCGTCACACCGCTCCAACTGGCCCAAAACGGCTTTCACTACCAACCATACGGAAGTTCCGGTGGGCTGGTCTACTGCTTTGCTTGTCAACAATTCAAACGCCAAGATAGCTTCCAAGGAGTACCTTTCCAAGAGGCACAGCTACCACATTCAGTAGACTGCTTATGGCAGGTCATCTACAGTGACTTGAAACAACACCCTAAAACTGCCGGCATATTTACCCTCTTAACCAACGCACCACCGCCGCCTAGACAGTCATTTCCTCGCCACCATCTTTCTTCAAATAGCGCACCTCTTAAGAAAATCACCACAAACACTAGCACATAGACACCAACCCTACTAGCCCCAATAGTGCCCACTACTATAGAAAAACATTCGAACACTAACATCGACTCCTACACTCAACCGCTATCTGCCACAACCGACCTAGAACCACAAACAGCCCCACCAACTAACACTCCCTAGCCTCCTCAACCGATACCGCCTATACCTCCTCGTCCCAAAACCAACAAATAACCTATGCCTCTGTCCTCCAGCGATCTATCGCAGCCGCACCAGAATCGATCCCTTCAACGCAAGAACCTATCATTCCCGCCAAATCTACCCTCACTATTGAAGATCTTCACCGCCGTTTTCACAACAAACCGTCACCGTTCCAGGTCGTAAATCAGCCAAGCCAACGCGCGACTAAGCGAGTTCGGAACAAAACCGCATCTACAACACAGTTACTATCCAGATTCTTAGCTTTGGCTTTGCCCGCGTTCTCGCGGTTCCTAACAGAGATGCAGCCAAAATCGGACGCTTGCTGTCCGTCTCATTCGCAACCCCATTACAGCCGCGCCATGAGGGCAGCCTAATACCGCAAATGGCAACAAGGCCACGACAGGCTTTACCAGGTGAGGCTCAAAGTTCACCGTTCAGGCAGCTTGGAATAATCTCAGTCGAGACAATCATGTATTTAACGTTGTCGCTGTAGCCTGTATATCGCTTCGGCATTTGGATTTTAAACCACAACCCACTAGGCTAGGTACGGATTCGTATTTTAGTCTAGTTGGGAAATCAACTTCGGCGAGAGGTCAGAGTAAATGAATTCTACTACTACTACTATATCTAATTTACATTATTGCAGAGAGCCTGGTTTTCTGGGTCTTTTGCGAAGGGTAGCTGAGAGAGGGGTATATATATTCCCTACTCCCGGGTGATTTCTCAACGCTACAGTAAGAAATGATTGAATTAATATTGGCAAATAACCCATATTGGGCATTCTGTTGGTCCTTTGTGCGCTGGGATCAGTCGTATCCTGGACGGTCGACTCGAGACGAATACTCAATCGAAGCGCAGTACGGGATAATCAGCCGGGTAAAAAGCACAACTCTCGCCAGAATCACGAGAGGCGATGACCAGTACGAGAATTCTCTCACCGAACAGGAAGTTCACTTTGCCAACACAACTAAGGAACTATACGAGCTCCGCATGAAAACTCAAATCATAGAGTATGTGATGGATTTGACGGTTGGAGATGCTGAGGCCTTCATAAATGATCACCGACCTAGTCAATTCTATGGTGAGATACTCCGCATCCGCCTCATCAGATACAGTGCCTCCAGGCGAGCAATGTCAGCTGCTGAACAGAATCCCAACATGGAAACCCCTGAAGGGTATGGTTGGTGTCATACAAGTCAGGAGTATTTGGGCCAGCTCAGCGTTAGTTGTTTGAGGTTTGGGTTGGTAGGTCCATTTCTGGGACATTGTGAGCTACAACTTCTCACCGGGCTGTTGGGGTTTATGAGCATCTTGCTTTGCGTATGTCACTGAAGAAATGATCCCAGCTAGACAGTACCAATCAGCAGGGATTTGTTACTGTCAGATCTACAATATGTATTTCACACCGCGGGGTATTGAAGTATTTGTGTTACTACTAGGTAGATATTCTTTCAGAGCTAAGCCGAACAGAATATTCATCGTCATCTTCAACCTTCCAAGGTTCAACCAGACTCCCAAGGTCAGATTCCAGGTTTCATGCAGCTAGATCAAATGCGGCGGACCGGAAGAAATGTTTATTAGCCACCTGTAGCCCCCCCTCGCTCTGATAGTTCCAAAGACTCGTCTCGCACGCTTAACTGTACGGTTTTCATAATTTGTAACCTTTGAAAACCCTCAGATGGTGTGATAATCGGGTCTTCTTCTCGCTCCCAGCCCTTCACTGTCCTCTCTATTCTCACACTACGGGAGAGCCTGCGAGACGGTTTATCTTTCGACGTAGCAGTTCTTGACCGAGAATCAGAATTCGACGGCCTCCGATATGTATATGTTATCCCAATATCGTCCTCATAGACTGCAATGAAGGTCTTGAGAAAGGCCGTCAAGAGGCAGATGGCACTTAGCCCGATGTATATCTCTGTTGAGACCGTGGCAAAGGACCCGAGGAGAGTTGGATCTTTCGAGGATAGCTGGATTAGGATAAAGCGCAGACGAACTGCAGCCATGGGGATGAGCCTATTCAACCATGATGATGTCAACAAAAGAGTTCCTGAGTCAATGATCTAGTGGAGGGACCTACACAATACGACTCTCGAGGGCGCAAAACACGACGATCTTTTTCTTTGTCGAAATCCTGACTTTATGGATTGCAAGCGCCGCATACGCAAGAAGTAAAATCTCCGTGGAAATGTCTAGGGCTGTGATGACTTCCCAGCGGGGACGCTGTAGCCTAGTCAGTTCTGATACTCATTTGTTGTAGGGGCAACTCATACCAATGCGCTGCACTCAGCCGAGCTGATCTCGGACCAGGGATTAGAAGAGCATCTAATTCCCAACAGAAGCGCGGATGTTATTGTCCACGCTACCATTACTAGAAGAATGGCGTTGGGAATTTGACGTTGTATCTGGGAAAATAGGCCCTCATAGAACATGCAGGTTGTCATCTTCGAAAGGCCGAGCACAATAATGGAGAAAATATCGGCCGCATATACTATCTTTGTATGTTAAATATGCTAGAAGATTTAACTTCCTCCACAACTGCTTACCTTCAACATATGCTCTTTGCTTGTGGTTTCGATGCCATCAATCGGAGTTCCCCACCCAAAGTGGACCTGGCAAAACACGATTACCATCTGGATAATTGCTGTAAGCTATCAATTGTTAGTCCAGAGGCAAGAAGCTCAAGCTTTGTTAGTTTATAAATTGTACTGTACCACGAGAGCGCCAAAGGTGTAATCGTCTCGCTGTAGGCGATTCCTATGGTATGAAGAGAAGGTGCGCGCTGCGAGAGAAAACAAAACCAGACACAAGTTGACCGCGGTTATGACCACAATCAGCCCACTATGGTCATGGTCATTATCCGTGGTAAGAGGAGGGCTCACACCCGAAGCCAATGTCGTCGGAGTCATGACCATCTAGGAGCCGTGTATCACAAACGGGGGAAAAATTTGAGACTAGAAATTTTCACATTTGAAACATGAGGAGGACATCAGGGGGAGAGTTGAAGGCATTTTCAATTATTGAATGGGGAGGGAATACAGATTGTAAACTGGGAAGTTTTAGGGGCCGAATGGTCAAAAGGATTCCTACGGCGGTTAATCCTTGTTCGCTAGAAATTCCGTACTTATGAAGTTCACAATATGAGGGCGGCTCCTAGTGCGCTATAGTAGCACCGAACATGACTGGGGTGTTCATGGAAGAAAAATGCAGGGTGTACACGTAACGAAGCAACCGCGTCGTAGGGTTTGTTCAATCCCTGTCGAGCTATATCAAGGCTAGGGGAAGTGAAAACTAATCAAAGCCGTCAAAAAGTACTTAATTCCCTCATATTAAATGATGCGTCCCCCATTCCTTAGAACGCTCCAGCAAGTTGACGAAGAGTTGGTCGATCTGTGCCACTTGTGATGAACTATGTATCTACGAGTGATAGAATGAATCCGAAAGAATGATTTTAGATGCACAGTTCCTAGACAATAATGGTTACGGTGAGACTTAACTACCTTAGCGCCTTTTTGTACAATTTCCGGAGTAATTTGTACTTTCTTTCAAAACAATAAGCAATGTTACATCGTGGCCATATATTCCCCACTTTGAAACGCACGAAGGAATTGGAACCATGCAGCCCTGGTCTAGTGCACGCAAAAAATATCCCTTCTTTGAAATGATTGCCGCTCTAGGCCCCGATAAGGAAATTTGATTATGTTGTGATTCTTAAGCGAACACGCCAAATATTAATTGAAATGGAAGCTTTAGAGTGGCACGTACACTGCCATTGTTTCACGGGAATTCCGGCCCTTCATCGAGGCGGAATTTAATACTTTATTCCACCCCCCCCCTAATCCTGGTGAACCCAATTCCATGTCTGTTACTCTTTGCCTGGATCAGTATTTATCGGATCATGGACACCTCAATCAAAGCGACCGCGTTGGAGACGCTGGACATGGGTATATATCACAGGAAACCAGGAGGCTCCCTGCAAAATGTGGAGGCACTGGACGACCATGAAATGCATCGCATGGGAAAAATTCAAGAGTTCAAGGTTTGTTCACTCGCTTTGCAGGGATCACATCTATAGCTAATTCTCTGCATTTCAATTAGAGAAATATGCGACCTCTTGCGGCATTGAGCTTTGCCTCAGTCTTGCAAGCCACTTGGGAATACCTGATCCTGTGAGCCATTGAAAACCCCCCTAATCCAAGAAATAAGGTTATAGGACAAACACATTAACTCCCTCTAGTTCGAATTACCAGGGATTGGAGAATGGAGGCCTAGCAGGCATGTTCTGGTCATACATTTGGACTTTTATCGGATTCGGGTTCATCATCGTGTCGTTGTCGGAAATGGCTTCAATGGCACCTACCGATGGAGGCCAATACCATTGGGTATCGGAGTTTGCCTCGCCTCGACACCAGAAGTTTCTCAGCTATATCACTGGCTGGATGTCTGTACTGGCATGGCAGGCCGGAACAGCTTCCGGGTCCTTCCTTACCGGCACTATCGTTCAGGGATTGATCAGTGTTCGCAATCCGGATTACGATCCTAAAGGCTGGCAAGGCACTTTACTTGTATTCGCGATGGTTCTGGTGTCATACATTTTCAAGGCCTATGCGTCAGAGCTAATGCCAATCATGAGTAATATTTTGATGATTCTTCACGTCCTTTGCTGGGCAGTGATCTTAATCGTTCTGTGGGCTATGTCTCCTCACCGATCTGCTGAAGCTGTTTTTGTTTCGGATTGGCAAAATTTGGGAGGGTTGCCTACAATGGGACTGAGTGTAATGGTTGGACAAATCTCAGCTATCTACGGCTGTCTTAGTAAGTTCCACTTATCATATGCAAAGAGAAGTCGTGGAAAAGAGGCTAACTAGTCTTTAGGTTCCGATGCATGTGCGCATATGTCTGAAGAAATTAGGGACGCCGGCCGGAACGTACCACGGGCCATGGCCTGGGGATATTTTATTAATGGAATCATGGCTGCCATCGTACTAGTTGCCTACCTCTTCGCTACTCCATCCGTTGAGGATTCTCTGAGCGACGTTACCGGATTCCCATTCCTCTACGTGTTCAAGCAGGCTACCAACACGGCAGGAGTCAACGGTTTAGCATCCATCATCTTGTTACCTGTCATTTTCAGCAATATCATGTTCAACGCCTCCACCTCTCGCCAAACCTGGGCTTTTGCTCGTGACAATGGTCTTCCATGTTCTCGGTGGATTTCTAAAATCGATCCTAAGCGCAAGATCCCCGTGAATGCTATCGCTCTCACTTGTATCTTTAGCTGCCTGCTTTCTCTGATCAACATCGGCTCTGATACTGCATTCAACGCTATCATCTCTGTCAATACCGCTGCCTTGATGTACACCTACGTGATCTCAATCACCTGTGTGATCTGGCGAAAAGTCTGGCATCCCAATACCCTGCCTGTTGGTCGGTGGGATATGGGGCGGAAGTGGGGATTGGCTGTGAATATCATTGGTCTGGGTTACTCTGTTTTCGCGATGTTTTGGTCCTTCTGGCCAGGCGAGCTACCGGTCACTGCTGAAAATTTCAACTGGAGTGTGGTGATTTTTGGGGTCGTTTTCATTCTTAGTCTCATCATGTATGTCATCAAGGGACGGCACGAGTATTCTGGCCCAGCTGTGGATGTTCGACATGAGGATTAAATTGGTGTGAAGCTGAACCATGTCATGGCCTAAGTTCTGCTTTTGATATACATATATCAAAGCAAACACGCATGTATACAAAAGTAAGGAATTTCGGCAATTAACCGAGAATCTATTAAGCGAGCGCTTAATTTAATAAGAACACAATTAAGGCAATTCCATTCGATTTGGACACTAATAGTACTTCTATTGAGAATCGGAATTAATGCCAAATCCTTCGGCTTAATGCATTCGCTAGCACGAGATGTAGAATACGCGCGCCATCTGGCGCTACATGGTGAGCACCCTCGATCCAGTGGTCGACAAGACCCAGATCAGCTTCAACAATCCGTATTATCATATATGTATGGCCGGCACCTTCACCCGCCAGTGCCATCCGCAGTATCTCTCATATGAGGCACATGCCAATATCTCACACCCGGGTGCGCTGGATGGCATACAAATTCACACAGATGAGATCGACGAAGTTCTAAGTCATATGGACTCCAACAGACTCACCGTCGCTGTCATTATGGACAGTATGGACTGGTTTGACCCAAACGGTGTCGCCGCCGCAACCCAGATTACCAAACTGAACCGTACACTGAAGATGGGTGGCCGTGTACTACTTCGCTCTTCGGCACTGCGCCCCTGGTACGTCGACATTTTCGAAGCCCATGGCTTTTCCTCCAAGTGCATGGGCTACAGAACAGATGGCGCATGCATTGATCGAGTCAATATGTATGCATCATGCTGGCTCTGCACTAAGATGGAGAATCTACCCCTGTTGACGCCCGAGCCCGAGATGGAATGCATGGATGTCCCCGATATCAACCGTTTCTCTCTATAGATATCATGACTTGCAATGAAAGAGGAAATTTATTTCCGACAGGAACTTTGCAGCATGTTAATGCAGGGCGTAGCAAGTTATTTGGAATTTATGATATTGGGGGTTGTTCCGTGCAGTGAAAGCAAAGCCTGAACATCGGAACAGAAGCAAACTGGAAATACGAGCAACAAAAGTTCATAACCCGCGCACGCCTTTGGCTGGTGCCATTTTAAAACCGTCCTGCAAGGCGTCCTGTAACCCGCCCTGACTTTGCCCTTTCCATGAAATAATACAAGTCCGTAATTTTGACTCGTATTGGACTTCTTTGTTGCTTACATACCGTAACGGCTAGGCTCTCCCTGTTGGGCTTGTGTCGCTTCTTGCCCACACTCACCTAACTCCCTGGCTTCGAAACATCTCTCATAGCGGCCGCGGTCTTGACAAGGGCGGAAGGTCTTGTTGTACAGGAGTCGATTCCAATGGAGGCTCTTCCAGCGTCGACACAGGAGAAATCTGTGAAACAAGACAAAAAATCAACACCTGTGGGCGACTCAGGACGACATCAGCACAGCGAAGCGCCAGCAGCACATACGGAGGGTCTTGTTCCCCCCAAGAAAAAACCATGGCAGTTCTGGGCTGTGTTCCCAGCGCTGTGCATGACCACTTTTCTCTCGGCTCTGGACACGTCCATTCTATCGACTGCCCTTCCGACTATCGCGCTCGACATCAACGCTGGTGAATCGTACATGTGGATCACCAACTCTTACATTCTGTCGTCGACCGTGGTCCTCCCTTTATTCGGCCAGACGGCAAATATATTCGGCCGTCGATGGCTCCTGATCCTTTCGGTCGTCATCTTCGCAGTCGGAAGCGGTCTTGCCGGGGGAGCAGACAATATAGTTCAGATCATTGCCGGACGAACCATTCAGGGCATCGGCGGTGGCGGTATTAACACGCTTGTTGATACTGTCATCTGTGATCTCGTTCCTCTTCGCCAGCGAGGGAAATATGTAGCTCTCATGGCAGCCGTATGGGCAGTAGGGACGGTGGTTGGTCCCGTATTAGGCGGTGCCTTTGCTGAGCATACGTCGTGGCGCTGGGTTTTCGATATCAATCTTCCTCTATGTGCCGTGTCACTGATATTACTTGTGCTGTTCCTTCGAGTTTCCCATCCACGTTCAGGCGGTACCATATGGCAACAGCTGCGCCGTGTCGACTACATTGGCAATGTCATTCTCACAGCCACGGTTGTCTCGGTTTTGCTGGCACTCAGTTGGGCAGGAGTTGATTATCCTTGGTCCTCATGGCGGGTCCTTGTGCCCCTGGTTCTAGGGCTAGCGGGTTTATTTCTCTTCTACGCTCATCAACGGTCGCGGTTCTGTCCGGAGCCATCTATTCCGACCAAGTTATTCTCGAGTGGAACGGCTGTTTGTGCACTATGGATTGCATTCATTCAATCAGTATTACTCTATTGGGTTGGATATTTTCTGCCCATCTATTTTCAGGCAATTCGCAGCTCGACTGCTACCGAGTCCGGACTATTTGTACTCCCTATTACAGCGGCCATTGCGCCCCTCGGCATCATTACTGGTGTCTTGATCGCTTCTACCGGGAAATATCGTCCTTACCACTTCCTAGGCTACATATGCCTCACCACTGCCACCGGACTATTCTCACTACTAGACGATAACTCGTCCGCTCGCGATTGGGCCGGCTTCCAGGTTCTTTTCGGCGCGGGCTCGGGAATGATCTTTTCCAGCACCTTGCCTCCTATCCAGGCATCCCTCCCTGAATCCGATATGGCCACTGCTACGGCCACGTGGGCGTTCATGCGCAGCTTTGGTTGTATCTGGGGTATCGCGATTCCGACCACTGTCTTTAACGCGCGGGTTCAAGAGCTGCGCTACCGCATCAGTGATGTTCCTTTGCGTGAAAAGCTTGCTAATGGTGGCGCGTATGCAATGGCTAGTGATGGGCTATACGCACTTTGAAAGACACTCCCCAGTTAATGGCGGAAGTACTGAGTGTTTATCAAGATAGCTTGCAATGGGTGTGGTGGATTGCTATTCCATTCGGTGGTATCGGACTTCTTCTTTGCATACCTATCAGGCAACTGGTGCTAAGTGAGGATTTGAACACTGAGTTTGGATTGCACGTAGGAGAAAGAAGGGAATAAAGGAACACGTATGGACTCTGTTGGTTGCCAGTGCTTGCGAGCCTCTAGGCATTTACTAAATTTACATCTTTGTCGCTGAGATTCCTTTTTGAATGCGGGGTACAAACACTTGAATTATATATAAGATGCAAGGGGAAGAGGTGATTAGGTCGGTACGGTTAAAGAGTTCTTTCAGGGTCGGAGCTTCTCTCCTTCACCGTCCGTCTCTCTCAACAATAAACTATCGTTATTGCTTGATTCTTTCCCCCTGTCAAGAATATCTACAGTCGAAGCTCCGTGCTGGTACAAAAACTCGACAATTTCAGAAATAGCCCAAATATGAAGCCGCACACAGTGGAGTCATGCCACCTTTAGTCGTAGTGTGAATGTCGACAGCTGCTCCACGCTCCTACAGAAACTTAACCACTTCGAGACGGCCATTGCTGAATGCTGCATGGATTGCAGTCCAGCTACTATTGTCGGTGTTTCAATATCGATATCTGCTCCATGTTCGTACAGAAACCTGACCACTTCGAGATGCCCTGATTCCGAGACCGCATACAGAGGGCTCCAGCTATCATCCGTTGCCCGATGAATGTCGGCGTCTGCGCCATGCTCATACAGAAACTTAATAACTAGAAGATGCCCGCCGCGGCATGCTGCAAATATTGTAGTCTGATCAAATTATTCAGTATTCGGAAGGTGTAATTAAGATATAGAATCCGCACTATTTAAGCCATGTTTTGAACATATAACTCTAACATTAATATACACAACTAGCGGAGGGCGGGAGATACTGGCCCTCTAAATGTTTTTCCACGAGGTCTACTATCAGAGCTTGATTATATTGACAACGTAAGGCAGACGAGGCAGATTATAAGGTTTGACGATATCTTGAGAAAACTGGTTATATGATGCTTCGTGGTTATGCGCAGATGCCGAGATGTCGAGTGTTTTAGGTGGAGGGGTATTATCCAATAACATTTTGGTTCTGCTCAGCTGAGGGGGTCAGTGCACTGGTCGCGCGACTCGGGTGATTCTCACCTTGAATCTCACCCTGTCTATAGAGCACTCACCCTTCTCACCCCTGGTCGCGCGACTGTAAAGCGGCTCTCACCCTAAACTCCCCCGGGCGACACCCACCCGACTACTGGCCGCACATAAGCCACACGCCGGTAAGTTAGTAGTTAGGTGGGTGACCACTAGCGAATCCTTACTGTTGTATGTTTTTTCTTTATTTTTTTACCCCCTTGACTGTTATATACAACGCTTTCATATACGTACATGTAGACTAAACTATTGATACGTGGAATCAAATTTATTGTACCTAGCACGTCATCTACTAAGACCATTCACTGTTTCGATCTCTTGTATCTAGGCGTTCTCCTCACGAAGGCGCTCCAGTGCCGCCTGATCAAAGATGCCAGGACCCGTAAGCTCTTTCCGCAACGCCGAGATAGAAGGCACAAAGAAGTAGTCTCCTCCCCTTTGAACAACCCAGCTTTCCAACGGCATACGTTCCCCGGAGGTTCCATTGTGATCAGGAAGGCTGAATGAGCGAGGCGGGTGATGCTCGAGTCTTTGGCCCACGATGGCGTCAATACCCGGACCGTGCTCACCAACTACGTGAGTTTTGTCGTCGGGGAAGTGATGGTTGCTTGCCCAGCCTGGGTTATCAAGGTGTTAACAAAGAGCCTCTTGTATCAACTTATGCAGGGGTTTAAATTTCATGTGCTTACGGGTAGTCAAGAAGTTGTATCCGTTTCGGATATCGCTCTGGTAGCAGACAAACAGAAGTCCACGCTCCTTATCTTCAGCCGACTTCCGATCGGCCGCTTCTTCTGCTGTAACTTCTTCGCCATAAGGAATGCCACGACGCCAGATGACGGCATGGTCGTGATTCATGTCACCACGTGGTCTCATCTTGCGGGTGTGGGCAGCAAAAGGACACTTTTTGTGCTCATCAATGGGGTGGTAATCGAAGTTGTTTGACGAGAAGAGGTTTGAATCCGAGTCATCGTGAGGAGACTCGTCCACAGGGGTTCCTATATGTTTTCTATCAGTAAATCAACGCCCGGAACCGAAGACGCACTGGCTGCAACAAACCATTCTTCCATCGTCCCATCAAATGTGCCGCAAGCTTTTCGCCTGGCCTGGGGTGGTCCTGAGTGAAAGGGGCGAGGTGGGCATTTTCTTCCATGAACCTATGGACGTGGTCAGAACGAAACACCAAGTATTAATACAAGACAGGCCACATACGTGTCGAATTCAGGAACAAGTTGCTGAAGGTCACGGAAAACAAGGAAGCTACCGTCTTTTGCCCAAGCCGGTTGGGCCTGCTTGTCACCTTCGTGCCCGCAAAGGATCAATCTGCGTACCGTCAGCCTGAGGCCCTCTCTAGCTGTTCATTCAACGTCGATCACTCTAACCCTGGCTTTGCGGCTTTTGGCTCTTTGCCCTGTGGTTGCTTTTCATCCCAGCCCTCGATGATAGGCTGACTGATTCCATCCTTGAACCCAAAGCTGAGCAAAAGAGTAAGTCTGGCTGACCTGTAGATGGTCACAGGTATTTTGATAAGTACTCACTGCTCCTTTCCTTTGTTAAGACCTGGGCGGACCTTTCCCTCTCTCACGAGGGTCAACTCTATGGAAGGGTCCCTGCTGATGACATAGGTGTCTGGATTGAGAGGTACTCCCTCCTCAGCCAAAAAGTGTTGCTTCACCTCGCTGACCCTCGCATCCAAATCGGACTTCAAGCTTGAGGTCACCATGATCACGCCATCAATGAGTCTCTCCTGATCACTGGTGGGCTGGTATTCCTTTCGGAGTTCCTGGGGGTTGTCCCACCCTTCTCCGACAAGATCACTAAACATACCCTTTTCAAAGAGTCCACCACGGAGTTGTTGCTTCCGGAAGATTGGAGAAAGCTTTCTGTCCCTTTTTACCAGCTCTTGGTCTCTGACGTTTACAAACGCTCCGAGCTATAGGTAATCTCGCTTATTAGTCACTGCTCAATGCCAGACCGAGAGTCGCAACGATGACTTACAGCTTCAAGGCCGGTCGAAGTAAAGGCAATATTGATTCCCGGCAAAGCTTGGAGCCTAGCCGATTTCTTTGCCTGTTCGGCCTCTTTCTTTGCCGCTTTGATCGTCTCGCTCATTCTACAGGCATCTTGAGCGGTGGTGATCTTATCAGTGAATGTCTTGAGTCGGTTTTTGAAATCAACCTGGTTTCGAATGCGAAAAAAGAGAAAGCTTTGAAATCTTTTTGGGAGACCAGGCCTTGTAATAACGGTAAGCCTTTGAAAGAACATGCCGATTTATGAACTTAGGGCAGCGTGGGTAACTTACCAAACATCTCCCTGGATGTTTGCCCTCAGGGCCGGAGTAAGTGCCATGATGAAGATTCTCACTCCGGGTGAACGTCGTTACTGAGTTCGAATTACTTGGGGGGTAGTGGCAAATATATGAAAATGTGACGCCAAATATGAACCCAGAAACCACTTGCTCTTTAATCCACACACCAAGGAAGGGGTGGGGATAGTGCAGCACTGTGATTCAACTGCACTTATCATTCAGCTATTGGGTCAATCGCCAATATCAGATAGCGTCATTTTGCAAGCGGTGTCGGTGACTCGACAACCCCGAGGTTCGATATCGACGGCCTATGAAAGCAATATTCGGGTGCATAAGCGTCTTTTTGGCGAATGAGAACGGTCCTATTACGTCCTCTATTCGAACCAGACACCGAGATCACTATCCTGATACAGTACAGTACTCGGGTTGACGTGTGCAGATCTTCCGGTTCTGTAGGCTGTCGATCCGAGAATTCCAAATCCAAGACGATCAACGTCTTCACGTTCCTGCCGCCACCAGAAGTCAACATAGCCCAGGCCCCCGCCCAGCAGTCACAACCAGCAAGTCACTTTCCAGCAAATGAGATGGCGCATTTTATAATGGACTCGACAGCTCACATCCACCAGGAGCTACACTAAACTAGTAGAGGAGGCGATCAGATTATCAGCTGAATTGTGGGGTCCACCTACGTGATGTTCTCAGACAGCGGATTCTAAATTCGCGAGCCGCGATTCGCGATTCGCTTGATTTTAGGGCCTGCGGGCAGGCGGAGCGGAGACGGGCCGAGCTCCAATTTTGAGGACGCTAAGACGAACTATGAACTACGATCGACATGCAGTTGTATTTTTGTTGCTCCAATCACCAATGTGCCAATTTTCCATTACCTCGTCGTGGTGACACAAAATCCTGGTATGCAAGACGCCACCCCAATATGCAAGATACAGTGAACACAAAGCGGTGGACCGTGTGGGCCCTTTGTCCCTTGACTTCTGCAGAAATGGACGCCGATCTTTCGCGTATCACAAACACGATCCCACCTTGGAAGGATATGCGAGGTTTTTCCCTCGGAGTATGAAGGGGCGTCGTAACAGGCAAGCTGAGCTCGGATCGAGGCTGTCAATCAATGAGTTCTGTGTCTCAGGTCCGCATCGTGCAGGTCGGGATAGGCGCTTGGCTGGTGGCAAGCCCCTCTCTGTCTCCTCAAACTATCTCCCCAAATTGGGATAATTGACGCAGACAGTCTGGATCAGCGGTCTAGCTTATTCTTGTGGACTGAAAGTTCTTGGGATCGTTGATCACGGTAACGAAAGGCTCCAGGCGAAACATGCACAGGATTGGCCTTATATCTCCCCTTGCTCCTACTCGATCTATTTCTCTCCGCTGAAACCAGTTGAGCTCTTTCCCCTCATTATTCCCTTTGTCCTTTGCCTGATATCCTCGCTCATTATGAAGATTCAATGGGCTGGGATCCTCTTAGGGGCTTCCATTGGCGGAGTCAATGCTATGGCCGAATATATGGCCGAGGCCATGAGAGGGGAGCGTGTCTCTGGCTACGGTAAATCTGATAAGCCTTCTTGGGTACCGGACTTTAAAGATGAATCTCCCCCTCATAACGGCATTCGAATCCCCCGTCAAGACTGGACCTTGACATGCAGCAGCTCTGCTCGCGGCTATCCCTGCAAAAACGCGATCGACGGCAAAAACACCACTGCCTGGCACAGCGACCCCTCTGACAAGGGGCACACTTTCATCGTTGACCTTGGGGCGTGGTACCAAGTGAGCGCCGTCGTTGTTCTCCCTCCCCTGGATACGGGGGTGGAAGGCCTCATTACCCAACACAAGATCTGGATCAGCGAAGATGATGAGACCTGGACAGGTCCTGTCGCATATGGAATGTGGCCCAATACTGTCAGACAGCGGATGTCCGCGTTCGAGCCATCGTCTGCCCGATACTTGAGAATCACGACTGATGCCGACGACGAAAACCCTTGGGTCGGTATCTCTGAGTTGAACATTTATGGAACTCTGTATACTATTCCTCGCAACCCCGCCCTAGGTGTCTGGGGCCCTACTCTTGATTTCCCTATCGTGCCTGTTTCCGGTGCTCAGGAGGGATCTGGCATGCTTGCTCTTTGGTCCTCGTGGGCCGATGATCAGTTCCACTCTACACCTGGAGGCAAAACTGTCATGACCCGGTGGAACTCAACGACTGGAGAAGTTTCCAAGCGCACTGTCACCAACACCAATCATGACATGTTTTGTCCCGGTATTTCTTACGACGGCACTGGCATGATGGTAGTAACCGGAGGCAACTCCGCCAGAGAGACCAGTCTCTATGATTCTGCCAATGATGAGTGGATCAGCGCAAACGGGATGAACCTCAAACGTGGATACCAGGCATCTACAACTCTTTCGGATGGACGTGTCTTCGTTATTGGAGGCTCTTGGTCTGAAGTCTCCACCATTGACAAAGATGGCGAGGTCTACGACCCTGCTACCGGAAATTGGACTATGCTTCCAGACGCGACAGTCCAGGACATGATGACCGAGGATATGGAAGGTGCCTGGAGAGCGGATAACCATGGCTGGCTGTTCGGCTGGAAGGGTCTGAGTGTTTTCCAAGCCGGGCCTAGTAAACAGATGAATTGGTACTCTGCTTCTGGAAATGGGAGTGTCAAGGCGGCAGGAAGACGTATGGAAGACGAGGATTCTATGTCTGGCAATGCAGTCATGTTTGACGCCGTGAAAGGAAAGATTCTCACACTTGGAGGCTCTCCTGACTATGATAAGTCGCCGGCCACCGACGCCGCTCACATCATCACGCTTGGCGAACCTGGTCAGAAACCGAAGGTCCAGCTTGCTGGCGGAAGAGGCACCATGCATTATGAGCGTGTGTTCCACACTACCGTTGTGCTCCCTGATGGAAAGGTCTTCATCGCTGGCGGCCAGACCTACGGAATCGCCTTCAACGAGGAAAATGTCCAGTTTGTCCCGGAGATCTACGACCCTGAAACCGATACTTTCCAGAAGTTGCAGCAAAACAACGTGGTCAGGGTATACCATACTGTCTCCATTCTCCTCCCAGATGCCCGGGTGTTGAATGCCGGCGGTGGGCTCTGCGGCAACTGCACGGCCAACCACTACGATGGTCAGATCTTCACACCTCCCTACCTGGTTACACCTTCAGGCCAGCCCCGGCCCCGTCCTGAAATACTTTCAGGCCTACCGGAGAAGACCTTGGTCGGTAGCACGCTGAGATTCAAAACTTCGGGTCCGATTTGGAAAGCTTCCCTGATCCGGTTGGGCACTGCCACCCATACCGTCAACACCGATCAGCGCCGCATTCCACTTAACGTTGTCGCTACATCCTTCTTCAGAAACACCTGGAAGGTTACTCTGCCAAGTGAACCGGGTATTCTCATTCCTGGATACTGGATGTTATTCGTCATGGACCGGGACGGTGTGCCTAGCGTTGCGAAGATCATGATGATTGGCTTGGACCCCAAGAAGACTATTCAAGCTTGGGAGGAACCACTGGGAGCTACGGAGGAAGAGAACTGTGAGCATGGATCCCTCACGTCTTTCTGGCAATCTTGGAAACCAACACTAATTTTGCAGACCAACGGCCGTTCGTGAGAATGGAGTTGCTCAAAAGGAAGTGGTTTTGGTAAAGGATTCGGAATGGGCAATTGTATCTAGAGCAAAGTGCGATGACAACTTTCACAATGAAACGAACCCGAGGGTAAAAAAAAGGAGATAGACAAGGGTTGTGACGAAACCTAACTGTTACGTATCCACGCAATATTGAAATATAGTCTTTCAAATAGGCTGGGCTGCAAGTACTTGTTTATCCGTTTCTCAACGCTGTAGAAAGCGAGTTCGCATCAACTAGGTGCCCAAAGGCAATACCCCTCCCCTCCTTCTACCCCGATTTCATGTCTTCAGCTCCAATCCCGCCTTTCTCTCTCTGCCTAGCAAGCCCCGAACATTTCATAATGACAAACCCTAGGGCTTTCTACTCATCGAACAAGCCTCAAAACCGGAAATGCTTCCAAGTACACGGTGGATCTCATTTGAGGGCTGGGATTACAACGGCATGAAAGAGCGCTTAGAGACAGCGCTCGCTGGAGTCAATAAGGACGCCCATTTGTCCCATGCTGAAGAGCTCATGAAAGGCCAAAAACACTTTATGAGTGAGAACTTCATCGGCAGGGCAATTCTGGGTTTGTTTTTGAGATGGTGGCCGAAGGCGACAGTTTAGTGATTGCTCGCGTTCGATTGCCCCGGCGTCCGCGCTACTAAGAGTCAGCGAAGAAGACGATTTTTATGCAATCATGCGAGGTCTCGACAATGTAGTTCGTGGGCCGGAAGAAGAACCTACTATTTTTGGTGGTCCCTAAAGTCTACGCCTACGAAGGCCCTGGTTCTCGACGTGCGACCTCTGCCGGTGCTATATTTATGCCGTTAGAAGGTTTGAATGGAAATACGTTGCAGGATTTGCATTTGATCTCTGCAGTTTACCGGTAAATAAGGATCCCTTTTTCTGCTTTGCTTTTTCCCATACCTTTCTTTTTATGTTTCTCGCCTTAGTATCTTTCGCTGTTTCATTGTACTCGCTCTGACTAGGCCCAGGTTGCAAGTCAAGACCATATGATAACTCAGTGGATAATGGCTCAAGCGCAGCTAGCGACTTTGGCATACCCCCAGATCGGCTCCATAACCGCTATAACCGAATCGGGAGAGCCTGTCATTGGCAAGTTTTCCACAGCGGCAGCAGAAGCGCTCGTTCCAAAGGGACTATTTTCCACGGCCGCCGAGTATTTCACTGCTCTTGGGAAAGCTGCGCCGCGGAGGTCACAGCTTCAATATGACGAGTGCAATCGAGACTCGGGCCATTTCAGCACGCTTGGTGCCTTCGTTTTCCTCGATACTTTACAGACGACAGATCATTTTGGGGCATCTCAAGACCTCTTTCCCTATATAATTCCCCTTCATGTTATAACAAGTATATACGACCACAGGGTGTGGAGAACAGGGTTTCTCGTCCGCTCAGCCGTACTTAAGCCACATACTCTACGCGGCCAATACTCGATGCGCCTCGAAAATTAAATTGGCGAGAAATTTTCTCTTAGGGTGAGTGTGGGTGATAAGATGATGGATGTCCTATTCCGCTATATTTGGATATAGATGTATCTACCCAAGCCAGGGTAATAAGTACATAACTTAGCCTTGATTCCGGCTTGTTATGATTTTATTTTCTCTCCCTTAGCGTTTAAGACTATGTTCCCTAAAGATCTCTAGAGGGCTCTTAATAAGCGTACCGCACGTGCCGTATCACGTAGCTTCACTTATGAGTATTAGAGGACAATATTATATGCTATAAAGAGCTAGCAACCGCTACCGTCGAAAAATATAAGAACTCCGTCTTAAACTAGGCTCTTTAAGTTGTCTGATTGCAGTGAACCGGTACTACTATTAATAATTAGTAGATAGAGACTTATTATTCGAGGGAATTTTCGTTGTCACATAAATTCTAAGTTTATTGAACCATATGCATCTGAATTCAGTCTAGACTAGCCGCAGAAGATGCGACGTAGCAGAGAATGGAATGCTAGAGCAAATATCTACCAATGGGATCAAGGGACATCGCGTTTCTCAGGGTTCAGCGCGTCATGTGATGTGCGAGTAGATAATAATAGTTGCATCATATTTCTGCCGCCGTTGTTTGCTTACGTATCACCAATTCTCCTTTGGAGGCTATCCCGTCCACCGTGTGTGAAGACTTCTTACAGAGGCATCAAAAGTCGGGCGTAGCTGGAATACTTCTAAACACCAAAGGGCCCCAGCAACCCAGTCGTTCTCATCTTTCAAGAGCAGACTCTTTTCCTCGGAATATTTTGATTCGACTTAGGTTGTTGAAAAGCAGTTAGGCGGGTTCTTCCGCTGGGAAAGGTGCGGCCCGTTTGGCCTGTTCCACTTCCGTGCCGTCCTACTTCCGTCCGTGGTTAACAGCTTGCTGCATTCTCGGTTATTAGGTCAAATTCTGGGTATGAGCCCTTGGAATTCAGCTTTTTTTTGCAGTTCTACGTCAAAGGACGGCAGGGCTACCAATAGATTGGGTTTGCATTGTATAAAAATAGGTTGCAACGTTACGTTGGAGGGATGAGAATCAAGTAAATGTCACACATCTGTCAGCGCAAGCCCCACATATTCAACAAAAACAGCTCCTAGTAACCTAGGCCAACCTTGAACATACTACGCTTAGGTGGCAGTCCAAACCGGAATGCTTGGATCGCTTGAAGATGCTCACCAGAATTGAATGAAATGTGCCAGTTATGGAGCTGCTTTCATGTATTCGGTGGCCATGATGACAGCATTCACTTGTGGCAAAGTCAAGATATACGTTATAATCATAACCTCTGAACGGAATCTTGATATCATGTGCTTGCCTCAGATCGTAATATATAAATGGCATTATATCTTCAAGAACAGACGGACGCTTGCTGCATCTAACAGAACCAACTCCTCATAATTCCGAATCAATCCTGGAAGTCTCTCATCAACCTACGTGAATTTGTCTTCGAAATGGTGTTCTACGCTTACGTTGTTCGGGTAATATACCCCACTGGCCCTTTACCCATGCATGCTTCATCCGATATTGAGCTGTTCCGGTCTTAGTATCTGATAGTCTGGCTAACTGTGCATGCAGAAAAATAAAACGGGGGAAGCTCGCTACACCGTTACCACTCCGTCATTGGAGGTACTGGATGAATGGTGGAGACTTGTCCAGGAAAAAGGCGATCCTATCGAAAGGATCAGTCCCGATCTTTACGTTTACGATTGGGACAAAATGTATCCATATGATACCCTCAATGATGACGGTGCTGCAGCAAAACTCAAAGACAGGGTTTTGTTTACCCATTGGGACTCCGTGGAGGGAAATTACCACATTCAACATATGTTTCCTAATCAGCCTGCACCAAACCACATCACGGGAAAGACGTACGTACACATTCCTGTTTAAATGTTGTGTTTGCCTTCGCTTACGGGTACTTCTAGGTTCTACATCCGCTCCAAGAGTGACCCTACCGTCTTCTGGGTTCACGACCCGAACGGTGTCATCGTGGCTTCCAAGGGACGTCGAACTAAGTTTCAAATTCATCGCAAAGACACCAAAGAAGATGGGGCTGTTATAATCCCGAAAGACCAAATCACAATCACCTCTGTCCAAAATAGTCAGCAGGTGGCCACAGACCGCGAAACTGGTCAGCTGGTGGTTAATAAGGCGGGAGATACGTACGCCTTTTCAGACCTTAGAGGGCATCCCTTTGGCGTTGGAGACAAGCAGGGTACTACCATTGATCTCAATGGTAGCTTCCGTTGCTACAATATTGGTGAGAATGTTCCCATCATGAAAGTTGACGGCGGTGGCGATGAATGGGAACTTGTGGCCTAGAATGTCTACAGAAGTCACTTGCCTTCATATGATCTATGTATGTGTGGGAAGCTTTTACAAAAGTCATTGAGTTTGTGTATTTTGTACGTGTGAAACCAATGCGGAGCTTAACTATATACTATACTGCAAGGTCGCAAATTTTGACAAGGACCCCATTCTACGCTCGTAGCGATTTCTTGAATAGAATTATGTAGGTGTTGTAGATGATATACAGCAAATGGAGCAATGAGAAAAGAAGGCTGTTCAAGGTCGTCCTGGGGGGGCATTTATAGCCTATTTTACTATATTGTTACTTCTGCAACCGGCTTGCAATGTACTATCACATTACCCAAATGAGCCAAGGATTATAAAATTTTCCTATCTAGTCAATTTGCTTGAACAGATGCCATAGTGAGGGCTCACCTATTGACAAGTTCATCCCATTCGGCTACCTCTACTTGAGTCACAAATTTACGCCTAGCTAACAGCCACACAGGCTGAGAACGGTTCCAAGAATGGTTCCCCGCCAGTCAACAACCGAGTGGGCCAACCCATTGGGACAGATATGAATAAGCACAATAAAGCGACCCGCTAGTATGATGAAATGCATCTTAAGCAACTGGTTGATCGCGGCCTAGTCTTCAGAGCGTGGCAATCGGATACTACGCTATGAGGTCTATGGCATCATTGAGATTATTGAATCATTTACCAGAGGTAGAACTGCTTATGGATGTAAGTCGCCGTTCAGACCAAGGTGCGAGCGACGTCTTTGGAGAAATAATGACGAATTCGTCCATGTTAAGCTGTCTTTGGCTAGACACCTTCCATGGGGCTTGAAAAGTGTTGCTGACGTCCTCATTGGAACCGTTCTTCATGCAAAGGCCAAATAATGCGGATGACGGAAGCGTGGCCACCAAGTGATTGAATTCGTGAATGATCAGCATTCTTACTCGAGAGTTACATTGGAACATAGTCTGTTTGAAGCCTAATTCATAACTCCTTCTCGGTTACGTAGCAATTCTTCTCCACCTAGCTCTAGCTTTATGCAGGTATATTTTACAGTCCAACTCCAACGCGTTCCAGACCCGCGGCCGGATCTATGAGTAATGTGATTGGCATTGACTCACTTTATATACCGTGTCTTCCATTTCTGGCCTGACATTGCAACTGCCGGATAGCCTTCGCGTCGGGCCGCTACGGCCGCAGGCTCTAAAGTTATTCGTTGATGTGGGGTGGAGCGCATTCCGGGTCTGTCTTGGCTGGCCAAACATAATCGTTTAGGGCAATTTTAAAAGGACCCCCTCTTGTTGATATTCGGACCCCCTCTCCATCTGTCTAAGCCTAATTAGGGAAGGCGTAGTATGTGTATTTCACGGTGTATTTCTTTAGTACAAATGCCTCAGTGTCTATATTCTTGCTGTTCGAGACGGAAGGCGCGGGACCAAATGGGAACCAACGTATCCACCAGCTCTCATTCAAGCCGTTCACAAAGGCACTACAAGTGGAGTCTGGGTTGACCATGTCAATTATAACTAGCTTGGATGAAAGCAACTAAAGCTGTCACTTTAGCCAAATTCAAGCTTGCGGGCGGGGGCGGTTTCTATCTTTCGCTATTGAAAATTGATCGGCAGAGGTAAAGTTTGGATTGGTGACGTTGAGCGTGCAGAATCCTCATGATAAGAGTTTTTCGATGGTACGTCAACTGTTTGCTTGCAGCATTTGCTCCATACATTAAATAGATGCAGTTTCAGTGCATTACTTCGAAGAGCAGCAAAAGCCAGAAACTGCCACTGGTGTCGCAGATCACAAGACTTATTTCAGTAAGGTATAACAATGTATAGCAATGCCCGGTTTGAATTTAATGTCAGCCTCACTAAAGTTATTTTGCCCATCACGCTTGTTTAACAACAGTTTCGAATACTATTTCATTCAAAGTGGACGATTGCGGGATTATTATAGAAGTAAAAGAGCGCCACTATCTTTCGACAACGCGTCAGAGAAATAGACATCTATCAATACATCCAATCTTCGACCACTCTCACGCCTAACACCATTAGCCATTAAATCCACTGGATATCATTTAAGCTGCTACTCGAACATTCACCGAATGACTGGGAACCCCGTTCTTTAGAACAAAAAGCATGTAATACCCAGGCTGGGCAATGCCTGCCTCCGCAGGAATCTGGAACTCGTATTTATTAGATCCGTCCTTTGTCAACTTAACACCGATGCGTCGCTGATCAGTGTTCACCGTGTGTGTCGCCGAGCCATAACGGATGATCGACGCTCCTTCGTCGACATCACCGTCAGTGGTGACTTCGACGGTATCGCCAGGCTTGACCTCGTTTGGTGAAACGCTTTTGATAACAGGACGGTCAGTCCTCAGAGTTCCGTCTTCTTTCAGGAGATATGGGGGCGTGTAGATTTGACCGTCGAAATGATTGGCATAACAATCTCCACACAGACCGCCACCACCTGTGAATACTGTCCCATCCTGAAGCAACAGCGAGAGACTGTGATAGACACGGACGACGCTGTTCTTTTGCTGTTTAATCCACTTGCCGCCGTTAGCATCGGGAATGAATCGCTCTGGGGTCAAATGGGCGCCACTTTCGTTGAAAGGAAGCCCGACATCCTGGCCACCATTTACGAACACCGAGCCGTCTGGTAAAACAACAGAGGAATGGAAAGTGCGCTTGTAGAACATCCCGTTACCTGCCTTTTCCACAGACGGATTCTTGTCGGGCTGATCAATCGTGATGATGGCAGCATTGGTCGTCGCAGGTTTGTCCTCGTACCAGGGAGAGCCACCGAATGTGAGAATCTTGCCGGTGTCGTACATGACCGCGTTTCCGCACATGGCATCCTCATCACCAGTGCGGCTTCCAGCAGAGTTAGTGGTGCCATCCCCTGATGTGCCATACCAGTTCATCGCTTTGCTTGGGCCAGCTTGGAAAACGGAGCCGTTGGTCCAGGCAAATAGCCAGCCGTGATTATCTTGTCGGTAGTTGCGAACATCGTTGGTAAGCATAGCTGAGACTTGTGCGCCATAGATTCTACTCCACTGATTGGTTATAGGGTCGTAGACCTCGCCGTCTTTGCCAAGCGCAGCGATACGCTCGCCCTCCGAACCACCACCAACACCGCCGCTGAATGAACCACCAATGACGAAGATGCGCCCATCCGATAGGGTCGACGTTGCCTGGTAGCCACGATCGATATTCATGGCCGCTGCTTTGAACCAACTACCAACGGTGGTGTTGTAAATACTGGTCCGACTTTGATCGGTTCCGCCACTGACGACGATCTTACCGTTCTGGTCGGTCGAGATACCAGGACAGAACATGTCGTGTTGCGTATTTTCGACATCTCTCTGAGTTACAGAGTGGTCCTTTGGGTGCCAAGTGGCAGTCTGTGTCTCGCCACCAGGACTGCCAGTAAAGATTTCGTGTCCCCAGGAGGACCATGTCACCACTGCGCCAGAGATTGGATCAACGGCTCCAGCGACGGGAACCAGGGGCAAGTCAATTGTTGGGCCCCAAGCACCCAAGGCAGGGTTTGGAGGAATGAATTCAGTTTCATAGATCTGCAGATCCGCAATGGCAATGCCACTCGCCGCAGTAGCAGACAGACGCAGGTAGTTGGCTTTTCGAGGCTGGAACGTCGAGAGCTTCACGGCTTGATCCGGCCACCAGGTTCCATATGAGACCTCACTCCAGTTTTCTCCATCAGTACTGAGGAGGATTTGATGCTCCAAGACAAGATTCTCCTCTTTATCTTGCCTGGGAACCATTGTCAACCCGTTCACGATCCGTTCTTGTCCCAAGTTGACAGTGATAGTTTGGGCGTCACTGCTGGCCGCACTCTGCCAGAATGTGTCGGTCGAATTGTCGATTGTTTGATCGCAGTCTTGACCACTGATAACCGTGGAACATTGAAGCGTCCATCCAGAAGGGTCGATAGGCTGGCCTTGCGGCAGAGGCTGCGACACAGTCGCAACTTCTCTGCCACCAATCACAGCGGTGTCGGGTGTCGTTCCTTCGCGGTACAGAGACTCGAAGTGCTTCATGTCCCTCGCCCTCGTTGTCCCCAGCAAGAGCGCTCCTGTATACCATCGAGATTTCATGTTGAGAGTGGAGTAACGGTGTTCCGGTCACAAAAGGCTGACATGAACTCAAACAGAACCACTTGTAGGTGTAGGGACAGTCGCAACTTTATGCATCGCAGCGTGCGATGCTTTTAAAATCAACATTATGGTATGTACCCTGAAGCCCAGCAATATTTTCGTCGCAGCATGCCAGACTTGGCCGGGGAACGAGGCAAGCATGGCTCGTGTAACAAAGTCCAAACAAAGCCTTCGACCCATGTCGAGATACATCTGGAATGTACCTGCTCAGGAACATCCTTCTCCGCGGATGCGGCAAATAACAAACTTCAGCAGGGTGCAGAATGTTGTGGAGTACCGTCTCTTCTATATCAACCATTCATCAAGGAGAGCGACATAAGTACTGACTTTAGTTATGTCGGGGGTGAGCCGGAAGTTGAGGATCAAAGTGTTGTTCATGTTGACAGTAGGAAATACAGGAATGCTTTCTGCATCCGAGCCTCCTGAAAGATTTCAGTGACCTACCTATTCCGCAGGCTAGATGGTAAGAGTGGAATGTGGACTAGGACAAGTTCAGGGAGATATAACTTTGAAGCCTAAGCGGTAACCTTAACGGGCCGTGTCCGAGCCCGTCAGTGCTGGCCCCGCAACCTTATTCATCCCTAGCTTCCATATCCTAGACCGCCTACCATAAACATAAAAGCATCCAGAGCAATTGAGTCTGAAAAGGGTATATGAATGATACGTCCCGTCTATTCTGTACCTCAGGAAGGTCAATTTACTGTCTTCTTCTATATACTTACTCAATTGTTCGTTTACAAGAACAAAAAGTAGCCCTTGTTGTGGTGACCAGTACAGTGCAACTACAACAGGAATGTTAGCCACAGCATCGGGTCATTCTATCCAACAGTCTGGAATTGAAGATCACCCAGTCAAAGTCATGTAGATCTAACCATGAACAGCGGGACATACTGAGCCGGTAATTTTCTATTTCTCTTTTCAGCGCCCCGGTCGACATGTCAGTGTCGAATCGTCGACCAGCGACACTCAAAAGATTTGAAATTTCTCGCCAGCCGCAACCCTAAATGAGCCAGTAAGGACAACTGTGGGGCTATCTCATTGTAACGTTCCCGGAATTTGACTGCATTGACCATGGCAGTATGTGCAATCATTGACGAACTGGGCCACTATACTACTGCGCCGCATTCACTGACAAGACAAGACCACGACAAGCTCCTAAAGGAGAAGGGGCTTCGTTCATCGAAACGTACCAAGAATACTTATGATCCCCCGACTTTGATTGGTAGCATGGTATTGAAGCATCCCTAGAAGCCCCGGATTGCCTATTTTCTTCAGTCATGTCTAACTCCAAGGAAATGCGCTGAGACCAACTAATCCGTCAAACACCTTTTTCGTCACAATCGACTGTTTGTTCCAGTAAAAGGCCACCCTGGCCTTTTTGCCCGTTCTTTATTTTCATACTCTGGATTACCAAATCACCAGATTGACATCGCTGAGCCTCTGGATATACTCTCCACATACCACTATGAGACAAACATGAAGATCTACCATATACCATCAGTGTTAAGACTTTCCGCAAGCAGTGTCTATCCCAATGGAGATAATGAGGGGCCAATTACAGTTACATCTGCTTGTCTATGTCATAGACGAAAAGTATGTCTTGACGGTTGACGACATGGGGTGGCATTTGGAGGAGGTTGCAGCACATACTTCACATCAACCTATAAAGTGAAGCCCGAGGCAGCACACATTGAAATTTATTTACTCCCCTCTTCCGCATGTAGTATTTCTCATTCTTTGGACCTACACCTAGCGGAAACTCACTATTGCAAAATGGCCGAAGCTGAAGCTTCTAATCTTGACAACATCCAAGGCGATATCTGGTGAACCTTTCTGTCCATATCATTGCTAGCTTTTATACTAACCTGCATTAGGCCTGGTCTGGCGAAAAAGTACCAAATCTTTTGGTTCTTTCAGATCACTGATGCCAGTGCCTTCAAGCCTAGTCTCGGAAAGCTGCTGGATGATAAAGTCATTACGTCTTCAGCGGATGCACTAGGCCACAGGAAGGAGATATACGAGGTTAAAACCTCGCAGCCGGGTATTTTGCACGAGCTAGCTGCAGTAAATATTGCCTTCAGCTTCAAGGGAATGCAAAAGGTAAGTAATTATAATGGTGTTTATGGCTGCAAGCCAGCGCTAAACCTTCGCTTTTGTTGTAGCTGGCCAAGGAGAAGGACCGCTTCGTGGATGACCCATTTCGCAAGGGAATGGAAGCTGATATGGTAAACGAGGGCAGAGATAGAATTGAGGAATGGATGGATGAATTCAAATCGAAAAATGGTGGCGTTGATGGCGTGGTCTTGGTGTGCGGGACTGAAACGAAAGTCAAGAAGACTACAGCAAAGCTGGCTAAGGAGTACTTCAGCTCGGCTCAAGGAATCAAGCATATCATTACTCTGGATGGGAGAGAACGACCCGAGGAGAACGCAAAGCATGAGCAGTAAGACTTCGAGTCCTCTGCACTTGAAAACCATCAACCTAAACCATCACAGCTTCGGTTTCCTGGATGCCATCTCGCAGCCTCGGTTGACGGGGTTTGACAAGAAATGCGAAAAGGGAGATGGCAATTACCAACATATGTGCCGTCCGGGGTAAGTTATTTCATAGACGTGAAAATAGTCACCCATTGACTGAAAAACAATAGCCGCATTATCATCGGACACGACGGAGAGATGAACAATGAGCCAAAATCTCAACACCCACCCTGGGCCAAAGACGGCAGCTACCTCGTCATCCGTAAGCTCAAACAATATGTACCAGAATTCAACAGGTAAGCCACTTTCGTGCTGACATCTTTGGGACAATGGTTTGACCGCTATAACTGCAGCTACCTGGAATCCGAGGCTCCTAAACTTCACTTTACTGAAGACCAGTTAGGAGCACGGCTGGTAGGACGTTGGAAAAGCGGTAAGTCGCACGTTTGTAGTGTGATCTGCGTTTCAATCCACTGAGACGGATGATAGGGGCCCCTGTTGAACTGCATCCCGATGCGGACTGTCCGAAAGATGCAAGGATGAACGAGTTCAACTATGACGTTAACGTTCATACCAATTGTCCATTTGCTTCACACATGCGCAAGACTAAGCCTCGAAGCATAGTCAGCGATAGAGATATGAATGATATCATGCGTCGTGGCATCCCCTATGGGCCTGAAGTCGGAATCAACGAGACCAAGACCGAGCAAGATCGAGGGCTCATGTTCACATGCTACCAATCCAGTATTGGTAACGGCTTTCAGTTTCTGAAAAGAAGTAAGTCACTTCATCATCGATTTGGACCAATCCACTGACTGTTATCCCAAGGCTGGATCAATTTGGATACATTCCCAGCCGACAAGACCGAGTATACTGGTGGTACCAACCCAGGACAAGATGTTATCGTGGGCCAACTCGTCAAGAAGCCCCAAAAGCCAAAACACAAAATCCTGACAACAAGTCTGGTTGACGGTAAGGGACAGAATACCACGACCAGCTTTCTTCCCTTTATCCAGTCCAATGGCGGCGATTACTTTTTCTCCCCATCTCTCCAGCTTCTTCGAGATATGTCTGGACAATGCAAACGCGAGGACTCATGCTACAAGGGCATGTCATACTGCTCCACGCAAGCGCATGGAGCTTCAGGAACAGGCAGCCCACAATGGTCTTCCCAAAACCGCCCGCCGATGCAGGGAAGCAGCGAGCAGTGGTCTTCCCAGGACCGTCCACCAGTGCAGGGAAGTGGTGAGCAGTGGTCCTCCCAAGACCGTCCACCAGTGCAGGGAAGTGGTGAGCAGTGGTCCTCCCAAGACCGTCCACCAGTGCAGGGAAGTGGTGAGCAGTGGTCCTCCCAAGACCGTCCACCAGTGCAGGGAAGTGGTGAGCAGTGGTCCTCCCAAGACCGTCCACCAGTGCAGGGAAGTGGTGAGCAGTGGTCCTCCTAAGACAGTCCGCCAGTGCAAGAAAGTGGCAAGCACTGGTTTCTCCAATCCTGGGATCTGTCATACTCTCGCTTAGAAAGGGAAGATCCGGACGCGGCGAAAATACTGAAATTACTCGCCTATTTTGATAACCAGATACTTTGGTATTAGCTTTTTCATGCCGGACTCACGGATTGTTCTCCAGAGTGGCTTCGTGAAGTAATCACAGATGACGTGAATTTCAATGGAGTGATGGGAGTCCTGGCCGGATACTTTTTCCTGGGCAGTCACCAAACGTCTAGGTCATGGAGCATCACAGGCAATATTGGTGCTGTAAAAGTAGTGTGTAGATTGTTTATTTAGACTATCTGGTAGTAAATGGGGCACCTTCTATAGGTTACCTGTGACCGCCTTCCTGCTAGAATTGGTAGGCTCATGGCCATATGTAACACAAGAAGCTCATATTCATCGACTTTACGGCTTGCGCCGTGCTGCCATACGTTCAAGTTGTAGACTCTGTATCAGCGCCTGCAGACGGCCATAGCTATCTACGATACAATAGTCATCATCGATGCTGACTACGACTGAGAATGTACTGCTGTCGCTCTGATCCCCACGTTGGCAACACTATCGACAACGGTGCGGGTTGCTTTTCTCCTCCTTGCCAAACGTCTGGATCGAGAGTGCGAATTTTAGCGCAATGTGGCAGTCGGAGTCCGTTGTCCTCTGGAATCCCTTCCTCTTCTAGTCTCTCGATAGCGCGAAGCTGCTCAGGATTCGCTGCTTGACGAAGTAGAGTCCAAAATTCTGCGTCGGACACTTGCCACAACACCTTATCATCTATAGACCCTGCCTCTACTAGTTCGCCTATCACCCGGCCCGTCCGCTGATACATGTCGATGTAGGCCGGATTTGACCAGACATCTTTGTCGGTAGTGATGTATGCGCGAGAAAGAATCAGCGCTACATGGGGATCGTCCAGAACCAGCAGACGGCGGGTCGCTGTAGCACTGGGAAACGCCTTTAGTGAGCCGACAACCCTTCTAGCGTCTTCTATGGCTAGCTTGCCGAAGCTAACGGCGTCGCGTAAAGCATAGTCTAGGCGATCGGCACACAGTTGAGGCGATGGCATCTCCACTAAAGGGAACAGTTCTTCTTCGAAAACCTTCTGGTTGATCCTATGTCTGGCGAGGATGTCCGACAGCCGCGTCGTCTCAAGATACCGTGTCTTGTGTACCTCGTGATAGCTTCCTTCCCCAGGCTTGGAGAGGGCGTGATCGATGACGTGACTAAGGGTGGTATGAGAGATATCATGGAGAAGAGCAGCGACTTGTTCTTCAATCGTGGCACCAACTCTTCGCACGAGTATAAGTGCACCGACCGAATGTTCGAGCCGTGTGACTCGCGGTGTCAGGCCCAAGAATCCAGTGACTCCATACTGGCAGATGCCTTGCAGTCGCTGCACCTCCGGGCTTTGAAGAAGCTCTACGAGAACTGGCTCATAGACCAGTTCCTCTCCGTATATTTCATCTCGGATCAAGATGCTATGATTCTCGATAAGTTGGTGTGTCTGGAGGACGCCGGCACTGGTAGGAGATGGCATCTCTGTTGGACCAATATATATTGACAGAAGCAACCGAAGCAGGATGATTAGGAAAAGTATGTGCGCGGTCGAGGAAGGAGCGTGAGACAGGTTGAGGAATCGCAAGCGCCGTTCAGTCATACAGCAAACGGGGGCAGTGCTACGAGCGAATGGCCATTGAACGGCTCGACACGGGCTTGGCGTTCGAGGCTTTTCACATGTGCATCCGTTGCTTATGGCTTGCTGTCTCGGATCTTGTCACGATCTGTACTGTATCCGGCTAATTGGAGATATCAATGACTCTGTATTGCATTACCCCTAGTTCCAGCTATTTATGGGGCCATTTCTAATTACATGACTAGCATCCGGATATACTGTATACCCGAAGCCATTCGGATCATATATAGACCCGGTTTCATGTAGTATTCGCAAGATAATTGCGACATAACATCCTCAGTCAGGTAGTGGTCCTGACTGTTGCTAAGGTTAGACCCTAACCCTCTACGGGTAGGGTCGCGGGTCACAGCCAGGTCTAAAGGGTAGTGGGTCTCCTAGTTTACTTGGACCTATCCTGAGACAAACTACGCCGTTAGTCTCTTTCTCGATCTTCTTGGGATTAAGAGGTTAGTTCTAATTTTATTATAATAGAAATACCTAATACTATAGGCAAAAAATGCATAATTCATGTGTCACGGGCCTAAGCGTGGTTGTAGTGTTTATAACCCGAGTTAGGGGCCCGGACCTAGTGCTAGGTTATACATCTTAACCTCAGAGACTCCGACCAAAAACCTAACCCAGCCTAGGTTAGGCCCGGATTAGGTTCCGTGGAAGTCTAATCTAGTCTAGCTGTGCAAGTTGAGGACCCTTCTGAAACGTCGAGGAGTCTCTTACTGATCGATTTGGAAATAACCTGCTTTCTCCTGTCCAGCTTGTCTCTCGTTGTCCAAAATTTTGTATATTTATTTGCCTCTTGCCTTCCTCCGTTACAAATTCGATTTCTTGCTGTCTAGAAGACGATCCACAGCATACTTTGCAGTTCCCCTCGAAAGTTGTTAGTTCATCATAACAAGAATAATCTTTCATTACTCACCATGATGACTGGTAGCCTGTCCCGCCAGCGCCATAGTTATGGATAACCAAACTACCATCGATAGTTTCCGAATCGACTCTAGGCCCCCCTATTCTGCTTGCTGTACCAAGTCAGTCAATTATGTGAGGTAATCAAGTGAACCAAGACTTACGCCTCAGACCGACGGCATGATATATGACCTTGAGATCGTCAGGCTTCCCGAGCTCTGGGGCCAGTGCGCAGCAGCGTCGCATGATGTCGTCTGCGAGGGTCTCATCCACCTCACCGCTCCAGTCATTATCCAAACGGCATCCACCCAGAACGACACCACCGGTAGGGTAGCGCGGGAACACATACGTGGTGTCATTGTCCACCCGCCTCGGAGAGCGAAAGTACATGGCTTTCATGGGCGTTTTGGGTGTCTCCACAAGTATCGTCTGGCCCTGAACCGTTATTAGCTAGGAATACCCAGGCAGCATAGAATCACTTACCCTAGTTGGGTAGAGACTCTTGTCTTCAACTCCTTTGAGGTGATAAGATCCCAGCCCAGTGCAGTTGAAATATGCATCCGAGGGAATGTCCCGGAAAGCGTGACGGATGTCGTCGAAATGAGCCCTCCGCATTTCGATGCCAGCTTGAAGGCACTGGGTAGACAGCCTGAAGTATTTAATAAGCCAAGCTGCTGACTGAAGGGGAGAAAGACATACCAAGCGAGATATCCTTGTGTATTGACACTGAAAGTAGACATGACCAACCCGAAGCAAGCACCTTCTGGGAGATTATCCCGTGGTATAGGGCGAATGCCACCTGTGATTTTATCATACCAAATCTTGCCAGTGACTTGACTGAGCACTTCTGCCTGCTCTATTGGGCGGTCAAAGATAGCGTTGAGATCCATCCGTGTGATGGCTGCCTCGGGGACGGTGTCGGCAAGGACACCAAAGCGGCGGTAGGTTTCGGCATCCCACTCTTCCTGAACTCCATTGTCAGTAGCAGTTGACATCCAATTCGCTCCAGCCCATGGTGAGCAGTAATCGACGCTCCGATCCCCAGGGAAATGTTTCGCCGCGATGATGACGTGGGCTGCCGGAACTCGACGTTTCAGTTCTAGGGCCGTGGAAAGCCCAACGACTCCTGCTCCGAGGACGACATACTGTTCAGGCATTGTGTGTGTGTATCTGGAGCAAAGGAAAGATAGGCGACACGAATGAGAAAGGTGCTGATTGCATGGTAATAAGAGGTCAACTAAAGGTGATTTATCACCTGAGCGGGCTCTCAATTATACCGGTAGCGGTGTCGAGTCGCGTCAGCCCGTCCATAATGGGCCCTCAATCAGAAGACCATCAAGGATCGCCCCGTCCGGACATTTTGAGTAGTTTAGGCGACGAGCAGTAAACGGTCATCACATAAGCCCGCCTTACCCAACCCATCGTCGTAATCCATGTAACCTTGATCGCCGTGTTGTGCAAATACCTCAATTTTCGATAGAGCGCCCAGGCCATCATCAACCTTCGCTTGAGCGTGCACAGAGACGTACTGATACAGTCAGCCGCAAGTCTCATCTATCTGCCCCATCGTAATTAACAGCCTAATAGGCTCTGTTGGGAGATAATGTCCTGCAAAATATCCTTAGAGTACTAGTTGCTACCTCAGTCCAGTCTCAAATCACAGATAAGCACATGTCGGAACTCACCAACGAGCCAAGCATCAACCCCTTGTGGATGCCTTGTAGAGCCGATAAACACCGTCCCTCTGCAAGCCTTTTGCAACGACTCCGCACAAAGAAGCCACCAGAGCAGTGGCCAGTGTAAAAAGCTTAGATACGCGTGCATGCGGCTATCTTGTCACTCGCGCAATCGTCCGAAAACGGTTAGTGGAGCTAGCCGATAATGCTATCTATGTTATTTATGCCTTTCTGAGCCAGTTGAGCGAAACTCAACCATCCCCGCTTCTCCGCCAAATGATCCCCGTCTCTTTTTGAGCCATGCATCTGATATCCGAGATATGCAAGACCCTTCAGGTTATAATTGGCATTGAGTCGCATGCGACTACAAATGACCTTGCATGGCGCATCTCTCAACACACCACTTGACCAGAAACACCAGGATGGATAGCGCCTCCAAGCCGGTGATCACTATGCACAACAAGTCAACTGCAGGGGTGGTCGATTGCGTTAATGTCGCTGGAGGCGACCGCAAGCCCATCGCCGACGTTGACGATGCCGAGAAACATACTGAAGACTTGGGCTCCCCTCCATTCGACTTGGTGTACAGCTCCAAGGAGAGTGCGCGGGTCCGATGGAAGCTTGATCTGATCCTCCTTCCTTTGGTATGGATGCTTACGATTCTCCGATCGAGCTCGAAAATGGCGAACTGACAGCAAGAAAAATAGATGGCATTCACGTATATACTCAACTATATGGACAAGGTTGCCTTATCCGAAGCCTCCATATTCGGCATCAACAAAGACCTGGTGAGCTGCATGTAAAGTGTGATAAGCGCTTGGAATGACTACATCTAATTCCAAATAGCATCTCGTTGGGCAGCAATATAGCTGGTCATCCTCCATCTTCTATCTAGGATATCTGGTCTGGCAGTATCCTAGCTCACTCTTGATGCAAAAGCTTCCCATGTGAGCTTCCTCTTCCACGCAGCTAGGTCAAAATATGGTCTAATTCGATACAGCGGACGATACTTTGGTGTCATGATATTTCTCTGGGGCCTCACTGCAACCACAACGGCATTCACGAAAGGATTTGCGACGCTTTGTGTCAACCGTGTCTTCCTTGGGGTCTTCGAATCATGCATGTCACCTATTTTGACAATTCTCATTTCTCAATACTGGGGCCGAGAAGAGCAAGCGCTTCGAACGTCCTTGTGGTGGTCGTCCAGTGCTGTCGGTGCCTTCATCGCCGATGCCATCACCTACGGAGTTTCAGGAAAAGAACATTCGGTTTCCAAATACGCAATCTGGCAGATTATTTATCTCGTCTTTGGGCCATTGACTCTATTTTGGGGAGTCATTATCTTTTTTGCCGTGCCATCGTCGCCTATGTCAGCGTGGTTCCTCAACAAGAGGGAAAGAACGATCGCCACAGCCAAAGTAAGAACCCCACGTTTAGATGGAAGCGGCAGTTACTTATCAGACGATAGGCCATGAAAAATCACACCAGCATCAAAAACACCGACTACAAATGGTACCAGGCCCGAGAATGCTTGATTGATCCCCAGCCGTGGATATTAGCCATACATGCCTTCCTTCAATCCTTGCAGGGAGGAGGTCTAACAGCGGTGAGTGATCCGCGATTCTCAGTAACAATGACATTCTGACGGTATCGTAGTTCTCCAAAATCGTTTTAACGGAGACTCTTGGCTACTCCAGCCGCCAGGCTACATTAATGAGCATGCCATCTAACGCCATCCACTTTTTTTCGGTGGTCCTTGCGTAGGAACCAACATTCCTGCCAAGTCCTTCGCTCAGCCTTGCTAACTTCTTCCAGTGGCTGCTTCTGTAGCTGTTTCAAGAATACTAGGTGCTACGTCATGATCGCCACGAACATTATCGTCTTGATTGGCGCGGTGTTGGTGGGCAGTGAGTGTTACCCACCATCAAGGACTGACAATTGCAAGCAAGGTTCTGACTGTGCTAGACCTTCCGGAATCTAACCACAGCAGTCGACTTGCGTCTTTCTACAGTGAGTATCTGATTTCCTCAGTGACGGTCTCAAATTGCACCTAACAAACCCGTAGTCATCTATGTCAACACGGTCCCATTCGGCCTGGGCATGAGCATGCTTTCCTCGAATGTTGCAGGCTTTACCAAAAAGTCCACCGCAAGTGTAAGAAGGCATATCGATTAAGCATGACTGAGCCCGGTTCTGATCATTTTTCACAGGTCATGATGTTTCTGGGGTATTGCGTCGGTCAATTTACCGGACCCCAGTTCTTCATTAGCACCGAGGCCCCCCAGTTCCAGAGGGCTTTTAGAGCCTTTTATTCCTCCGTATCCGTGATGATTACCTTGGAGATTGTACTGATGTAAGTGGAGCAGTGCTTGGCCGTTTCATTCTCTCCCAGCTGTTGACCATTTTTCCTCTTAGCATCTATGTCAAGTATCAAAACCGTCGTCGGGACCGGCTTCAGGCAGGGGACAACCGCAGTGTGCATACTGCCGAGGATGATTTGGACTTGACTGATTGGCAGCAACCGTCGTTCAGGTATATTTGGTAAGCCTCAGCGGGGACAGCAGACATAGCTCTGTGGAGTTGACAGTCGTGCAATTTGAGACTGGAAACCTTGCTGGTTCGTTCACATGCTCCGTCATTTCGGCCTAGGGACGGCAGATTTTGCTTTTATGTAGTGAAAATGGATGTACAGTCTATTTTTGAGGCTTTTCTGCTTTGTTCTTTTTTAATTAGTTCGTTTCAGTGCCCGTATTCACATGCCGCTATTTGGTAGACTGTTGGACGCGGTCGGTTAGTAGAATATTAGCCCTTCACGCACGACTCTAGTCCTAGGTGCTGCACCGCATGGATCTAGGTCTTACATCTAATTAGATGGCTGAGCGCAGTCTGTTCAGTATCTGTGAATTTATGGCTGTTTGCGCCTGTTATCTCCACAAAACTGTCGGCCAGCTGCAGATACTGTAGGGCCGAGCGGGGTATGGCGTGTCGCACTGCGGCCTGACATAGAGATTTCAAATTGAAAAATTTAATATCTCTGATAGCTAGTAGGATACTACCCTCTTCACCGTGTTTTCGCGAGGATTTAGAGAAGGCGGTGGCCGGTGGCCAGGAAATACGTTAGTTAGCACTAATACCGATTCAGACCTACTATCCATTCCCTTGGCGGACCCGTATGGCCCACTTTTCCGGGTTCCGCCTTATGACTTCCTCGGGAGTTATCAAGCACGAAGCATCGGGCTGTCATCTGCTCCCTAACATTCCCGTCTTCACCTTGTCTCGGCTGTGAAGCGACTCACCATGGCCCCATGCAGTACATGCACAAGAAGGAAGCTTGGTTGTGATATGCTGAAGCCGCGCTGCTCACCGTGCCGACGCTCACACCTCAGATGCATCTACGACTCGTCACCGCTCGCTGTGTTTGAGTTTATAGATGAGACAGAGCATGTCAAGACACATCCAGGCCGTCGTAAAAAGAAGAGAAAGCCTTCGGAAGACGCAAATATGCATCGGCAGCCAAGTCCTCGACAATTGAGTCAGCAGACTGAGACATGCTCCCAAGGACACGAGTCGGAACCATTGGAATCAACATCACTTCCAATCCGCGACACGGAGGGATTGCCCTGGATGGACGGCATATTCGACTCTTATCTGGACCAGCAATGGGACTTTACTCCAGACTTAGCCGTCAGTGCCAGTGACTTCCTCAACCAAAATTGTGGCCTGTCTGCCAATACATTGGGTCAAGTATCCGCTGGGTTCAACGTGCCAAACTCAGACCATCAAAGCCCGAGCTCTGCCTCCCTCTCGGCGGTTTCCGATCGCGTTCTGGCACAGCACTATACCCAGAACCTAACATCGAAATACAGCTCAAAGGAGCGAGGTTGGAACAATCACACCTACTTCTTCAATCGCTTCAGTTCGAGTCATCCATTTGTGATATCATCTCTGTACGCATGGACGGCTGCCCACCTCCATTGCTACGGAGCACTAGGTTCTGAAGTGAACGCTTTGGAGCATTACGGCAAGAGTATTGCGGGCCTCAGAGATCAGCTCGGGATCCACCTGTTGGCTGAGAACGTAACCGAAGAGGCTAGCCAGACCTGGTTCCAGCTTCTAGCCCAAGATGATGACCTGGATGCTGTCTCCGTGACTCTATACTTCCTGGCCTGGACTGACCTCCTACTTTCAAGACAGGCATCTTTGAAGCAGATGCTCAGCCTCGAAGCTTTACTGCTGGGAATCCGGGACCATAGTCAATCGCATTCACTCTACGTCAGAATGGCTGTATGGTTCTGCTTCCTCGATGCACGCACTGCCCTCTTTTACCAGGGGAATGATCGCATCATTCAGTCCATGGGGGATGACTCGGGGCTGATGGTAGCGTTGGAGCAGTCTCATGACTTTCTACAGAGGGAATACACCCTGCTGTACCCCAGGGAAGAACGGCAGCGGGACGAGGCTCACAGACCTCTGTACGTCGCTACGTGCCGCTTGGTCTGTCTGCTGGGAAAAGTATCTAGGAGCCATGGCGGCCCTCGAGACGAGAGTCTTGAAGTGAGTGTCCGCGAGTCATTGTACGACATTAGACTGGTGAGTCAAAACCATGATGAGAAGGGGAGAGGTGGGCATTGATTGACTGGCGCAGGATCTCGAGAGTTTCAGCGAGGCGAAAGCTGCGGAAAACAAAGTGCTCTCCATCTATCTGACCACAAACGCCCTCTTTCACGCGGTAGAGATATACGCGTCGAGAGTATATCAACCCAATGAATTATTGTATGCAAAGAGCATCCATGCGGAAAAGATAATCACCATCACTCGCCACTTTTATCGGAAACTGAAGCGGCCGAGAACGGAAGCGCCGCCGACCAAGATATGGCCGGTGCCACTGATCATGGCCGCGATCGAGGCAAAAGACCCGATTTACAGAGAGTGGACGCTACAACAGATAAGGGAGTACTGCCGCGCGGGAAAACATTTTGTGAACGCGTGCACCTTCGTCGAAAAGGTGCATGCCGCCGAGGAGGCGACGGGCTGTCGTGCCAATCTTCGCCGGATTGCCCAAGACATGGGCGATGATTTTGTCATATGACGAACATAGTCCTAGCAACTCTATCTTGACCACGTAATACGTCCTTCGCCGCGAGCCAGATACCCTGGTTGGTGATCGGTCCGTCGCCGGTGTGCCCCCTTTGGGACAATCGGGCGACGTGCCAAGCGACACAACTCAAATTGATAACTACCCCTTAGGCCGGGCCAATGCTCTACACTATATGTGTGCCGATACATGATCGAGAATTAATTTCCGTCATTCTCCAGTATTCCCATCTTGCCGCTGCTAACGCCTTTACAACGTCATGGAGGTCCCTGGTCCGTCGTGCTACCAGCACATTGTTGTCGAGGGCACGCCCTACGAGAGAGGCTTGTCGCATGGAAGACAGGTGAGCGAGAAGGTTCGCGCCAACATTGAGTATTATAAGCTTCCTGGGAAGCTACCGCATTGGTAAGCAAAACACGGCACAACTGGGTGGGAGTGACAGACACGGATTCATGGAACTCAAATTCATCGTGCAGGTCCATTTCATCTAAGATCATCGAAACCGTCTATCTCCCAGCCTTTCAAAAGTTCTACCCCACCGGACTCGAAGAGATCAGAGGGATTGCCGATGGCGCTGGCGTGAAGGTCGAGGACGTCATCATGCTTAACGCTCGATATGACTTGGGCAGATGCATGTATCGACTTCAAGAGGGCGGTAACGTTCCACAGGAACTTGATGGGCATGACGAGTGCACGAGCGGCTTCTTTCCCCCGAACGCAGTTGCATCTGGCCACGCTTTGGCCGTGCACAACTGGGACATGTCCAGCCATCTCTACAAACAGGACCTCATCATCTATCTCGAGGTGCACCCAGAACCGTCCGAAGATCGGCCGTCAATGTTTATCCTCACGGAAGCTGGTCAACTGATTCGCAGCGGAATGAACTCCGCCGGCATGTCGGTTACTGCAAACTCATTGCTGTCAAGCGAGGACTACGTACCCGTCTCCCACATCGACCAGGATGGTGTCTACCACGAGGTCAAGAATCCCAAGCCAGTTCTGCCCCTCTCTGTGGCCAGACGCGTCTTTCTTGAATACAGCAACTACGCCGATGGCTTAGTAGCTGTCAATGCCTTTCCCCGCCATGTCTCCGGGAACCTGCACGTCTCGACAGCCGACGGATTCGCAATGGCCATGGAGGTCGCACCCGGCCGCATCTACAAGTTCTACGGAAACATTGACGACCGCTATCTTGTCCACAGCAATCACTTTCTCAGCCCCGAATTTCTCAGTCGCGATCATGTTTTTGACCGCTATCCCGGCGGGAGCAGCTGGTTCAGATGTTTGCAGGCTGAAAAGGGGGTAAGAGCAGACTGTGCTGTGGGGCGACTCACCTCTGAAAAGATCAGGGTAGCCTTCTCAGATCATCTGGCATATCCTGAAAGTCTGTGCAATCACCCGAACCTGAACCAAAAGAACACGCCCAGTGCCGTCCTCACCGGGTATACATCTAAGCAGAACATGACGGTGGCTTTCGTCGTCTACAACCTGTCGGAGCGTATAGTGACGGTCTGCAAAGGGCCTCCCTGCCAAGGAGTGCTACAGAAATTCAAGCTACAGCAGAAATCACAGCCCAAGGTTTGAGGGGTAGTTAAATGATGATTGGATGCGAAAGATGGTGTTAACTGTTGTTATCCTCAAATGCTTACTCTATGCAAGGGATGTTGACACAATGATATTATAGACATGTTGAGTTACTACTAAACGGAATGTGTTTATCACGAGTTAGAGGTGCCCTAAAACGAACGTAGTGAGAGGAAGGGTTTACCTTCGTGCACTGGGGATACCTGTGACGCACGTCTAACCGGTCGTCATTATGTTAGAAGATTTCTGGTTACTTGCCTTATCTCGCTATGCCTAGGACGTCAACGATCTGTCTCTTAACTGTACCGCCGACTAACTGGCCTTATACGGGCTAAGTTCGGTTTGAGGGTATCGAGCAACGATGCTAGTAGAGCGCCGAATAGTTCTATACTCGGCCATTAGACTATTCGTAGTGTTGTTAAGTTATAATTCAGTAAGTTTAAGTAGGAAACATAGGCAGATATTAAAATGTAAAATAAGAAGGGTTCTAGTGTTTGCAGGATAGGGCCTGTCATCTAGGTAAGGTAAAGATGACTAAGGAACAAGTGGTACTGAGGGATAGTGAGACTGATTCTTAGAGAACTTCCGGGTTCTCTAAGAAGAGGCTATTTAATATGAAGGAGCGCGCTGAACCCCATATTTAACAATTGGACATTGTAGCTTGGCTGGCAATCAACGCGAACCGAGCTTGTTGGGGATGTTGAAAGGTAGATACACCAGTGGTTTGTACCCCCTGTCTTCCGATGAGGAACGGCGAGGATTCGCTTCACTGCCATGGCCAACATTTGGGCCTAGCGACTAGCTGGCACTAAGTGAATAGGCTGAAAACCAGACATGAGTGACGAAGCAAATCTGGAAAGGCAAGTAAGAATGGTGAACCTAACTGTGAGAAATAATCGAAAAGTGCTCCCAGGATTTGATAGGAATTATGCAGCTATGAGTTTGAATGAATAATGTTCCGGGCGAGAGAGAACAGATGGATTGTGAAGCACCAGAAACTTGAGGAAAAGACGTTATTATACTCATAGATCCGATAGAGGCACATTTGATTTGTCTAATAATTTTAGTACGACGCGTTTCAGGAGGTGCCTAACGCCTATCATATAGTCGCATAAGGATTGATGCTTCTCTGACCGGCGGTTAGATTGGCTCTATCAGAGAATCAAAGGAAGTAAGAACGGCAAATAAAAAAAAGGGTGACGGTTTTGATACTCAAAATCTCATTAAACGGATCTTACGCAGCTAAGCGAACTAAACTAGTAAATGTTATCCAAATTAGGGCAACACGCGTTGGGAAGGACCATTGAGTCAGGATGTTCAGAATGTTCTGCCTGTTGACCTTCAAATATGTACTTATAGGCTCCTGACATGAACGCCAACTTAGATTTTAGATTACATTTCGTCTTATAATGCACTCTGTTGCCAAACGTAGAGCTCCAGCCGATAAGAGAGAGATAATGCACGTTTTCTACTATGTAAATATCAGCGTTTAGGTATAAGAGTGGAGTAGCTAGATCAGACATGCAGGCATAGCATTTGCACGGAACTTCATCTGGGAAAGGATTCCGAGCCCAGACCCCGTTGTCTAGGGTAATAGATACAGTTATTTATCCGAGCAACCCGATAGATATTACATTCAGCTATGGTTGCGTTAAGGTCCCGAATTTAAGTCCGAGATTCGAGAGTGGAGTACCGGGGATAATATTTGACCATGAGTACCTCACGGAGCTGCACTCACTTCATCGAAAGAGACCTCCGAGTCTTCTAACGAGGTCTTTTGCGCCTCTATGCTTTAAATGCGTCTCGGTTCATCGCATCAAATATGTGGAATTCATTCCTCAAAAGTTGCTGGCGACAGTTTTTATCATTAACAAACCTGCCCACACGATGATAATCGTCGACAACCTTTGGTCTCTGGCCGTCGCCTCTGGGTTACTGGCCATATTCCTCAATATACTGTGGGGGCGATTCAAAGAATACCAAGGACGCAAAGCCCATGGCTGCGGCGTTATCCCATCCTATCCTCAATGGGATCGCATTTTCGGCCTCGATCTCGCCTTGAGCCAAATGAAGGCCCTCCGTGGAGACACTTTTATCCCATGGCTGGCAGCTATGCATGAAGGCCAACCGAGCACATTCAAGATCCGTTTTCTCGGAAAACGCCAAATTTACACCACCGAGACGGAGAACCTTAAGGCTATGACAGCGATCAACTGGAAGGATTTTGGCATCAGTCCTCTCCGACGCAGTACGAAAGCTTTCCACCCGTTCGCAGACAAAGGTGTCAACACCGTTGACGGGGACGACTGGGTGTTCAGCCGTTTCCTCATCAAGCCGTTCTTCAATCGCGATGTTTATACGAACACTGATCGGATCAGGCCGTATGTGGACTCGTTATTGTCTCTACTGCCGCCGGATGGAGAGACATTCAACATCCAGCCCCTGCTCCAGCGATGGGTAAGTCGCGCTTGCAAAAAAAGCAATTTGAACGTTTCATTACAATGCTCATACGAACATAGTTCCTGGATTTGACCACTGATTTCATCCTTGGCGAGCCTATGGGGGCCCTCAATCATCCAGCCAAGGCCAAAATCACATGGGCCATGCTGGATGTTCTTCGTGGCAGTCGCCAGCGTATGCAGGTCGTTCGCATGATCAAGTGGTTCAACTGGGACTGGTGGCTCAAGGCAGTATACGAGGTTCATGCCTTTGTCGACACACATATCACAGCGACTTACAAAGAAATCGAAACCCGCAAGGCACGCATCGCTGCTGGAGAGAAAGTAGGCCCTGAGCGGGAAGACCTTCTATGGTACATGGCATCACACGACTCCGACTACGAAGACCTGCGGTCTCAATTGGCCCTGCTGCTGGTCCCGAACAACGACACAACTTCGATCTTCATCAGTAATGCCCTCTGGCACTTGGCTCGTCACCCGGATGCGTGGGCAAGATGTCGTGAGGAGGTACTGACATCAGTTCAAGGGGGTGAGGACGAAGCGGTTGGTCAACTCAGCTTCTCCACTCTCAGAGGCTTGAAGTTTCTCAATGCTTGTCTTGATGAGACTCTGCGACTAAACCCAAACAACGTCACCCAAGTCCGTATCTGCATGAACGACACGACCCTCCCACGTGGCGGAGGCAAAGACGGCCAGTACCCCATCTTCGTCCGCAAAGGTGACATGGTCCAAGTCACCAAGACAGTACAGCAGCGCAATCGGGAATACTGGGGTGAAGACGCAGACGATTTTCGTCCTGAGCGCTTCCTTGAGCTGAAGCCCTTCTGGGAGTTCGTGCCTTTCAGCGGTGGTCCTAGAAGGTGCCCAGCACAGATGATGGTCATGACGGAGGCTGCATACATGTTGGCTCGTTTGGTAATGCGCTACGAGCGAATCGATTCCAGAGATGCGAATCCATATCATGCTATTATGCGGATTGGACCAAGTAACAAGACTGGTGTTTTGGTTGCCCTCCACAAAGCACGCGAAGGAAATTAGTATCGATGAACGACAGTCGACATGAGAATTACGTTAGCTGAAACTTTAGAACATTAGCTTGACTGTTAGATGCCAAACTGATCCATGCCTTGCAACTCTTTATTGTTCATATATCCGCGTTTCACTCGTTTCTAAATTCCTGCAACGGACCAGCACAACTTGGAAATCGAACGGAGACGATGCATTGACGCCTAGGAGTGAAGGCTATGTTCGACGATCGAAAGCGACGATATTGTGTCATCAAATCTCGGCAAGGGTTTCGTAGCCTAGCTGTTGACACCAATAAGGGCTGTATGAAAATACCTGTATTGAGGAGGTTGAACTGGTCGGTGGGTGGCGAACGTTTAGAGTGGGCTTTATGTCCGAGCCCCGAGCCCGGACTCGGGCCCGAGTCCGAGAGCAAGATGGAACAGCACCTCACTTCAGCAGCTTGCCGACCCCGAGCTTTCCCTCCGACCTTTCCAACATCATTGATGTCCGTTGACCGCGCATTCAATACCTGCAATTTGGACTGTCGTCAAGATGGCTGAGGACCAGAGCTTTGGCAGTACCCGGTCAGCATCTTCACCCGCTCGTCGGAGCCGCCGACCTGCGCAATCCTGCGACCCGTGCCGCCGCCGAAAAGTACGTTGCGATCTCAAATCGCCATGTTCAGCCTGTCAAGTCTCCAGAAACTCGGTGACGTGCATATATCAAGGAGATCAGCAGCAACCTAGTCTCGCCCTGGAAGACCGTGGAAGCGAGGGCAATACTGTCCAACAACAAGTTCCTCGCTCGCTCAGCATTGCCCCAAACAACAACATCGATCACCCTGCAAAGAGGCAACGAACAACGAATGAATCGGAGCGAATTCGGAGCGTAGAGCGACGTGTACAGCAGCTTGAGCACTCGGTTGTACCAGATGTCGATCCCCCGCAGCACAGCCTCAGCAGCAGCAGCAACAATCATCTCACGCTGCTGGCATTGTCTGATCGCCTCCAACACGTCGAGCAGCAGCTTGCTGAGCTCTCCCAAGCTCGTCCTGCGCCTTCAGCTGTCACGGGCGATAAGTCTCTAACAATTCCATCTGTCATCCCTCGACTTCGTCACAACCAGAAGAAGGTAAAACTGTTTCCTTCAAGCCACTGGCTGCACACTGCTGAGAAGGTATCGTTGAAGCTCCTTTCTAATGAACACCTTGACTGATTGAACATTGGCTGACGTGTCAATAGTTCAGAGTCAGCCATTTTGGAGACAGTGACGTTGAATTGACCTTCGTGGATACTAAGGCCGAGCTGGCCGATTCGGTGAATGAGATACGCAACTTGCGACTCACGATGAAAAATGAGCAGGCACCGCAGATGGATGACCCCGTTCCTCAACTTCTGAGTACAATGCCGGCTCGTTCCATCTGTGACCGACTAGTGAATCACTACATGCGGACTTTCGAGTTGATCTATCGTTGTTTTCACATTCCCACATTCTGGGCAGAATACGAACAATACTTCAGCCAGCCGCAGCCTGTAGTTACAAACTTTGCAATCAAGTTGGGTTTGGTGTTGGCCATTGGAAGCGTCTTCAGCAACGACGACGACAAAGTTCTACAGCGCGCGCGGCGTACTTGGATACAAGCTGCTCAATACTGGATGGTTGGACCGTCAGAGAAAACTACCAACAATCTTGATGGAATTCAAATTTTCTGTCTTCTATTGGTTTCGCGGCAGATAACATTAGTCGGCCGTTCACCGTGGCTGTCGGAAAGTGGTCTACTTCGGGTGGCTATGGCTATGGGCCTGCACCGAGATCCACAACTGTTTTCTCTGTCTCCTTTTCAAGCCGAGATACGAAGGAGGCTTTGGACAACAGTCCTAGAGCTCGTAATCCATGGTTCCATGGACTGTTCCATCCCTTTGCTTCTTTCTTCAAACGACTTTGACGATCATATGCCTCTTAATGTCAGCGATGCTGATTTAGATTCAGCCAGCAAACAGTCTCCATCTCCACAACCGTTGACAAGCTATACGGAATCGTCGATACAAATTCTCATGCGTCAGTCCCTGCCGTTACGACTTGAAGTTGTCAGGGCGGTCCAAAACGAGCGATTAGAGCACTCATACGAAATGGCCATTGAGCTAGCTACGAAACTTCAGACAGTTTGCCGTACTCTTGCAAGCTATTGTCGGTCGCATTGGTCGCAATTCCTAGGCATGCATCACGCTTTCCTTGATATGCAGATTCGTCGGTATATTCTGGTTCTGCATCGGCCTTTCATGCTACAAGCGCAAAAGGATCCCCGCTTCTATTTTTCCCGGAGGGTTTGTCAGGAGTCTGCAATGATTATCGCCACTTATGCCGAGCGACTTCGGCTACCTGCAGACTCTCTTGACGATCTGTCCAAGTTGATGGTGATGAGCACAGGGTCATTTCGCGGACCTTTGAGCCTGGATGTAATTTCAGTCTTGGGCTTGGAGGTTGTGTCTCAGCTGGAGGAAACGGGTTCCGGTCCGTCATCTGCTGTGATTGGTCTCAACCACACATTGGTCCTTGATCCTCTCGCTGAACTGGCGCGCGGCCAGCGAGCGCCCATCATTCGACTTTTGGAACACATCAACGAACAACTACTGCAGATCGTAAAGTTGGGCCATCCTACGTTGAAACGCTACATCTTTCTTGCTGGCATTCTTTCCCAGATATACGCCATGGAACGCGGCCAACCCATTTTGTCTGCTGTGCTGAACACTGCAAAAGACAGCCTGAAGGAGTGTTACGATGTACTACAGTCCTACAGGGCCACCAACACTCCCCGAGAAGTGTCGCAAGACGTGATCGATAATGGACTTCTTGACGGCCTGGATTTTGGCGCAATGGTGAGTACAAATTACCAAATATGCGCCTCTTACATAGCACTACTGACTGAAGTCAGGACTCCAACTACCTGGACTTTTCGGCCTTTTTGGTTCCAACTATTTGATAGAGCAAGTTCACAGGACGATTTACGTTGCGAAATGAAGATCGTGATTAATTGAGGTTAATTCTTTCCATTCCGTTCTATGTTCGATGAAACAAGGATACAGATAAGTGCCTATAAGTCTATGGAAGCGTTGTCAGCAGCTAACGTAATGTAATTCCAAAGCGAGCGGGACACCCGGTCGGCCGAGTCGGTAGAAAATGTCGACAGACAAAGGAGGTTTTCAACTCCCAGAGTTTCTCATTCCACTCCCCTCGGTGCGGAATATGATTAGCCGTGTCGGGTAGGGGGCGGTCCTGTGACACGGCTATATAATTTCGACCGCTTTAACTAACTAACTAGTTAATCATAGTTAGGTAACTATTCACTATCTTATTCTTATTGATAACTTGAGAGAATCCGCAAGATCGTGTTCATGTCACGCGTGTGCCGATGTATGTTTCTCTGCCTCCACGCCAGTCTCCTCTTATTCACCAGATGTTGTAATTGCAGCAGGCTGCTGCGCTCAGTGCCCTTGCCTAGGCATCAAGCTTTTGTGAGGGGATTCCAACCAGAAACTCTACCCCTCAGCCACACCAAAAAGATTGTCGCGACCATGAAGTTCACGCCACTGAACAAGGCCGCAAAGAGGGAAGAGCCTCCATCTGTCTCTGCAATTGAACCAGCAATCGGAGGGCTCGTAAGGGTACCAATGCCTGCAATAGCAAGAGCCAACCCGATTCGAAACCCGATCTCCTGAGGTGGGTAGAGAGTCATCACAAGGGGCGGTGTCAAGCCAATGGTGGTGCCAGATCCGATACCAAACAAAGCGGCGAAGACAATGTTGGCCGCGTTACTGCGACCAGGCAACCACAAGGCCAGAGTGATGACACCAGTGAAAAGGAGCATGATGATAAGCACATTGAAACGGCCGTACTTGTCGGCAAGGCCATTGGGAATCGTACGTCCAAAAAAGCTCGCTCCGTTCATGATGGGAATCAGATTGTAGGCCATAGTCATTGACATTCCGTTGTGCATAGCAGACAGGACAAGGTAGTCGAAAGGGACAAACAATCCCCCTAAACCCTGGTTAGCTGTGTTGCGATGAAACATAATGATAGGCGGCTCACAGTAAAGGAAAAAGCAGAACGTCAACAAGATCAAGAAGTTGAATTCCGTGAAAGGCCGAAGGTAGTTCGCAAGGTTGAACTCCTTGCGAGTGTAAGGCAAGTTGGAGGAGATGGTGAGCATGGCAATAGCCCAGAGCCCAAGGATCAAGAAAGCGCAGATTCGCATCGTCCATGCAAAGCCGACCTCCGAAAGGAGGCTGTTGACCATGAGGGGAAAGATTACACCACCCAGACTCGAGCCTGCAACGGTCAATCCTCCTGCCAAAGCGCGGCGCCTTCTGAAGTAAGTCATAGGCTGTGAAGCTTGTCAGAAAATGCGCGATAAGTTCCAAGAGTGATCACACAAACTGAAGTCATTGCCGGAGTGAAAATGAGCGATGTGCCGATTCCTGAGCAAACCGACTGTGCCAAGTAGAATTGGTAGTATTTGCTTGACACGCTGGTCATCATGAGGCCAAACACATGCATCAATCCACCGATACAGATCGGCAATCGTGGTCCATAGTTGTCAAATAGATATCCAGACAACGGTGACATGAACAGCATGAAGAAAACTAGATTGAAATGAGCTTGTTATTTCACGGCCGGTTGGGGAAGAAGGCTCTCACATTCGGACGAAGTGATCCAGGACACCTCCGAGCTGCTAGAGGTCTTCAACTGGTTGGTCTGATATTCAGCTTGGAACAGAGCAATGCAATTGACCCATCCAAATGAGATGAAAAGACCCAAGGAGCCTCCGAGTAGCGATAGGAAGGCTTTTGTGCCTCCTTCGGGTGCTGCTGGTGGGCCAGATGCTTGAGGCTTGGGCTCCGCTGGACTCGATGGACTTGAAGAGGTTGGACTGCCCTTCTCGAGCTCAGCGGTGCGGTCGTCGTGCATAGTTGCTGTAGGGTGCTTGATAGGGCGCACAAAAGATAGTTGTGCTTGTGACGTCGATTGGAATAACGAGTCCGATTCTAAAGAATATGGCCAGTGCTATATACCTCTGGGACGAGGCCAAGTTCTGCGTATGGAAGGAGGTCGGACATACATGCTGTCGCTAGCAATGCCCGACGTCGAGTAAAAGATCGGACGTCCGATGCTGTTCGTTGGTGATGTACGCAAAGGCGCTGCTGCACACCCGAGGCCGAGTCCGCGGCCGAGCTATTCAAAAGGAAAGCCGACCCCGATCGGCCTCGGAGTTCCGGACTCGGCTTGGATGTTTTTACCTATAAACATTCGTCGTCCACCTGCGAGGTTTTAAGGAATCATTCAACAACAAATATGGACTATCCTACTCGCCGATTCTGTCGATTTCATGCCAGACAAGTCTTTGCTCGAGCCAACTTTCCGTTGCGAGCATACGGACCCAGAAGAGGGATGGCGCTTCTCAAGATCGGTCTGTTCGGCACTGTTGGCTACTTCGTAGCGAAGAAGCTTCTTCAGTAAGTCGGTACTCCCAAGACACTATGGTCAAGTCGAGAATTATCAACTGACGTCTATCAGAAACTCGAATGAGCCACGTCAAAATCCTCAACAATGTGCATCGTGCGGACATGAGCGGCAGCAAGAATCCAGGCAGCAACCGACGAACGTTCCACGGACGCCATACCATTAGCATTTTGCAGTCATCAGCCATGATGCCAGTCAGCCTCGACAATCAGCTCTTTCCTAGGTTCAGTAGTCAACAGGCATACTTCGACGGCTCGGGCGGTGGTGACGGAAGCAATGGATACAAGACGTTGGGGTGGGCTTCGACTTACCCAAGATTCTATAAGGCAAATTGGGACTGTTAGGTATCGTTCAAAACCTATTATTCTAGCCTTTTCTTTTCATAGAAGATAGAGGAAGAAGAGAGTACTCTAATGACTATTTTTATCTTACCTCCTGACGAAGATATTCAACTTTGAAAATTGTCGTCCTTATAGTCCGAAATAGCGTATATCTATATGGTCGAAAACTCCCAGACAGGTTAGTGTTGTAGTCGAAAATTCTTAGATTAGACTCTATATAGGGAATACAGGGTAAATAGTGATTTCCATTTCTCTGGATTCTTTGGCCTATTCTGAGTATAATGGTACTCTCTACTCTTTTGTGTCAGGATGAGGAATCGATGTACTGGCTAGTACTGAAGATGTCCAATAGATTCTGGTGGCTGATTGATTATTGATGGGAGTGGTTGAACACCCCCGAAGGTTCCTCTTGGTGTTACTCCCGAGTCTAACCCGAATACCACACTCGTACCGGGGAATTGGCCAAAAATGGTCTTAGTGATATTTGACCACTCCCTCCGTTCGACAGTTCCTGAAATGAGCCGACCCACCAGGGCGCTTCGCCAAGCTGGCCGTTTCGTGTGACCTTTGCGAGATCTCCGATCTTTGCCCGATGTAGAAGAGTGCCCCGACAATACTTCCGGTCCTGTCACAAACCGAAAGACCTGCCTGGCTCATACGCGAGATCCGAATTCCTTCGACCGGGATCATGATCACTCATACGGCCCAGGTAAGACAATGCCGGTGTCGTTTTGACCTTCCATCCCATCAAAGACACAACCTGCTCCTCGACAAGCTCCAAACAAGGCCGTCTCTTGTCTACTGAATTCACCTTTCCAATGAGATGACTGTCATCTCCATCCAGCCTTATTGTCCATGTCTTCCAGGGATCTTCAAAGAGCAGTGGGAGAGGTGGAGGAGACATGTTTTGTGAGCCTTGTATAGGAGGGAAGGCCCCAAGGACCTCACCGACACATACTCTCTTGTCCCTACCTAAGTTTGACAACGAAGACTTCGAAGTCTAAGGAAGTCCACCGTCAACAGCTCTTGGGTTTCCATCAGAAGTTCCATCAACAGCCATACCACCATTTTCTGTATAGACATTCGTGTAGTATGGGTAGTGCACAGCAGACAGGTTGACAGCAAAAGTAATCCAAGCAAACAGTCCATCTTCAACACGGTCACCCAGATACGCGTAGTTAAGCATCGGGTCAGTATTGGTGTTCTGAGTCTCCTGGCCCACCACCCGGTCCTCCGCGTTAGGCGTGATAGGAATTTTGTTTGTGTTGTATGGGTAGGTCGACTCGACTGCATTGATAATGTCCTGATCCCAGAATATCTGCGCAACATGAGAAATCCTGCCACCAGCAATGGTGTTGTTTGGCAGTCTCTTCGCATGGAAGTGCGCGATGTTATGCATTATCAATTCCGGAACATACATCGTTGTCATTGGCCACAGCATGGGTGGCTTGGTGATCAAGAAAGCATATATCTTGGCGAAACAAGACATAGTGCACAAGGCACTAGCTGGGCGATTCGCCGCATTGGGTGATAGATAGCCTGCAATTATTTATGAAGGTCAACCAGGTGATAAAATGGATGAACTATCTATGAGTGATTGACAATAGTGTCTAATGCATTGATACAACTAAATAACATTCACCCAGTTTTGCACTGCGATACGTCCTTTCCCTCGAAGTTGCGGTTCGGGCAAGAATCGAAGGGTGTTGGTGGTGACACTAATTTCCGGAAGTACTGTAACTAAGTAGCATATTATGCCTGTATGTTTCCTGTCCGTCTGGCCCCCTCGATGATCTACACTGCATCCTCGGTCCGGCGATTTGCCACATGGCTTCTGCTGTCCTGGTGCTTCTTTGACGCCCGCCTCTTTAGATCTACCCTTATCGCGATCTTTGGTCTCTTCTGCCGCGGCTTTGTTGGTTCGTGACTGTAGATGCCGCGCTTAGATATCGCTAACCAACGCTAAAATACCTCCTCGATGATCGTCCCTAGCTTGTTCCTGTATCTGACGTCTTTCTAGATAGATAGCTTTCTAGAACTTCAATATAACAATAGCGACTAGAAGCTAAAGTGCGGCTAGTATGTTCGCCAATCCCCTAACTAGCAAGATAGCCTAGAATGTGTACTATTGTAAAGGATTACGCCTATCACGCTATAGATTAGTTAGCTTACTAGGTCTCTAGCGTAAACTGAACTGCTAGAGCTTAGTCAACCGCGGTCCGAGTCTTAGGAAGTTATCTCGAGCGCTGTACACGTCGCTTTGCTAGAGATGCCCTTCTATGGTCCGATAGGTGATTAGCTATATCTCAGATAGATAACTCTATAAGATTTTGTCGTAAGTCTTCTACTATAGACTACCGTACTTATACTTCCGTTCGTAGAGATCTGAGAGTATATCGTCGATATTTTACTTTACGTGCGAGTTCTTTAACCTATAGATTTATTTACGTGCAACCTTTCTGGACTTATTATTTTGTCTAAACAGAAGACGGTAGGAGAGGATAATCTCTTGCTCTAGACTAACGTAACACTAGTCTTTATCCTTAGGGAATAAGGGGTCGAGTTACTCGGAAATACTATTAAGAGTTAGCCGTAAATAACGGTAATAATAGCAAGTGTTATAATTTATATTATACCTTCGAATCGCCGAGCAAACGTTATCTCTATAGGTAGTAAGTAAGGCGTAGAATATAGGAAAGCGAAATAAGTATAGCTAACGATTAGCTAGATTGAACCGTAGATGCTCGCTAATAGTATCGACCTATTGAATTGTGACGTGCCTAAAATAGCGTAGCGAGTAAATATTAAGGCTTATCTTGTATAGGCTGTCCGTTTCCCGAGGTCTCGATCTACCCTCCGTTCGCTTATCCGACTAGTCACCCTAGTTCTGTAGCTTAAACGTCCGAAAAGTAGTTAGAATTGGTCGCCTATATCTATCGCTTATTCTATAGGTAGTGGAGCTCTTATTCGATTTAAGGCCGTTTAGGAGGAGATATATTAGATTTAGTGGTATATCGTCTACAAAGATTAACTTAGGCCGCACGACTAAGCTTGACTAACACAATACCCTAAAAATAGCAATATAAGGTAGCTTTTATCCTAGTCTCGCGTTAGATTCTTCTTAGAGGTCCCACTAGACTGCGACATTGCCCGTCCACGGTGGGCGGTGGGTAATTTGGATTTTCGAGTGCCCGTCCACAACGCCCATCGCCTACGGGCATGCCTATCGCGGGCATGCCCACTATGCCTACCATTGCATAAAGTCACCTAAAATAGACGTATAACTCGCTAACTTAGCAGAATAAATAACCGTTATTTATAGCGGTTTTGCTAACTCCATATAAAAGCTTAGTTTTAATCTACTATATCTATAGATTTTATTGAAATATCTTGGTATATAAAAAATTATAATATATATGATACGACTTAGAGGAAATTTCTAATCGAAATACTCTATATTTAGTGGTATTTTTATTAACTTATTAAATCATACTATAATAGTTTAAAGATATATATTTAAGTTAGTGATAGAAGCCTACTATTTTCTATAAGTAAAATACTAAGTTATATATTCCACTTTATCTCTCGTTTAGATATATTTCTTTTCGATAGATCGAAAGATTATTAGTATACTTCTTATTCTACGAATATATACCACTATATTTCCTCTATTATATCACTTAAAGGCTCGGGTTATTATTCTATAAGTTTTAAATCCTTCGATCGTAACTTAAGTTAGGCGTTTAGGTATATGCCCGTGGGTATGCCTATAGATAAAATACTATTCTAGCTAATAAGCTTATAAAATATAGTGGGTCTATACCTAATTTATGATATATTAGATCTATATAAGCACCCTTTTTACTAGTAAACGCTATTTTATATAGTTATAAGTTGCCTAATATAAGTTAATATTATATACTCTCCCTTAGTCTTTACACTATCCCTTATGCCTTTAATCAGAAGACCATCAAGGATCGCCCCGTCCGGACATTTTGAGTAGTTTAGGCGACGAGCAGCAAACGGTCATCACATAAGCCGCCTTACCCAACCCATCGTCGTAATCCATGTAACCTTGATCGCCGTGTTGTGCAAATACCTCAATTTTCGATAGAGGGCCCAGGCCATCATCAACCTTCGCTTGAGCGTGCACAGAGACGTACTGATACAGTCAGCCGCAAGTCTCATCTATCTGCCCCATCGTAATTAACAGCCTAATAGGCTCTGTTGGGAGATAATGTCCTGCAAAATATCCTTAGAGTACTAGTTGCTACCTCAGTCCAGTCTCAAATCACAGATAAGCACATGTCGGAACTCACCAACGAGCCAAGCATTAACCCCTTGCGGATGCCTTGTAGAGCCGATAAACACCGTCTTTTTTGACGTCCCATCATGTACGATTCACAGGCTTCGTTTGAGGCAAGCAAAAAAAACATTGGACAAAACTCCTGGTTTCAAGTCATTCCTTGCCCGAAGCTTACGGAATTTCCTATTTCATTAGCATCATGTAGCTATGAGTCGCGTTGATCTGTTGGACTCACTCTCTAAGAATATCCAAATTGTCCGGGTTTGGACTCTCAAACTCAACGAATTCCGCTACTTTGAACTCTTCGATTAGATCAAATCCGTCCGCCGAGAACATGGGTTCCTTGAGGAACTCGTCAAATTTCTCCCGGAACTTCTCCCATAGACTATTCTCCTGGTCCTTAGGGTGGTAGAACAAAAAGCCGAAGGTTTTCACCTCTCCTTCTTGGTCGAGGACATTCCTTATCCACCCGCGAGGCATTGTGAGAGGCTTCCGCTTCGCCTGGAGAGCAGCATAATATGCCATCTGTTTTGGGAAAAAGATATTGTCATCCCTCAAGTTGGCGAATGCTTTTGCCTCTACGGGAGAGAGGACAATAGCGCGCGCCTGATTTTTTTTCTCTGAGAGATCCGGCCGCTCGGTTTCCCACCGCAGTCGATCATTGGAATACTTGGCTTGGTCTAGCAAGTTCATGATGCGAAAGTCATTATCCATAAGAAGGCACTCTGGGTAGGTAAGAGAATCCGGATTTGTGGCTGCTTTGTGGAAAAGAACGTCAACCGACAAGTTCAAGTGTTTTTGGGCGTTTGCTTGCATTATTGCCATGGTGGGCCATTCTAGTATCTGGTGTTTTTCGTCTAATGTGACGGATGACGGTGACTGGATGGCCTTGTCCCATAGGGGCTCTAGGAGGGCCAATTTCTCCGAAGTCTTTGCCATTGTGTTGGAAAAAAAAATTTGGGGATGGTTTTGGCTAGATTATGCAGGGTTCAATTGGCCCGGGAAGGGGTCGGTTCTTATGCAATTCCGCGCCTAGTGGCGTTTTACAATGCCACAATTATCACTAGTAATTTCCAATACGCATATCAGTATTTTGAACCCAGTTTTTGAAGTTCGAAGTTTTGATCACTTTCGATAACATTGAATTTGGTTGGTAAAATCTATATTGGAGCTGATATTTGGAGCTGAGATGTACAGCGCTGTTCAGCTGAGGAGGCTAGTGCATTGATCGCCCGACATACTGTATGATGCTTCCAATTCTAGTCATTTGCATATGCAAAGCTGCTGAGCGTTTCAAGGGAAACAACACGATCCAATGATACTATGCCTTTGTTCAGTTAAGGGGGTCAATGCAGTGGTCGCGCCTTAGGTGGTTTTCACCCAGCTTCTACCCTATTTATAGCGCACTCGCCCTTGTCACCCCCGGTCGCGCGACGATAAAGCGGCTCTCACCCTAAACTCACCTAGGCGATACCCACCCGACTACTGGCCGCACATAACCTACACACCATACAGAGTAGTGAGGTCTGATCTAAGGCCTTTGTAAGTCTACTTACTATATAACCCCCTTCTATGTTCAATTCAGTACATACGACCATAGGGTGTGGAGAACAGGGCTTCCCGTCCGCTCAGCCGTACTTAAGCCACACGCCGGTAAGTTAGTAGTTAGGTGGGTGACCACTAGCGAATCCTTACTGTTGTATGTTGTTTTTGTATGTTTTGTTTTTGTATGTTTTGTTTTTGTATGTTTTGTTAGGAAAGTCCCTCTTGCCGCCCTACTCTTCAGCCCCTTCAGCCCATTCACCTGAATGCCCTGAACACCACTATTCTACACCTGAATATCCTGCACGCCCCCTGAATCGGTGACGTGTCCTTCCTTCCTCTCCCGTACTGGTTTTTTCTCAGGCGTGTTGTTTTGATCACAACTCTCTGGTACTAGTTTCTACCGGTTGACATATGTCCCCCTAGGATTCACATGACAGTAGGAGGAAGAAGGGCCGCCTCGGAGAATCAAACTTGTTATTGAATATAAATTCGCTGGAGGTCACCCTCCCCACTCCTAATTCACCGGCGAGTGGCTTATATGCGATCAATAGTTCGGTGGATGTGGGGTGAGGGAATGGGAGTCGCTTTACCGTCGTGCGACTGGGGGTGAGAGGGGTAAGTGTAGACATAGGGTGATGACGGAAATCAAGGTAACGTATGGCGAGCGTATCAGTAAAATTCACAAAAGTAAGCTTCTCTAAGCACAAATAACTGTCCGGATCTGACAGTTTAGTGGACAAATTACTGAGCAACATGCATAATGAAAAGTTACATGTTTCATAAAAAGACCGGGTAATCAATGCAACACCTTGTTTCTTGGGTGAGACACTTTCGGGCCGGCGCGACGCACTACCCGCTCCCAGAGTGAACATAAATTGGATTGCGTTCGATCTGACACATTTTTTAGCAACTACACCATCGTACATCATTGCTATGAAACCAAACAAATTACAGAAGAATAGGAAGCGAATAAAGATATAGTCTAATCCTCGGAATTAAGACACCAAGGCAATCGCTTCGTATACAGCAAGCGAAGGCCAGCTTTACCTAGAACGCCCCACCCTACTGAAAAGGGAAAAAAAAAAAAAAAAATTATGTAGCACAATATAGGGAATGTTGATATATTACATTTTTAGTTTCCATCATGCACTAGTTCAATTAACATTGATGACTTCGGGGGGTTGACTGGGTACAAAACATCCACACCGCCTTGGCCGCTTTTCGATAAGAACATCCATTTCCCAATCGCCCGTCTGTTTTCGTTTGTCCCTCACTATATACAACTTCTCAGATATTGACTCTCTAAGAAATTCGTCTCATAATGGTGAGAACTGCAAATTTGACCATCTCGAGTGGAATAGAGAAAGGCAGTATTGAATATGAGCCATTCGTAGAATGGTTAACGCCGATCAAAGGGCGTGCTTTCATTTCGCATGAAAGCGAGCGTGAGGTCAAACCAGGGGAAAGTTTTGGACTTTTAATTCGCCGAGACCGTATTGGCGTATCTTTCTTTGAGACAATGGAGCCACCCTCTTCCGAGACCATGCAACTTGCTTGTGACCTATTTGATCGACACGGGCGCCTAAAGTATGAACTCATGTATCATCCTATTCGGAAAGGACTGGGTATTTGGCAAGGCGAGCTTTCCTTGGGCAACTTCTTGATCATTGAATCCGTGTCCGTGATGAAAAACCATCGTCGCGGAGGCGTTGGACGGGAATTGGTGATGGACATGATCCAAAAGGCTATAGCACTCAATGATGACATCCGGTTCATATTTGCCTACCCAACTTGCTTACATGAAGGGGAAGACCTCCAGGATCGTGCGGGAATGAATAAAAGGGAAAGGTATAAAATGGCGCGCGCCCAGGCCACAGTTGCCATTTGCTTTTTTAGGGCTTTGGGTTTCCGGCGAGTAGGGTTAAGCAATTGGTTCGCTTTATCGAGCAAAGATGCCAATCACATTTCACGAACCATACCAGCCGAGAATGATATAGATCCTCCTGAAATTGAGCAGTCGGGAAGTGAATACGATTCGGATGACTCTCAGCCCGAAGTTCCCAAAACGCAAACGATACTACATAGCGGATCCATCAATCAAGATGGGGACTTCGACTTCAGCGAGGCCTCATTGTCGTCAGCCATGAACGCAGCCACGGCCTTTGTCGACGACAAAAAGAAACGTCAAGATACTCGAAGCAGGCTTATGAGAAATCACCCAATTCACCATTCATTTATGACCCTTTCCGACGCAGAGTGTCTGGAAATTCTTCTGGAACAAAACCGTGACAACGAGTCGCGGGAGAGACTAGCCAGAATGACGGATGACCGAGGGAATACCCTCCTTCATATGGCAGCCTGTCACTTCATGCCAAATTCTGTGATGTGGATCCTGAACCTCGCTATCGAAGGATGGGATGCCAAAGAATGTCGCAACATACAAGGATACACACCTCTTGAAGCCTTACAGTCAAAACTGGAGGAGCGTCGCCTTGGGAGTTATCACGGGCAACGCTTCATCTTTCAAGCAGATCAATTTGATGGATATGACGAAAAAGCAACAGCATGCCTGCTTGCCCTTAACGGGCATACTAATGAAACCCCCGAAAGCATGAATCGGTTACGTTTTGGCTGCAGCTGTGGTTCGTGTCTAGGGGGGTTTCTAAGTCGTCGCATGATTGAAAGTCTTCGACTGGGCTCCGAGGGAATCCTCAGTGAACTTCAGAAAACAGAAAATGTCCAAAGCCATCGAGTTTGGTATAATCGAAATCGACATCTCCTTGAGAACATACCTCAGAATGTGAGAGGGATGTTTAAAAAAAGCAAGGTGTTGCGGAGAGGATTTCGAGCCTTTTTCATAACCATCGTTCAATGCTTGCAAGGCAGCAATATCCCTTCAGAAGATAACTTGATGGCAATCTATCGGAAATCTCGACTATGGCCACAAATGTATGCTTTCTATTTTGCTCCGGGCGGTAGCATTGATGTAGCTACGACCCTTTCGCTGGATTTTGCGAAACGACAATTCCGAACAACAACTTTACGCAGCCACCGGAGATATGGCTCGCAAACATCAGATCTTCCATCGTGCAGAAATGACTGTGAATTTGAATTGGTGAAACGACAATGTTCAAATGGTGCAAGTGCAATAGCGTCAGCGCAGTCATCTCAGGTATCTATCAATGATCGTATGAAGTAAGTTCATCTCTAGTGTTTTATTTTTGATAATAAGAACAAAAGGAAACGTTTTATAGGGTTCAGCTGCTAACAGCCTTCGTCACAGACTCCAGGAACCATGGCTGCGTCAACTTTCACGCCTGATGAAGACTACCGGGCTCTCAAGTGACCAGATTTAACTCCATACATCCATTGCGTGTCTTTTTAGAGATAGTATATCCCTTACATGAGTTTAGCTGAACCCTTCTATGAATTCCCTGGTTTTCGCGGACAAGACCTTCCCAAAATCGGACGGTGAATCAACAAATGAAATCAGACTACCGATCCCGAGCTGTAATAGGTCGGCTCCATCACTATCATCGCCAGAAAATAACGTATGGCATTCCGGAATATAATCTGCGTTATAGATCAGGTACACCGAATTACAGATTTGAAAGAATGGGTGGAGGGAAGGGTGCTTACCATTCGGGAAGGTGACGAGGAATTGTACTCTAGGTCGACAAGTGAAGAGAAACGAGTTGTCAGATCGTCTTACAACAACCAGGCAGAATACAGAGATATTGCACTCATACTCAACAAAAAAGGACTCTATCGTACTCGCAAGGTCTGCAATCTTTGAAGCAGCCGCAGTCGCGGTGAACAGGTTTCCCAGACACATGAGCAAGTCTTCTGACTCGTTGATAGCGTTCTCATAGTACATGATGGAGAGGTCCAAGAATGTCTGATTGTAGACGTTCAGCAAGCTGCGATCAATGTGACGCCCATATGGCCCGTGAAGGATCATTTCTATTGACTTTAAACTGCCCTCTCGTGCAGCGATGTGCAAAGCTGTATCGCCGGGGAATCTTGCAGATAATCGGTCAACTTGAGCGTTCAGAAACTGTGGCCTATGGAAATTGTGAAGAACATGATCCAAGACCTTTCTGTTGCTCTCCGCAGGAATGAACAATTCACTGGCAATCCGAGCGCCATTTGCTTGGGGGCTGACTGCAAAGTGAAAGGCAGTAAAGAAAGTTTGCCTCCCTTTACTTTCGTGAACCCCACATCTCCAAAAAAGATCATCTCTAGAAGATGGCGAAAGGACCAATGTTGCTAGACTGAGAAGCGTGTCTACCCTGTCGGTGGCGATGGGAGAAATGGCATCGAGAGAAATCACTTCAGCCAAGAGCGACTGCCCTTCTAACATGAAATCACAATCCCCATGCAAGCACAGTAGGACTGCAGTTTTCAAATTTCCTGCAAGAAGGTTCACCATTAGTGGAATGGAAAAGTTGGGGCGACCAGTGTTGGTGACGATGTTCCGAGTGGATGTTGATGATGACGATGTGTGACAAGCCAATTTGACAAGAGAAGACACGTAGTGTTCGTTATTGGACATATTGCAAACTTTTGCTAGCGCATATAAGATTGGTTCGTCATCATCAAGGTGCACATCGTCTTTGTGAGCAACCAAGAAGTCAAAAACATCTTTATTCGAGTACTGTATTGCAGTTTCAATGCAATCAATGAATAGTCTTGTATTGGATGGCCGGTGAACTCCACCGTCGCGGTTCCAGAGAAAGCGGAGCAGTGGAAGATTGTTCACCTCGCAAATTAGGACAATTGGGCTAATGGATTGACCTGATGGCTCTCGGCTTATCTCAAGAAGGCTTGCACCATAACGTATTAATGTTCCGACTGTCATCAATTGAGCATCCTGAAGTCGCCTTCCATGTGTTAAGGCGATCCTCATAAGGGCTTCCGTGGGCCTATTCAAGGCAAGCAACAACGGAGACGCTCTAGTGTTTGGGCCGACCAGTCGGAGCTCATTGAGTTTTCCTCGCATCCATTGGATGTCTTTACATGATGCCAGCAAAATCTCAACGATATCAAATCGGTATCTCGTAATAGCACTTTCGAGAGGAGAAGAGTGGATAAACACGTCGTTGGTAAAATCCCGCGGAACGAGCCTTTGGTAGGCAAAGATATTTGCCCCCCAATGTAGTAAGCTATTGATAGCCTCAATGTTTCCGGCAATCACAGCCCAGAGAAGAGGCGTTCCGGCTTCCACGTCAAACCGCCCATCGATGCCTTGCCGGTAAGTATCTCCTTGTGAACAATGGGCTTCTAAGATTGCACCATTCGTTAGGAGCAGATTTGTCACCCGTGGAATATATTTGTCTTCAAAGGCACTGAGAAAGTGCAGCGGGTGTATACCACGATATGTAGCTATTGTCGGGTCTGCTCCAAGTTCAAGGAGTAGCGCAACAACATCAGCGTGCCCACACCGACATGCGGTAACTAGAGGGGTTTCCCCTAGATTGTCCGTCATGTTGAAATGACTTGGAGGAAGTTTGGAAAGGCAATTCAAGCTCTCAAGTTGACCATGTGCTGCAAGATTGTGAATGAAGTAAGGTGGGACATCATAGCCAAAAGGTATCACTCTCAATAGCAGCTCTGTATCGGACCACAGTGCGCCTCGAACAAATGACCCATTATATTCAAACCGAATCAAGCGGGAGACTTTCAGATGATGCGATGGATCAAGCAGTCGTAAGCGCTGCATGGCTGTTAAGCTACCTTTCAGAGAAGCTTGGGATAACCATTTCACTTCTGTTTCAAAGCTTTCTGGCATCGCACTACCAAAGGCGTAATGAAGCCTTCCGGCGACGCTTTGCGCGTGGTGATATCCGGACGCAGCGGCAAGATGCAGATAGTGTAGGGCAGTAGAGATGAGCGAGGAACTAGTCTTCCATGTATCTGGATAACACAAAATCATGACAGAATATTCAAAACTTGCCAAGACGCGTCTTGTTTCGCTTTCTTGAACGGAGTCTGCTACATTCTTCAGTTGATTTGTAATTTCTCTTCGAACGGAGACGGGCAGAAATGAAGTGTATTTCTCGTTCATCGATGCCTTTTCATAGGTCCCAATTTGGTTAGGTACTCTATTCAATCGAACGCCAAAGAGGCTTTTGATGGAAGCGTTTAGACTTACTCGGAAGACCATTTCATCTTTTTGTATTCCAGTCATTTTTGTTCTCTTGTGGTTCCGCCTGCATTTGGTTAATACGCCCTTCAGATAAAATTTATGATGAAATACACACCTCCATGCTTTACAGGTATTCCACATGTGAGTTACCACCTTGGCACTCTGTGACTTCATGAATGGAGACTGACTATTTATGCAACGTTAGATATAAGTTGAAGCTATGTGTATCTTTTACTTACCTCTTCCTCTTTGACGGTTTCTGTTTCCGATGAAAGAATTTGGGATATAGTGGGCATTTCTGCGGGAAGCTCGCTATCCTTCCGAATTTCCAGATAAAGCACAACTCTCTGAAAGGGTTGGTGGTGCTTGAGATGACGTCGTTTATTTCTCGAAGATTCAGCTCCAGTTTCATGGAATGCTTGTGTTCCAGTGGTTCTTCGAGACCCATCATGATAGAAACAACATTCTCCAGCTCCTCGCGAGCTGCTGGGTTGATTTGGGATAGATCATGTAGTTCCAAGCGAAGAACTTGCTGAAGAGCCCTTACAATATGACACATTGATCCAATTCGCATCAGAGGCTCTCCAGACGTCATCTGATCAATGAGACGGCTGAAAATATTCTCACATCGTTCATTTTGCAGTGTAACCTTCTCTAATGTTTTCCAATTTCCGCTGATGTCTTCAAGCACCTTTTGTCGTTGAGACGTCATTTCAAACCGTGCTTGCTTCATGAGATCGGTTTGTTTATTAAACCAATTCCACACACTTTGTTGGCGCATTCGCTCTAAAGCATCATTTCCGAATTTCTTGCGCGCCGCTTGGGTAGATGGTAGAATTCGTTCGTCGCGGTTGAGCCAGCCATTCAATTCTCCTAGGCGTTTGTATTGTGTCAGATTATCTGGTTCCGAAACAGATGCGGCGAGTAGCTTGTCCAAAATAAAGGGGCCTCTGACCAAAAATAACAGAGTAATCGCCAGTGCGAATATGTCAGCTTTAAGCAGGCCTTGTTCGCTGAATTCCGCCTTGTGGTCGAGACATTCAGGAGCAGTAAAGGCAGGTGTGCCAATAAATGCCTTTCTGGGAAATTGGTCGTGGTCAATAAACGTTGAAGCCCCAAAATCCGCTATCTTGGCGACGAAACCTTGGTGCTTATCCTTGAAGACCAATATATTCTGCGGCTTGATGTCGCCATGCACAACGCCAGCCAAATGCAGAGCCTCAACCCCCTTTGCAATATCGATGCAGAGGCCGAGGCGCCTGCGCATGGAAATCTTTTCATGAGATAATCGATAGAAGGCCTCAAGATCACCCAACGAGGTGCCCTCAAGAACCAGGTTTGGGATCACATGATCTGTATCTACATCAACAGTTCTCCAGCAGCAGCTAAGGAGTCTAACGATGTTTTTGTGTTTTCTGATAGATTTGTGGTTAAGAACTTGATATTCCTTCATCATCGATGCAAAGATTTGTCGATTCTCATACGGCTGCAGAACCTGGTCGAGTATTGGTGTCTTGACAGCTATTAGTTGGGGGAGTGCAATGTCGGCAATCCCCTCTGGCAAAGTTCGCTGAAACTCTTGTCGACTTATCAGAGAGACTGAAAAGTATGACCCCTTCCGTCGTTTCTCGGACAATTGGATGTTGCTTGGGGTGATATGGACCATGTTTATCAATAGTGCCGTCAATCCCGCCGTTTCAATAAACTGGGAAACTAGGGCTGTGAAGGAAATGATGTCGTAGTGCTCATTGTCAACTGCAACATTGTCAAATTCATTCTGTTGTTCGACACTTGTCTCATCGAAGTCGGAGTACGAAGCAGCTGAAGAAGAACTTCTTGAACTGTAGTCGGAAAAATCCATGATCAAGGGTGGTTGGTGATCTGAACAAGGAGGTTCTTCCCAACTTTCAATTTATAAGCGCCAACGTCACCATGTGATATGCAAAAATTGAGGCAGCAGGTACTTTTGCACCTAGCAACACGCTAGCCGGTCTCATGTGACCCGAACACGTTGGCCCCTTTGCTGCGTTGGCAAAACCCAGGCAAAACCCACATCAAACATCCTTGGTTTGCTTCGGACAGTGATCACCTCTGTTTCCTGCTTTCAGTCTACCTTGAGTAAATCTCCAACTCTGCAATCCTAAGCTTATCGATGGCTGAAGCTCATGTCAACACTCTATTTGGCGCTGCGGGGTTCTTAGGTCAGCTAGTCCAAAATACCTTAAGCGCATTTGAACTATGGGACAAAGTTGGAAAAGCGACCGAATCGGCCGATCGATATATTGTTCAACTTCAATTTTTGCGCGCTAGACTACACTGGTGGACAGTGTGCTGGGGCCTTTTGGATGATGAAACATCTCCTTCAGTAGTTGCAGATCCTCGGATTGAAATTTACTCAGCTCCGGTCGCAAATTATCTGCAACTCATTTTGAAGACACTGCGAAATCTGACTGCCTTTGAAGACACTGCTTCAATTTTCAAAAGAATATATAATTCAAATGCCTCAAGTAGCCTCAGCAGATTGGCTATATTGCTTAACCCTATATCAATTTTGCAATCCACTGGACCTACCGAAGACGTGAACGACGATGCTTCAAATCTCAGAGAACGTCTCGAATGGGCTTTACAGAACGGCAAGGCCATGGAAAACTTAAAAATGCTTTCCGACTTGATTCAAGATCTGGAGAGATTTCTTCCGGCTCCTGACTCCGACCTGAATGGCACAGTCCTTGTCAACCCAGCGCTAAGAGCTAGTGTCTGGAAACTGAGGTGGTTGAGTCGTCAATCAGGTTTTGACGTTTTCACCACATCTCTTGCTGAGCTCAAGGCGACAAGCCTGAGCCAAGTGAATGAGTTCAAGCTTTCCCCACTCGAGAAATCATCCAGACTTACCGGCAGCTTAGATGATCCGGGGATAATTCGAGCGGGCGCCCCTTACTTAGCAAAGTACAATGGAGTTACAGTTCTTGTGGGCAGAAAGCAAGTTCCTATTATGACTGATCATACGGTTCTGCGAGCCCGCATTGAAAAACTGGTACGAATGTTGAATTCTTCACAGAATATCAAAGAGCTCAGGACTCCTCCCTGCTTGGGATACATTTATGCATCACCAGGAGAGGGTACATTATCTCATACTTCCGAGAGTTGCACTTATGAGGTACTCTACTGTTTCAATGAGCAAAACTGTTTTTCATTACGACATGTTCTGTTTAAAAAATGGCAATTCTCGCTCAGCAAGCGATATGATGTTGCTAGATCGCTCGCTCGATCAGTTCTCTATCTGCACGCTGTTGAATGGCTTCACAAGGGAATCAGAAGCAGCAACGTGGTTTTTTCTACAAACCAAGTCTTGCCAAAGAACCCCAAGCGCCCCAAGAGCCCCGCATTTGCGGTGTCTGGCCTCCCTTACCTCGTGGGTTTCGAATATAGTCGGATTAACTCACGTGATGAAGGCACTGAAAAAACAATCGACGTCTCGGACCACAATCTCTATCGACACCCAGACACCCAAAGCGAACCCACCACCGACCCAAGTTTATACTTAGGAGATAAAGGACGTTTCACAAAAAACCACGACATATTTAGCCTTGGTGTGATACTTGTTGAACTCGGTGTCCTCAAGCCAGCTCAAAAAATTGAACAGGATCTTGAAGTATCCGACAAGGATTATAGAAACGCAGAACATGGAGATCGACCTCAGAGGTTCAGGCTATACCTCATCGACCTTGTCTCTGAGGTTGAAAACAACATGGGTCCTATATATGCAAATGTGACGTCTCAGTGCCTCGCGGCAAACTTCTACCGTCAAGATGTGACAATGGACCAAGACGGTGCTGTGGCATTTTACAGGGATGTCATTGCTCAACTTGGGAAATGTAAAGTGTGATTTCAATATATGATGCTCGCCTTATCTTCATACCTGATCGTTCCTTTCCCTTCGGTTTCATCGTTTATTTCCAATTCAGAACGGGTCGGTTAGATGTATTCATTCAGAGAATTACTCCTAGCTTTTATTCGACGTTAAAGGTCACTTTTCTCGAATTAGATTATTCTATCATCAATCAAATGGTGCATTCGATGATGCTGTAGTAAAGTGCCAATGCGATTAGTATCAACCATAAACCAGCCGATGAGACGTTGGTCTAGCCGGGATGGATGGAGGGCTTCTATCACCTACGGTGAGAATTGCCTTCTCATCCGTTCTCACCTCTGTTACTTCGATCTCTAAAATTCTCACCCATATCACCCACACTCGTTCTAAGAATCCTTCCTCGCCACTTGAGTGTTCAAGGCACGTCGAGAATTAGCCGCTTAAAGTCATGGGCTAATATGCGGTCAATAGTCCGGTGGGTGTAATATTAGCCATATACTTCAACATCGGGTCATGCTTGGTACGTATCCTACTCGTGATAAAGCGAGGCTTAAGGAGTGAAAAGGAGGGGAAAAGAAAGGTTACTTATAGTATTTTCGGTCAGAAGTGGAAAATGTACATTTTGCTGTACGGGCTGAAGAATATTCAGGTGGGTGAGTATCCGCCCTGGGTGCTCGCTATAGAACGGCGAGCCGCCTATGGCCGAACCGTGGGCGCTAGGTGACCACGGTCATACTCATACTGTTGTATGTTTTTTGCTTCTTTTGCTCCTACGTTCGAATAGTAGTAAATTGTAGTTCATATCAAGAAACCAGATCTTTACCGGGACGCGTTGCATTCGGTCCAATATGCTCGATGAATTCTCAGTGTTATAATGAAGACTTCGTACCTCACTGATTCACTATAGGTTGAGGCTCGGTATGCTAAGAGCGGTAAAATTTTGGTAAATATTAAAGTTTAGAGGGGGAATCGCAGGACATAGTTGATACTATAGCATAGTGCCGTCCCCGGATTTTAGGCTGCACGTCCGTCTACTCTTTATGTTTACCATCTTCGCTCTCTTCGTCCACAATGTCGAGCGGCTCACCTAACATATCCCCATAGACCATCACTGCAGCCACTCCGTCCGCTCTGATCCAAGTCTCCTTCGACATAAAATCGCATTTGCAGCCCCTTCTTCACATACCAGACACTATAACGGTCCCTATGGTTAAAGTCCGCAGGATGAAAGGCTACACCATCCTCTTGGCCAGGATTAAGCGTCTCAACACGCAAAGAAGCCCCCCGGGCCATGTAAGCCGGAATAAGCAGAGTCTCTGCCTCCCAGACTTTCGTCGCGGCGGGATCCTTCCTACCGTCACCATTCTCATGGGATGTCGGAAATTCAAGGGCGAAGACCTCTGTATTGGGTGGTTTGAAGGTTCTGGTGCCGTACGTCCAAGACATCCAATTGCCAACATCATAAAATACATGGTTCCACATATAATAGATTTGGTCGCGCCATGGTGTATGGCAAGACTTCGTGTCCGAGTTCTGCGGAAGCTGTTCACGCTCCTCTGGGGTGAGTGGATTGACTTCTTCCGCCCAGGTCTCAAAGTCGCCGTTGGGTGGGTTGTTGCATTCTGAGGTTGATCTCCGGACGGGCCAGCCGTGGACGAGAAGTTGTGCGACGGTAAATTGGGACGGGTCTTCCCCAAATCCGATTTTGCGAACTCCTGGGTTAGGAAATGGAGTGAGATCTCCGGGGCGGAGGTGGGCGATTGCATGCATGCTTAGATGTGGGAGTTCAAATTTTTTTTCTGATCTTGGGTTGATACAAGGAGAGAATCCTGTGGAAGTGGATAGATGGATAGATCGGAAAACTCTTTTGGCCCTAAGGCGATGCAAAGTTGAGTCACATTGTGAATGATCTACGTAGTTAGGTGACGCTAAAGCGGCTCTCACCTAAACTCACCCGGGTGACACCCAACTACTAGCGGCACATAAGCAACACTGGTCTATAAAGCCTATATCAGTTTTATTGACTCTTATATGAACCCTTTAATGATAAAAGAAGTACATACGACCATAGGGTGAGGAAAACAAGGCTTCCAGTCCGCTTAGCCAGCCGTACTTGGGCCACATAACCTACGCGGGTAATTCTCAACGCGTCTTAGACACTAAAGTGCTAGGAAACCTGTCTTAAGGTGACTGTAGGTGATATAGGTGAGAATTATAGAGACTAAGGTGATAGAAGGCCTCATTGAAAAGATCACCGACATATTTTTCATAGAATCTGAGTTTATCTTCCATCTTTAATGCATGATGATGTCGTCGTTTATCGGAGCACTGATCGAAAATGCAGACACTATAATGTTCATTATACATTGGACCCATGTAATCACGCCACTGCACTGGTTTTTAGACACCAAAAGTTAGTAGTTGTTAAACAGCTAAGTATTGTAGACCGGGCAAGATCTATGAAATGATGGCTAAGAGTACTTTGGTTCGTCGACGCTGACATTCTTCATAGGCAGTTAACAAACAGATTTCGTCGCACATAGTTTGGTCCTATTGCTCTGTTCTCTAATTGGGCAACTTCCGATACTACAGTAGTCGAGGTATGTGGCTGAATAGGTCCGAGGGCCCGTTCTGCTCGTTCAACTTTGTTTTCAAGCTTAAATTAAGGGTTGAGAACTGACAGCATGCATTCGCAGACTAATATCCGGAGCTAAGAGTATACAGGGAGGTCACTCCTTCAGATCAAGCAGTTCAAGCCAGTAGGTACAGTCGTTAGTGGATACAGCGTCCATCATAGATTGCCTGTATCATTACCTTTTCGAGTAATGTGTAAACACCGCTTTCTGTCGTTTCTAGCGAAGAATTTCATCCATAATACGTTCTCAGAGACTCCCTGTCTTTTCCGTGGCATCACAGCTTTGATTTTGTGTTCGATGACATGAAAGGAAAAGTGATGGTGGAGGGCTTTACAGTGATGGCTGTTCTCTGGAGTTTTTGGCTTGGGTTTCTGGATTTGCCAGATTTGCTGCAACTATGAGCACTTTTGATCTGGCCTTTTAGTCCGCAAGGGAATATTCTCGACACCTAGAGCCCTTGGTGAGATCGGAGCTAATGTGTGTCATCAGAGAACGAGGAGGCATTCTTTATTAAATTCAATGCGCTAAGCCCGATGTGTAATATAGTAGTTTTCGAATTTAGTTTTACTTCTCACTCTTCCGACTTGATTCCCTGAAAATAAATCTGAATTGCGCCCGAATCCCCTTTTACGTCACCGCTTTGTAAGATAGGCATACAGTAACTGCGATTGTGGCCGTAACTCGATCTCGAAGACAACATCATAATAACGTAATGTTTCATGGGATCACCCGCCTGCATCCTCATTCTTCCAATATGTGTTTAAACATTCGTGTACGCATGGCTCCTCGCTCTAGTCGATTTTGGCTTGCGGAGATGACCTCATTTTAAATTGTCTGGCAGGTGTAGTATGTACTTTTATCCAGCTTTTCGGACGAAATCTTGTTTCCGAGGGTCAAACCCCCGCGTTTTTGCGACGTCTAGATGAGGGTTATTTGCCGCCGAATTATAAATCAAACTGCATTATAGTTTGGATAAATGGGCAGATATTCCTCCCAGGTATCCCATCATTCGCACCTAGCTTCATTCAATGTATCATGTCAGACATCATGAGTTCTGCAATTACGCCCGATTCTTTTCTCAAAAAATTCCACAAGCGAAATGCTTGGATCGAGAGCCCTGCCGAAAATCATCAGTTAGTCCGCATTAGCTACATCGACTGCGAACCTCCATCTACCAGGGTCCAGATAGGGGTCATAATACTAATCCACGGATTTCCACAATCGTCATATCAATTCCGACACGTGATACAGCCTCTCGCCGATGAGGGATTCCGAGTCATAGTCCCCGACTATCGCGGAGCTGGTCAATCATCGCGTCCGGCCCAGGATTTTAGAAAATCGACAATGGCTCGTGATATTTTCTCCCTTGTCCACGATCATCTCGGCATAACGCAGCCTGTTCATATAGTCGGACATGACATTGGGGGTATGATTGCGCATGCATATGCCATGCAGTATTCCCATCATGTGGCTAGTGTGATTTGGGGTGAATGCCCGCTCCCTGGAACTTCTGTTTACGAGATGAACAAAATCATGCCTGAGCAGTTTCACTTTGTGTTCCACTGTGTACCTGATGATTTGGCGCTGTCTCTGGTGACCGGAAGGGAGAAGATATACCTGAATCATTTTTATTCTAAACAGAGCTTCAATGCCCTGGCGATATCCTCGGCTGATCTGGAATTTTATGCTCTGCAATACTCGCAGCCGGGAGCGCTACGTTGTGGTTTTGAGCTGTACCGGGCGTTTGAGGAAGATGCTCGAGAGAATCGAGAAAGCCTGCGCCTAAAGGGTAAATGTATGCGACCCGTGCTCATTCTCAGTGGCTCGCAGAGCCGGCATGCCCATGAAGCCAGAGAAATGGTGAAAGAAGTGTACGCTGGCGACATCCGGGTTGAAGAGGTCGAAGATTCTGGTCACTTTATCGCCGAAGAGAACCCCGAGGGCTTCCTACGGACCGTCTTGGCCTTCGTTCACAATCATGTGTCCAAAAAGTGACGGTCATATGTAAAACATATCTTTAACTACAGTCCCTGTTTATGGCTTGTTACATTTTCTGTCTTGCTCGGTCGGGGAAGGGGATAATAACATGGAGATAATGGAGACTTGAGGTATAATCTACATGCACAGCTACACGCACAGTTCATTTGGAAGGATTCGACAGTACAGTAACCCTATCCACGAAGGAACTCCAGATTTCGATCCCTAGGATTACAAAGCTCGAGATGGTTGTTTCCCTTGGTGCGTGATGGACGAGGCATCATGCCTCGAAATGGGAACTTCCTTAGACTTGAATTTGAGACTGAGAACTACCATGAGCCCTAAAGATCCTTTCTTTCTAGTAACTTACCATGAAAGCATCTAATCGTTGCATACTTTAACCTTAGCAGACGCATAATAGTGACGGGTGAGCAAGTCTGCTTGCTGCCCTGGATGAATATGGGCTACGGAGGTGTATGTTTATAGCAGTTCGTGTAGAATACATTCTTCGAGGTCTCACGACCGTATTGTAGAATACAGACACTATTTCAGGAACTGGGACGGGTATCAGGGATCTTGTCATGTTAGGACTAGCGCGGGTCTGATAGTGTGGAGGTATAACTGATTTCGAAAACTACTGTACTCGAGATCAACTTTAGCTATATATTCTCAAGCATTGAATTCTGAGCCCTAGCTCGAAACACGCTATTACTATCTTTGGATTGCCCCCTCTTCCATTTGTGACCAAAATGACCACCGGTCGGAAGATTGTTAAGACCCGCTCGGCGTGACAGGTGCCGATTTACTTACGGGGACAGTGCCATTTCCAGGCTACAATAAATCCCCCCTTTTAACCTATGACAATTAACAATAAGCATTGATCAGAGCTCGACACATCTGATCTGTATCACTTCCCGCGGATCTGATTGGAGCCGACAGGCGACGAAGTGTACGCGTACTTACCTGCAGGCTCCCACCAGGTGCCCATATACATCCAATGCCATTGTCACAAAGCATAAAAACAGCCACAGCGGACAGATCACAGCGATCTCCATTGCGTGCCATTACGTCTCCTAGTTTCTTCCCCCTGATAGGTTTCAAGGGGTCATACAAGCCTGCAGGCTGATTGGCCATCTACCCGCTTGGTCGTGTTTCAGGGCCAACTACGGTCTTAGCTGTCAAGCCCACGCGCCCAGGAGGTGACTTTCTCCACCCAAGACGCCGCGCAGTAACAGACAAATGAGTCGGGAGTGCCGAGAGCTCTTAGGTTGCTTTCATGACTGTCCTATCCGGGACTTCGCCCTTCCCTGGTCTAGTCACTGATCCACTTCCATGCCAATCTGTTTCGGTCAATCAGCGGCTGCTGTTGAAGCCTGTAATGCCCAGGATGCGGAGCATAGCCAAGGGTTTTGCGTATGGTAGTGCAGGTCTGGCTCCAATAGGTGGAGGTGGGCACATGTGAGGAATTAGAAACAAACAGTTGCGTTTGTCTGGAGTTTGGGCAGTGTGTGGTGGTATCTGGTCTTGCCATATAGAATCACCATCCCCGTGTTTCACTTGTAGACTTTTGATCTTTGTTTATCTTTTTTTCCTTTCTCCATTGTTGTCTTTTGGTTTTTTCTCTCCTTCAATTCTATTCTTCTATTCCTTGGATTCGATTCAGGACTGCCTGCCGCTCGTTTTGCGACATTGGCATTGTTGCATTGTGCATTCATCCACGCCTAGGGCCACTTTCTTTTAAACAGCTCGGAGAGCTATTTCTGTCTTTTGGCTTCTCTTCATTTGGTCTTTCTAGACAAGATCCTCTTCTCATTACATTCCTTGATATCGCTATTTCAGGCTGGTCCTGGTTGTTCTGCTCGTTTTACGGCACTAATATCCTTGGGCATTTGACAAGATGCATCTGCTATTTTCCTTCGTTGTTTTTCTTTTTTTGAGCTTGAATGCTCTGTGCATGCCCACGGCGCCTCGGTCCCACCTTCAAGGCCGGTCCTTCAAGGTGGATCTTGTTCAACGCAGCAACTATGCCCCCCATGGTCCCACTGCTCTACGCAAAGCATACCGCAAGTTTGGAATCACTTCGACTGAGTCCTCCGGCATTGAGTTGAGCGACTTCAAGCTCCTCGACACCAGCAGCCTCACTACCGTGAAGAGTGCCGCAGAAGCCTCGTCTGATTCCGAACAGTCGGGCGCCGTGAGCGCCGCTTCGGTCAATGGTGACCAGGAATTTGTTTCGCCCGTCAGCATTGGCGGCCAAACCCTCCCAATGAACTTTGACTCCGGATCTTCTGATCTGTAAGCTTTTATACGCAGTTGGCATGTATATCAACTAATGTGTGTACAGGTGGGTATTGAGCTCCCGTCTCCCAGCCTCTCAGAAGCAGGGCCGAACAGTCTTCGAGGTGGATAACTCGACCACATTCAAAGAAGTCCAGGACGGCACATTCAGCATCTCATACGGCGATAGCTCCCGCGCATCTGGTTTACTGGGCAAAGACACCGTCTCGATCGGTGGCGTGGAATTCAAAGAGCAAACATTCGGCCTCGCAACCCAAGCATCCGACGTTTTCATCGACGACACAGCATCAAACGGACTCGTCGGCCTAGGCTTCTCTTCTCTCAACACATTCAAGCCCGGTCCCCAGAAGACATTCTTCGAGAACGTCGCACCAACCCTCGACGAACCACTATTCACCGCCAGACTCCGCCCCGATGGCGTCGGCCAGTATGAATTCGGTAGAATCGACAAGAGCAAGTACTCCGGCAATCTGGTCAACGTCAGCGTGGATTCTTCTGAAGGATTCTGGCAGTTCCAGTCTTCTCAATACGCCGTCGGCGGCGGTGCCTTCAACCCAATCACCCAAACAACCAAGGCCATCGCCGACACAGGTACCTCGCTCCTGCTGATCAGCCCCGAGGTTGTGCAGGCTTACTACGCCAAGGTCGCCGGCGCCGTGTACGCTGGTAATGTCCAGGGTTGGATTTTCCCTTGCAAGTCGGACTTGCCCAGTCTTTCCATCGCAATTGGCAACGACTATGCCGCGACGATCCCCGGGCCGTTGATCAACTATGCCCAGATTGGCACGAACACGACCACTGGTGCAACTCGTGAGTTATTGCCATCAATTCCTTTCATATGTGTCTGAACTAAACGTTTTCCCTGTAACAGTTTGCTATGGTGGTGTCCAGTCCAACTCCGGCGGTTCGATGTCGATCTATGGTGATGTGTTCCTGAAGGCCCTCTTTGTGGTGTTCGATCAGCGAGGTCCTTCTCTGGGATTCGCGACTCCCGTTTAGGTACCCGATAAGTCCTGGATAATATGTTGCTTCGGCATAAAACCCTTTTGATATGTACAGATTAAAGAATCAAAGATCGTATTTCAACTGTTCCTAGTGGTATTCATGAGTCTTCCATCGGCGTATTCGGACACCATTTGAATTGACAAGTAATAAGTAAATAATAATACTGAACTTTTTAATTTTTAATTTTCTTCATATTCTCGTGGGTATGCGTGTAGTCCATTTTATTTGCAAGCGAGACATCAACCAAGGTCCTTGACAGCAGAAATCTATCTTCTTACCGCACAGTAGCGTTCTTCAGGCTCTTAACGGTACAGACACCACCAGAGGCAGCAACCAGCTTTCCAAGAGCAGGCTTGCCCTCCTGGCCATGGACAGTGGGGACAGCACTGCTGTCAAAGGCAACCTCGAGGTCACCGGTGGTAGTGAAGCCAGGCTGGAAAGTCTCCCAGACCTTCTTCTTGGGGTTGAGCTGCTTCTCGGGCTCGCCGTCGTTCCAGCCCTGGAAGCTGATGCGCTCACCGGCCGGGGCATCGGCGGGAGGGTTGACCAGCTCGACGGGGCCGGCGTGCGAGTCCTCGCCCTCAGCGACGCGGGGTGACGCGGCGAGAACCATGGCGCAGGACTTGACGCCACGCATGGTCACGGGCTTCAGGTTGCACACGGCGACGATCTTGCGGCCCTGCATCTCCTCTAGAGGCACCAGGCCGTTCAGACCGGAGCAGACGGTGCGGACGGTCTTGCCGGTCTCCTCGTCCAGGGAGGTGTTGTCGCTGCCGGGGGCGTCACCGCAGTCGATGGTGGAGACGTACAGGGAGTCGGCGTTGGGGTGGTTGATGGCGCGCAGGATGTGACCGACACGCAGGTCAATCAGTGACGGGGCGGGAGGGGCAGCGGGCGCAGGAGCGGGCTTGGGGGCCTTCTCCTTCTTCTCCTTCTTTTCCTTCTTGTTGGTTCTGGGAGGGCCACCGGCGGCGGCGGCGTCAGCGCCAGCCTGGGCCTGGCCCTTGTCAGCTGTACCCTTCTCGGGCTTACCCTGGCCGACGACCAGAGGCTTGGCCTCGTTGCTGGAGTCTGAGTTCTGGGCGCTGGCCTTCTCACGCTTCTTGCGCTCCTTCTCCTCCTTGGGGTCGACGGGCTTGGGCACGAACTTAACGTCGTTCACGTCGATGGCGACCTTCTCCTCGTCGGGAATCTGCAGAGCGAACAGGCGGGCGTTCTGCACAAAGTCGATGTGGCGCACAATGTGGTGGTAGCCCTTCTCTCCTGTACGCTCCTCGGGAGTCCACTTCTCAACGGCGGGGGCCAGCAGAGCGTAGATAGCAATATCGGCGACCGAGGGCTTCGCGCCGAGGACAGTTGTCCGCGTGGCCAGGTGGATGTTCAACTGGTTCAGAATTCCATCGGACGCTCCCTTCTCGCCTTTAGCCAGGGAGGACTTCAGGCCGTCGACGGTGTGCAGCCATTGCTTGATGTCGGCTTCCTCATCCTCAGCGAAGGTGACCGTGGGGAAAATCTTGGACGAGGCGTGGAGGTAGTCGGGCTCAGTCGCATCGGGAGAGATGGCGGCCGGGTATGACCGGTAGAGCAGGGAGAGGAGAGAGGATTCGGGGGCTGCTGCCGTAGCCATTGTGAAGCGTGGAGGGGTTGGTGGAAGAAAAGAAAATCGAGGGGCTCGGATTTGTGTCGGGACCCGCGGGGTTATGTTTCGGGCCCGCAATGGGATCCTGAAGATATTCAGCTTGACAAAGATCCCTTGAATTGTGAGGGATCTGGTATTAATTTTATTCTATGAGTCAAAGAGCCACAGGGGAAGCCTTCACGTTTTCTGACCGTGCTGCGTGAGCTGACTCAGCATCCCAGGATGCCCTGGATAGGTCCTACGTAGGATATATACTTGCTTTTAGTTGACTGGAAATTGTACTATTGACTTGGTCCTAGTCTCTGAAATAACGAAATATCAACGCAGTTTTGCTGTGATGCAACATAAGATTTCGCTGTGCCTTATATTAAATGCCTGTGACGTTTCGCTCTGTAACATAGATTCAATTGATCTACTATCAGGTAACGCCTAAGCAAGGTCAGTCCTACTCATTCGTGAATATCGATCTACGGCATATTCCACTAGGATGCTACACAAGGAAGCTTCCAAACTAGCCTCACCTTCAATCTTAGTAACAATACCTCCACATGGCTCTCTCCATGTCACTGAAAAAGCACATTACTACTGACCGCCAGAGGAAAGTGGCCGTTCGTTCAACACAAGTTCGCCCAAAATCCCAAATTTGGACTTATTCACCAATTTTGCGCAGACTGTTAATCTACTGGAAAATAGAGTGATTCTTTACTACTCGCAGTTTTCTATTGTCTATATCGCTTCTAGACAAATCATACGGAATTCGGCATCCTGATTTAACACAATTGTCATTCATTTGAACAGGGTTCCTAAACACCCAACCAACTTGTTGACTCAATTTAAAACTGTGGCCACGAATATGCTAGACCTGGCAACAAACATGCTTGCTCCTTAGAGCTTTACTACACCACGAGGGCTCTCGACGTAGTTTCTGCTTAGGACCTACATTTGTCAGGTTAGGAACTAATCCCGAACGAGTATTGCTATCATAAACCGCTTTCTCTGGCTTTAGCTCAGAGTATAAAGAAAAAGAACGTAAAGGTATCAGGGATGCGCATAGACCACATCACGAAGTAGCAAGAAATCGCGAGAAGGATTCGATCGTTCAACATCACCTACCATATTGAGATAGACTATAAGAAGCCTCTGTCCAAAGGGCAAGAAAAGTCTCCACTTTGAAGAAGCATCGAGACGTAGAATAGAATGCGCGGGCGCTGAAGAAGCAGTCTACTTTGGGTAAAACAACCATGTGTCCCAAAATTGGTGAAAGCGCGCCTCTCTCTCCTCATCCCCCAAAAAGGACATGAAAGATAAAGCAAATCAAATTTCCTTTTTGGGACGGAGTTATATTGAACGAACGGTGCAAAGGAGTTTCTAAGCTATTCCTCCAGCGGTCCCTGCATTTCCTAATACCCCTCGGCCCCCCATGTTTTCTAGCGTCCTTTAATTCGTGTCCTAATCAATGACCGTTTACCCAGAGCACAGGACGCAGATATGGTGAAGATGCACGTTAAACATGAAAGGAAGGCAGATAAATGCGTGCTGTATACCGTAAATCTTGCTTGGTGGTTGCCCCACCCACTGCAACTGTAAACATACTGTTGTACAGTACCCTTGGAAATAATTCTCGACATCACTTCGATATATTATTTTTGTTACATCTATCTAAACATGACGATCACCTGCAGAGTGCTTGATTGCATTACTTGGCAGTGACGGCCATCCCATCCAAGTCTTGGTCCGTTATAAAGCTTGGTATAGGGTAGTAGGCGCTCTAAAAAGTTAGCTGCCTCTTCTGTAGGTGGCGAAGCTTGTAGCATACCAGCTGCGAGGCAATGAAAGCCGAGAAACCCGAATCATCTGCTGTCAAAATATGTACATGACCAGCCTCTCGTAAACGACTGCCTACGCATATATCTGCGTCACATATGTTGCTATATTCGGAGGCTTTTTTCATTAAAGTTGTTTTGCGACGGCATTTCCGCAGTCTCTTCAATCTTTTCGAGCTAATCGAGGAGCTGGACTTCATTGTAGCTATTGTGAGCTACTGTCTTATTCTCTAGGGGCAATTAAGATTAGAACGTATATATTAAAGGCTAAGGAGACGGGCGCATTCTTATAAACATATACAGATAGGGTGTATTAATTATGGAATATAAGAAAATATGGAATTGCTGAAAATATTGTGTAGAGAATTGGCCTTCGTACGTGCTATATTCATCATTGGAAGACAAACAATAGTGATTATTCGCAGACACCAAGTAGGTACGGCAACGGTGAAAGTCACAGCAGATTTGCAACTCCTGTTCAAAAACGCCGTAAGAGATTGGGTCGGAAATCAACGTAAGATCATATATCTGCGGGCTGTAACATTTCAGCGGTAACGTTCAGATCCGCGCTAGTCCAAAGTAGGGATGTATCCATAAATATATCTGTGATTATGTGATTGGTTGTTTTGACCACGCTAAAATGAGTCATAATGAATCAAGTGCCAAGACCCAATTATATGCTGCTGACTGTGGGGTCACATCTGCTGCGGTTCATCCCTTGGCCTCAGGATTCTTTTATATGGCCTGACCTCTCCTTTGATTCCTTCCTCAGGACACGACTCCTACCGAGTCGACCCCATACGCAGTTGACCTAAGGTCATCCTTCCTTCCTCTCGAAAGAGCGTCACGGGTCTGCAAAGACCCGTCTAAGAGATCCAGCCATGTCGGCCTGCAGTTGCTCAAGCGCCGCAGCGACCATCCAGTCCATCCACAGGTTCCAGCCTAGCCAACGCCGGCACGCAGGAACGCCGTCAAGGGCCTGCTGAATATTCACCGTGGTTGAGTCTCTCTCATTACGGTGATGACCACCTCCTTTCGTCTCTAGCGCCGCCAATGGGGGGTTTCCCCTCGGCGGTGCCTGTCTGTCAATCGTTCGATACCCTCATGCAACAGTCTGATCTCTGGGCAGAACCAGATCTGTCCTTTACTGATACCGACTGGAATATCGTATCTGTGAATCATTCGACGCCGTATCCGCATGACTATGATGGTGATGATGTCCCCATCATGGACCTCGGGTACGGCACTGTGTCTGCCTTCCAATCTCTTTCGGATTCGGGCTCAATCGGGAACCAACACCTTGTTCCTGCATCTCTTGTTCCTAGCTCAGCCAACTCTCAAGGTATGATTCGATCTTGTAGCCATGTTTAGTGGTACCGGTTTCTAACTCTCACGAAGATGGCCACTCCCACTCGCAACCTTCCCCTGTCTCTCAATTCCCTGCTCCGGTCTCCACCACTTTCCCTAGCCCTACTACCTCTCAGGGTGACGATCCCTTAGGTCCAACTGGTGCCCGTGTGGAAAAGCGAAGACTGAATACCCTCGCTGCTCGGCGATGTCGGCAGAGACGGGTTGATCGGATGAAGGATCTTGAAGCCGAGCTGGAGAAGGTCCGCCGGGAAAGAGATGACCTGAGACTTAAGTGTTCCAAGCTGGAAGGCGAAACGGATGCTTTGAAGGGTCTTCTCACTCGCAAGAACAAGGATAGTTAGGTCTCGAATGTTTGGGCTAGTCTCTAAGATACTGAATTCGATTTGGTTTGGTTTGGTTTCGACTTGGTTCATTTCTCGTCTTCCTCGTATCTTGATTTTTGGTAGTCGTAGTCAAGTAAACCCCGCAAGAACTCAACATCCCCACCCCCGGCCCCACAGAGCATGGCCCCAAACCACCTCGGCCAAACCGGGCAAGTAGATGTGGGAGGCGGGCGAATTCCGTTGTTGTCAGCCCAAATTCCGATCATGGCAAGAGATTTGAGGTCATTACCCGATCTTCCATCGGGGCTTCCGGGAGGGGTTGTCCCCCGGTTTGTACAACTGCTTTCGTGGCACTAATCATTGACAAGCGCCATGTTCTTTTTCACTTGAGTCTAAATAGTTCCTCATTGCAGTGGATCCTGTCGGCTTATTGTCCTTGATATACACGTACTTTGCGCCAGCCTCGTCCGCTAACGTTATTTGAGTAAAACTACCGACCATACCTGGACAAGTCAGAATGAGAGCAGTTCGATTTCACGGAAGGGAGGACATCAGGATTGACGAAGTTGAAGAGCCAATCTGCGGCAATGGTCAAGTCAAGGTGAGAGAATATACTAGGAAAGATAAACTACAGTTGCGACTTGCGCTCTATGGCGCATGGTAGTCACTTCAGTCACTAACAACAAGTCTCGCTGTCAAAGATCCGACCTGCATTTGTGGGCATATGTGGAAGTGGTAAATACTTTTCTTTTCTTACCATTGTCAAGCCTCTTTTTGACATCATCCAGATATACACGAATACCTGGCTGGCCCTCTGGCAGTCCCTGTCACCCCACACGCAGTCACAGGGGAAAAACTGCCGACCACGCTGGGCCACGAGTTTAGCGGCACAATCGAGGAGATTGGAACCGGTGTTACAAGGTTGAAAGTCGGTGATCGAGTAGCCGTCAAACCTAACCTGTCAGACGGGACATGTTCGAGGTGCTCGATAGGAAGGTTCAATTCGTGCGAGAATCTAGGTTTTATCGGGTATAGTGGTAAGCTATTCCTGACCTCATCTCTGTTTTCACTTTACTTTTCAATCCTTGTACGGATAATACTAATTATCTTCCAGGTAAGGCAGGAGGCCTGTCGGACCATGTAGTCGTGGACACGAAACATGCAATCCCACTACCAGACTCCATCCCCCTCGACATCGGCGGTAAGAATAAGCTAAAACTCCGTTTCATATTTCGTTCAGCTCTGACAGCGGGTAATACAGCATTGGTGGAACCTCTCTCTGTAGCATGGCACGCTGTCAGCCGCAGTCCTCTGCAGGAACATGATACGGTGCTCGTAGTCGGAACCGGGCCAATCGGGCTTGCTATTATCCAAGTACTACGAGCCAAGGGTATCAGCAATATCATTGCAGTTGAGGTCTCCGAGAAACGACGAGAGTTTGCACTTAACCTGGGTGCGACAGAGGTCCTTAATCCGCTTAAAGTGGATGCTGTCGCACGGGTGCGTTCTATTACTGGGGATGCTGGTGGTGCTGCTATTGCTTTTGAGTGTTCTGGAGTACAGGCTGGGCTTGATACTGCCATGAAGGGTCTCCGGGTACGCGGCACAACGGTTGTTGTCTCGCTGTGGGAGCACAAGCCGGTTATTGATGCTTTTGCTATTGTGCTTGATGAAAAGCACGTCACAGGGGCTGCTGTTTTCGATGACGGTGATTTTGAGGCTGTGATTGATGCTATTGCTTCGGGTATGATTGCTTACCCCTTTGCATATTGCTTCATTCTTCTGGCTAGTTTTGAGCTTCTGCTGACTTCTTGCTCCCCGAAACAGGTAAGATCCAGCCGCGCTCCATGATTACTAGTAAGATCCCAATGGAGGACATCACCGAGAAGGGATTCAAGGCTCTCATCGGCGAGAGAGATAAACATGTCAAGATTCTGGTTGAAATCTCTGCATGAGCTGGGCGCCTAATGATTAGGTGCGACTCTCTTCTCTGATCGGATATTCTATTACAGGCAGCGGTTGATGCCCAGCTTATAGTTGAGCAAAGTAATTACACCAATGACGCCTTGCATGGTGTCCCAATTTGTTATGTCAGTGAGCCACGCGAGATCAATTCGGGCATAACGCGTTATGTATGTAGTTGATCGGGTTGATTTGCTTGCAGTATGCCTGCGTCTGGAATGCAACCTTGTCGATTATTCAATCCAGAATTTCCCACCTGGATCTGTAATGGCGTCAGTCAGCATTTCTATGAGCATCAGACTGACGCAATGGCAATTGTTTTTGTTGAGATTCATGGCTTGCTCAGGCATCTCCAGGCATTAAATGCCCGCTTCGCCAAAGCATGAAGCTCATGATCAGCATTCAACCTACCATGTATAGGATAGTTCAGGGGAAATGCTTCACATTAAATAGGATCTCTCCTTCATGAAGGAGAGACCAGACTTAAACCACCTCGTTGGTTCTTGGCAAGAGTTTCCTAGCATCATTCATCGTATTCTCCATTGAAAATTTCAACAGGTTATGAGCCCGGCTTGCCTCGTCAGCCGGGAATAGCTTCATCTGCAACCTGCCTCCCCTGAGCCCTTTCCTCCGAAACGATGTCTGATTCTCGACGTCTCCGCCCGAGACGGCAAGCCCCTGATCAAGGCGAGCCGCCCAGCGATGCCGAGTCCGTCCAGTATAGCGACGATGACCTCCAAGACGCTGATCGTACGCTTCGTCAAGAGCCTCCTCGGCAGCAAAATCCGCTGCATTTCCCGGCGCCAGAGGCCACTGGCGCTGACAATTCTCATGCGAATCGACGTCCTATACTTAATATAGATAGGACCAACCGTAGCGACGTCTTCAATCTGTCGCCGATTCGTGATTCTGTGCCTCTCCAGACCACTGAGAGTGAAATGCCGTATGATGATCCTAATACCGTCGGCAACCATCTTCCTCGTCAATTCAGACCGAGAGAATCCCCCGAGCAAGAAAAGGCTATTACGCACCTAAAAAGGGCCAAAGAAGCAGTCAGAAAGCTTCGGGATGACTCCAAATTCGAAGCCTTGAAAGGCAAGTCCAATTACCGTCATTGGGCTGACAACATGGAGCAATTGTTCGATGACAATGCCGTCACTCCCATTGTATACGGCGAAGTCATGATCCTACCCCGTGAGCATCGCCATTTCCTGGCGCAAGCTCAATTCGTCTCATTCGCGAGAAGAGCTATCAACAGCCATGTGTCGAAGCAAATTCAGCAGTATCTGCAAGATAGAAAGCTTCGAGATCCAGCTGCAATGTGGAAAGTAATTGAGAGCGCGTACGCGCCTACCGATGCATCTATAGCAGCTAGTGGTATAGCTGAACTCAATGAGATTCTCGAGAGTAATTGCACGTCTCTCGACCAATATAAATTCCGCTTTTAGACCGCATGGACGAAGTCCGTCATCGGAAGCGATCAAAGCGAGCACATCCCATGGCTCGAACGCAATAAATGCCTCAACTTCCTTGAGAAGTTAGACAGTCCAAAATGGGGCCCGTGGAAGACTAGCCTTATGTCGCGAGTAAGTAGGTCATCCGACTCCGATAGGATCTATCGGTTCGACGAGATCATTGCCGAGCTCGAAGACTTCGAGAGATCATTAGATCGTGAGACTAAGACCCGAAATGCGTACGCCGTACGCTCAGCACCTTCAGCAGCTTCAGAAGCGAGACCTCATTGCGAGCATTGCAATAAGAAGGGTCACGTAAAGGCGAATTGCTGGAAACTCCGCCGTGATAGGAAGCCAAAGGACATGAAAGGAGATGGTTTTTCGGCCGAAAAACCTGCTGAAAAAATGGAGGCATATACTGTAAATACCATTGAAATTGACCTACCTCACAATGTCCTCTCTATAGCTTCCGACATGCCTTCGGATCGATGGATTTGCGACATAGGTGCCGACGTCCATTTTACGGCTTCACCTAGCAATTTCATGCCTGGTACGGCAAAGCCAATCTCAATTCGTATACAGACAGTCTCCGGTATCACAATTGAAGAAGGTCTACGTGGAGAAATCTGTATGAAACTCTCTGGATCTAGGAGAAGACCCGATTCTAGCATCCTCCTTACCGACGTTCTCTGGACGCCAGTAGCTAGCGCCAACCTTATTAGCGGTGCAAGACTTGCTAGGAAAGGTGTCACGGCGATCTACCGTCCGAACCAGCTGCTATTGAGGCGCAAAGATGGCAGCATACTTGGTACGGGACGCAAGGTCGATAAGCAATGGATCTTGAATGTCTCCTCCGTCGGTTCTCCTCCTTCAAAGATGGAGACAGCAAGCTTACACCACGTCCGAAGCTCCACCGAGCCGTCCAATATACCTGTAGCTATCATGACCACGGATGCTGATGCGGACGCCGAAGCACCCCAACCCCGCCTGAATAAGTCCAGGGTCAACGTCCACACCTGGCACCGACGTATGGGCCACATCGGCACTCAGGGGGTGCAGAAAACGGCGAGAATTGTGGATGGCATCGACATTGAAGGTCTAGCAGTCTCTAAACAGCCTTGCGGAGACTGTGCTATCGGACGGGCACCTCATAAACCTAACCGGCGGCCAATTCTCCATCGTTCTGAGAGAGCTGGAGACCTCGTCTACGTCGACATTGGCGGCGGCGGCAAGCTCACACCCGCCATTGAAACGGGGGCTAGATACTGGCTTCTCATGATCGATGACTTCGATGGAT